GTTAGCATAAGCGTAATACTTCCATTACTATTTTCATTATTATTACTATTATTATTAGTATTACTATTAATATTATTATAAATATTATTATTATTATAAATATTATTATTATTATTACTTGGGGTTTTAGGCCGTGAGACGTGCGTTAATGTTCGACTGATGACTCGCTCTTTGCTCATGAAGAATATCAAAATGTTCAAATATTAATTTATTTTTCTTTCTAGGGTGTGTAGATGGGAGGAAGGGTGTGTGGATTGGAGGTAGGATATGTGGATGGGAGGAAGGGTGTGTGTTGGAGGTAGGGTGTGTGGATGGGAGGAAGGGTGTGTGGATGGGAGGAAGGGTGGGTGGATGGGAGGAAGGGTGGGTGGATGGGAGGAAGGGTGTGTGGATGGGAGGAAGGGTGTGTGGATGGGAGGAAGGGTGGGTGGATGGGGCGAAGGGTTTGTTATTTCTTTTAGATTGTTTGGCTCTCTGAGGCTGGCTTGAGGTTTACGGCTGACTAGCTGAAGTGAACGGCTGGCTGGCTTAGGTGAATGGCTGGCTGGGCTGAGGCAAATATCTGGCTGGCCAAGAACCCCACCAAACATATCCTCAATGCCAGACAAGCTGCACGTCGTCATCGGCAAGTACTGGCTCCAGAATGTATCTGCACCTGCGCCAGTGTTGGTCAAGTCTGGTCTTGAATGAGCTCATTCTCGGTGCTGTCACTCTCTCTGGCAGAGAGTGCCAAGAGTTTACAAACTCAGAAAAAGTTTGACCTTGACAATTTTCCGAACTTGTGGCTTCTTCAACCATAAGCTGTGACCACCCGCCCGGCTAGGCTAGTGGGGCACGTCCCCCAGCTCCAGGTATGAACCCTCGACTGAGTAATGCCCTCTGAGTTGTTTATAAACTTCAATTAAGTCGCCCCTTGACTACCTGTAGTATAAGCTAGGCAATTCCTGTAGGGGGAGGGATATAAAATTTGCCCCATTTAAGAGCTTGATAAAAAACAAACAAATATGAAAAGCACTATGAGTGTATTGTATGTGGAGATTAAAGATTCACATGGTATACTGTGCGTGTAAACTGAGAATTTGAACAAGTACTGTGTGTACTTGTACTGTACTACACTGTACTTTCCCCGTGTAGAGATACACCCGTTGCCACTGTTTTTTTAACTATGGTACCAACAACACAGCCACTGTTTTTGTTATTTTATTTTTTACATAGTAGATAAACTAATTTTCGTTGCATTATGAAAAGTATTAATTGCACTTAAAATGATAGTGCCTAAATGCTTGAGACAATTACTTTATGAACCGTGTATGCCAACCTTCATGAAAGAATGAAGCTCCGCCCAGAAAAGTAATTCCTGAAGTATTTGTAAAATTCTTACATAAGTATAGAAAATTTGGAATTGTATCAATTTCTAGTTTGGTTATTAGTCAATTTTCTAATAAAATGATACTGGGCTATATTGATCTTGTTACTATACCAAATACAGTAAAGTAGTTCCACATTGTTCAGTTTTATATTAGGAAGGACCAAACGCATAAACACAATCCGCGTAAATGCAGACTATACTGTATACCGAATCACTCTATGAACGTGGCATAGTGTATTTCCTGTGTTTACCCAGAACCGTCAACTCGTCCATTATCATAGATTAGTATATACAGTTAACCCTCACTTTACGCGGTCCCACATTCCGCGTTTCCACGTTTACGCGGTGCCTTGCCAGAACCTAACGTGCTCACATTACGCGGTACGTGAACCCCATTACGCGGAGTGTGTCCGGCGCGACGCTATTTTTAGATTCGCCCCACCCGCCCACCTGCCTGCCTGTGCTCCTCGCCTCTCCCTCCTCCTCCCTCCGCTTGGGCAAGCCGCGCGGTAAGGTTGCGCAGTGTGTGTCTTTGTTGCGTTATCACTGACGTCATATGACGTATCGGACTGTGATTGGCCATGCATCCCTACCCCCCTCTGCTGCTAGCTGTAATTGGCTTAAAGTATTATGACGTGTCCACCCGGGGGAGGGAGGGAGGGAGGAAGGACAACGCTTGACCTAGCCGCGGCAGTTTCATCCCTCAAGGCCACACCGTGTAATCGTGCATCCATTGTTCAGTAAAATGGCTTCCGCCGGACCACCACCCCCAGAGAGAAACCTTTCCTTACCTGGACCCAGCGGCACTAAGCCAAAGAAGACACGATGTTCCTTAAGCTACGAGGTGAAGTATACCATCATCCAAGAGTTGGAGAAAGGAACAAGGCAGGTTGATTTGGCGCGCCAGCATGGTGTGAATGAATCTACAATTCGAACAATAAAGAAGCATGCAGCCAAGATAAAGGAGCACATGAAGATCACAAAGTCTACAGGTGCTTCTATGATCAAGTATTTTCACAACCAGGTGCTTCTCAAGACAGAAAAATTACTTGTGAGGTACTTGGTGCGTCAGGCGCGACGGAACATGGCGGTCGACACGCGCTCTGTTAAGGACTACGCACGTGAACTGTACATGGCAGTGGCACGAAAGATGGGAATTACAGAGCCCAAACCCTTTAATGCTTCCTCTGGGTGGTTACAGAGGTTTAAGATCCGGAACAAGATCACCAATATAAACATTGGTGGTGAAGAAGCGAGTGCTGACCGTGCTGCGGCTAGGGAATTTCCTCCGTTTTTACATGAGATTATGGAGGAAGGACAGTACAGTGACGACCAGGTGTTTAACATGGACGAATCTGGTCTTTTCTGGAAAAAGCTACCTTCCAAGTCCTTCGTTGTAAAGAATGCCAGCAGGATTCGGGGCCGGAAGATGCAGAAGGAACGCATCACCGTCCTGTTTACCACCAATGCCTCCGGTACCTGTAAGCTCAAGTTATCGGTGATCCACACAGCACGCAAGCCGCACGCCTACAAAACCATGGACATGACCAAGCTAAATGTCCACTGGCTGACCGCACGTAAGGCGTGGATGTTCTCTACACTGTCCCTCTCCTGGCTTGATGACTGTTTTGTTCCCGATGTAAAGAAATTCTGTGAGCGACAGAATGTGCCATTCAATATTTTGTTGCTGCTGGACAACGCACCAGGACACTCGCCCCTACTGTTAGATCGTCACCCCAACGTAAAAGTGGTCTTCCTTCCTCCCAACACTACGTCTATATTACAGCCCATGGACCAAGAGTTAATCTGTAATGTAAAAGCTGCATTCTCAACAAAAAAATTCAAACTCCTGAACGACTACACCAACACCAGGGAAGAGTTGCGTAACCTGAGTGACACCACCACCGATAGCAAGAGCGAAGAAGATGAGGATCAACAGTTGGCACAGCAAAAAATACTGTTCAAACAATTCTGGAGAGTATTTAACATCAAGAAAGCTGTGGACTTCTTGGTGGAGTCACAGCTGTCTATTGGACGCATGGAGACATGTGTTGCATGGAATACCAGGTGAGAGGAGGAGTCAATCTGTGACTGGTGAGGTTCAGAATGTTGCAGTAGCAGTGGACCTTGCCAGAGAAGCTGCGCAGACTGTTACAGTTCCAGGCTTCTCCGAGACCACCAACGACGACATCCTGGAGGTGATCAGAGATCCTGAAGTGACTGCCGACGAGATGTTGGAAGAAGATCACGTCAGTGAAGAGGAGGAAGAAGGTGCGTCATTCTCCGAAGAACACAGTTTAACTCATAGTGATATTAAGGGTGCCATGGAGTGTGCAGAGAAAATGAAGTCCTTCCTTTCCCGCGACAATGACCGCTATGAAGTCTTCCATACCCGGCTGGTGCAGACTATGGAGCCGTACATCAAGGTGTATCAAGACAACATAAACACCAGCCGTCAAAAAAGCATAACCGAGTTCTTCGCCCGCAACCCACCACAGCCAGCCCAAGCCAGTGATAGTGACAGTGAAGATGACTTTGAGGGATTTGTCAGGGAAGCCCTGACAACTGTAAGTGACAGTGATGGTGATTCACCTAGTAATGGTGATTCACCTGAGGGCCAGTAATCTGCCCTCTGCCTCGGAACCAGCCTCCATCCCCGTATGCCGACCCATCTCTTCTACTAACGTAAGTGTTCCACATAACTTTTAGTTTTTCTAACCTAACCTTTATTTTTCCTATGTTAACCTTTATTTTTCCTAACCTAACGTCTTCTATATTACTTGTTTTTTCATACCATCATAAAGTTAAGATAAAATTTTTACTACAACATAGTTGTGTGTCGTCAAAAAGTGGAGTTTGGGGGTCGGCCCAGACTCTATTTCAATTAATCCCATATGTTATGTTATTCACTTTACGCGTTTCTCACTTTACGCGGGACCCTGCGGGTTACATTAACTGCGTAAGGTGAGGGTTAACTGTATTGTAAATACAGGCTTACCTATAATTCCTTGAGATAAATTTACAGTACACTATATAACAAGTGCCACTGAGAGGGCTCAGGCTTCCACTTGGTTCAGCCATTTCAATGTTTTTCTCATTGTCTACTCTGTATTTTTCTGGCTAAATAAACTGCTTTGATATCATTTCAATATCAATTGTACTTCCACTGAAGCCAATGATTCAAAATTATAATAGGAAACAAAACACTCCGTAAAATATAACCTTTAATAGACGATACAAAATATCACAGGTGAACATTAGGGTAATATTTAAAAAAAAAAAAATATATATATATATATATATATATATATATATATATATATATATATATATATATATATATATATATATATATATATATATATATATATATATATATATATATATATATATATATATATATATATATATATATATATATATATATATATATATATATATATATATATATATATATATATATATATATATATATATATATATATATATATATATATATATATATATATTAGCCCAATAAAGCAAGCGGACTTCTACATACAATTAACACCTCAACCCGCCAGGATTCGAACCCACGGCCCACAAGCCTATGACTGTGACCAGGGAATGCTAACCGCTGGACCACCAGGATACTAAAAGCAGTCCTAGACTTTGTTATATTTCACACAAAGCCTGTTCAACGAGCTTATGGCGCCGTGAACCTCGTGTTTTGAAGCCGGATTTGGTAAAACGTTACTCTGACCAGGTACTAAAAATATGAAGCGTCCTTTCTAAATATCAGTACACTCTATACAATGAACTAAAATCATTTACATTTATTCTTTTCCATAAACATTTTGTATTAAATATCCTATATGTAAATAGATATTAAGTTTTGTAAAATATTTAAAAATTATAAAATGATCACTAAAATCACACACTGTTGTATGTACCTTGTCTGCTGTTTATTTTACTTATCATAAAACATAGTAAGATGAATTACGGTTATCATGAGCATTTAAATACATGAAAGACATCAAACCCATTAAAGTGCAATACTTCAATACAATACTGTAATGCATTGGTAAATAGAGGAATGGTTTAGAGTAACTACCCAGTACAGTATTATCTGGTGAAGCCTACCGTTGAGTTGTTGTTTCTGTCTGTATATGCCTTCACCCCATTGGCAACTGGGATTCAGTATTATGACCACTCATTGCTCCTTATCACATCTTCAAATATTGGAGATTAGATACAATGGTTGCCTTCAAGATGCTGAAGGTTATGTCCACCATAATTCCAAGACCAGTCAGCTATCTTAAAAACATTCAGTTCCAAGCTGAATACACATAATCTCAGGGGAGGATGGAGGGTATTCAAGCCACTTGGCCACAGGGCTGAACCTTTCCAGTGAACAGATCTTGTTATAACAGCCAGCTTGAAAAGTAAGTAAGAAAGTAGTAGTAGTGGTAACCAAGCAGCAGAGGGGTACCTGACAACTTTCCCTTACTGTACAATACTGTCAATACATTAGTTACCTATATCCTGGAGCCTTCAGGATTGTAAGGAGAGTCAAAGAGGGTGAATGAAATGTAAACAAACCTTATAAAGTGATATAAGTAAAATGAAATGTCAGCCTTACCTAAATGATAACACTTAACCTTGTTGATAATCTCCAACAACTCCCAGAGTGTCAAGAAGGATTAAGGCAACTTTTTTTCTTCAGAAATAAGCCACTTAGTGGATAGCTGAATAGGTACGATCACTCTTGGCTAAGGACTGAAGGTGATCCAAGATGGCAGACTGGTTCGAGTCATGTTGGATGTAGATAGATGAGTGTGTGTACTGACTGGGCTGGCAAGTAATGTATTCTAGCTATACCTCCTGCCTCTAGAGTGCAGCCTTTGAATCTTATTTGGGGCTGATGAATGTATTGGGAAAAGATAAGATCAGCTCCCAAGCAGTCAAGGGTAGTAAGGCCATACTACCAGGCATGTGCAGTAACAAGAGCCACTTTGTTGAGGCATCATCTGGAAAACTATTATACAAACACAGGCTAATGAGTACTATTTGTATTATAAAAATGGCTCAGTCAAGAAGTGCTCTGGTCATACAACCCCTGATACACAGGTTTAGTCCCACAGCCAAGCAGGTAAATGAGACATTTAACCATATTCAAGATCGTTTTACGTGGGTTCTCCTCATGGTGAGCTTTGCTCAAGCCATGGGCACTGGTTGTATTCTAGGTGGTACAAATCGTGGGGTTTATGTGGGACTTGCTCCAGGTCTGCCAACATAGGAAAAAAGGGAATGTTGGTATGTCGTAAGCTTGGGGATGCTGTGACGCTCCGCAAGAGAGCATAGCGCACCAAGATGAGAGGGGGTGATGCGCCATATTAAGTAGTCCTTGACAACATTATACCGAATCGGCGGGACGTTGTCCGAATCGTGAGTATCTAAAGAGTAGCAACGTTAAACAAAACATTGTAGTCGGGGGCAACGTTAAACAAGAACTTACTGTACTGAATCAATAGAATTATCATATACTGTATACTGTATTGTACAAAGTACAAATCTTGTGGTATTTTTTTAACAAGTTGCTCAAAATCTGAGTCATTGCATGTCGTCTGTTGCTCGGTCCCAGCGTACTCTCACGTTCACATAAAATTTTAAATTATACCATGACGCTTCAATAAAGTGGTTTCATTGGTACCAGATAACAAAAAAAGTACTTTCTGTTTAACATGACAGGGGTCCTGGGGGGAGGGGGCTGGCTAGGGAGTTAGGTATGGTTCTTTGGTTGGTTAGGTCAGGTTCTATTACATTCACTATTATTCATTTGCAACAGAAACGTATAGAATGAAAGGTACTCAGAATGATGAGATATATCTAGAACTGGACCCAAAAATATTGTGGGACATTATGGGCAACTTGTAAAAATTTACCAATCTTGTATACTGGTGATGAATGAGTTCACATGTGTGTGTGTTTGTGTGGTAGAGTGAAGACTTCAGCATCAGTATTGACTCAACCCTGACCTAGACTAATGTGCTACAAGTATTGAACCCTGACCTTGGCTAATATGCTACAAGCAATTAAATATTTCATTAATTTCGGATACACTATCTGATTAATATATCACCAGTGAAAATAATGACAACGAAAGAGAAATCTTCCTGGAGTGTGTCAAACAAAATTGGAGGGATATTTCTATAGTAAGACTTTCCTCTATATTCACACTAGATTCATGAATGGGTTTCAAATTTGGCAGTCTGATTTTTAGTAAACAAATGTGAAATATAAAATTTTGGGGGGTATAGTATGAATGTCTAAACGTCATATCCGTCCTTGTCCGTCGGCGAAATTCATCTTATATGTACAGGATGCTTTTTTTTTACTATACTAGAAGCATTGCAATATATTTGTAATTGCAATTATGTTAACGGTCAACAATGATTTATCCCTATGACTTGCTTAGGGTGCCCACCCCCTTCTCAAGAAAATTCCAGTAATATCTGAGAGCATTCCCCACACTTCTTGAATGCAAAACGTGAGGATTCCTCATGAGGAAAGACCACGGAAAACGATTTTGAATACGGTTCATTATTATGCTATGGTGTGTGCTGTGCTGCAACAATACTTCAGGATACCCAAGCCTTCCTTGCCTAGGGGTTCCCACCCCACATATTTTGATAAATTGCGTAAAGGATGTTACCTTTGTGCTGCCACATTATTAGTGAAGTAAAGTATCTTATAATATATTATGCATTTTTTAAATAATTAAAAAGTACAGTATCATAAAGTATCTTAAAAATGTACAATACGTACTGTACCACAATTACAAACATGATGAAAATACAGTAGTGCAAATCTTATAAAAATTTGATAAAAATAACAAGGGATTCTAACATCATTCACAAAACAGCTGAATAGTCCAATCAGTTGCTCAGTAGAATTGACCTGCATTCATCTAGACTATGCAACATATTGCAGCTGTTATGTGTTTCATTGCAGTCTTTGTTATAACTGTGGGTGTAATACAGAGGTTTTACTTGGGGCCCATCACTTGATTTTGTGACAAATGCCTTCTTACCCACCTCCAGTAAGGTTGTGAAAAATTACCTCAGAGATAAGATCCAGATGTGAGAGGCTGCAAGAGACCATGCACAAGTGTGAAGAATAACCATAAAACAGTATTAATGATAAATGTAAAATAGCAGGACATAACCCAAGATCCCTCCTAGTGGGGTGCATTATCTGCAAATACACTCACAGTATCTTTTGCCCTTAAACAGAAGAAATATTCAGAGGTTGAGTGTCTTCATTGCTCCCCAAGATGGTCCAACCTTGATCTTTACTGGTAGAGACACAGCCAGCTGCTGGACTCCTTCCATGTGGCTCTGAACCAGCTGGGCCACTTGAATGACATCTTCACTAACCACCTGTTGAATAAATTACAAGTTCTCTTATTATACAGTAATCACTCACCAACTATAAGGGTTATGTTCTAGAATTCTCCCACGGTTGGCAAAGTCTCTGACTAATGGGAAGTAAGGGAATTAGGAATCTGACCCCCGAGAAACATATCTAAAGGCCTATAATGTAATGTATAGTTCAATGTTAAATATAAGTACAAGGTGTATGACACACACACAAATTAATGTATGCGTCACCAGCCTGGTTGTCTTCTCTCAACTCCACCTAACAACGTCGGCTTGAGAAGGTGCAAAATTTTTGGTCTCTAAAGTTCAGCGACGTAGTACTGAAACAATGTTAAGCGGTATGACGTTAAGCGAGGACTTACTGTACTGTAGTTCTATATACTATTTTATATAAAAATGGCAATGATTTTCTGTTAAGTAACTTTTTTCATGGGGCAAAGGGAGGCTGGAGAACGTAACTCCAGTATTTTATCTATTTCTTAAGGGGAAAATTGATCCTGTTAACGTTGCGGTTTTCAGGAACGGAACCACAACGTTAAGCGAGGACTTACTGTACTTACATTCAGGAAGCTTCCCTGTGGCCAAGCGTGTGGCATGACATGCAAATAGTCACGTTGGAACCGGATAACCCGCACTGGACATTCAAACAATGCCGCGAAAAAGCGCGCATTCTGGAACGTCAACCGGGGCATAGGGGTTAAGGCTGATAGATGGTTAAGAAAGTTTTTCTATTTTCAACTGGGTTACAAAGTATAAAAAATTTACCTCATACATTAGTTCATCATGAAGTTGTAGTACAAGAAAAGCACCACAGATTTGCTGTCTTCTATTAGTTGGTTGTGTGAGGTAGGTAGGTGCTGTTGGAAATGTCTGTTGTAGAGTTGTACTTATTCTCACCATTGCTAATTTGACAAGATCTGCTGCTGATCCTTGAATGACAGTATTTACAGCTTGTCTCTCACTCTGGGCTGTAAATTAAAGTGATATATACAGTGAAAATACACTACTGTAACTTGCTCAATCACAGCTAGTACTGTACTGTACTAATTGATATGAAGGAAAAACAAATGAAAAAATATATAAAGCCTGTGACTATGCAATGATAATGACTATACAATGATAATAATGATGTAAAATAATTAGATAAGTAACATAACAGAACAATGGGTCTGAGTTCAATCCACATAGAGAATAAATAGATTCTAGTGAATGTTTATTTGACATACTTTACCTTAAGTCAATTCATATCAGCCAGGCCTGTATTTTGTATGTGTTAGATTATTTTACAACAAAATGATATACTGTATATAAAACCCCAGCAAGTGTCCATGTACAGTAAAGTACAGTACAGGGGGGCCCCCCCCAAATTCGACAGGGGTTAGGTTCTCAAAGTGGCTGCAAATCGCCCAATCCGCGAATAACATTTGCAGGCCAGGGGGGTTACAGTTTTACTCGTGTACAAAGAAATGTATATTCCCTTTATGTGTTTGCCCTTAGGACAATTATTTATTTTACCTGTAGTATTGTACAGTATAGTCTGCATTTATGCGGTCAATTGAACCCGTGGAGGTTCGCGTAAAACGAGAAACGCGTAAACGAAATAACAGAACATATTGAAATAGGGCCAACCCCCAAACTACACTTTTTCCGACACAATACGTATGTTGTAGTAAAAATAACATCTTAATTTTATGATGGTATGCACACACAATTAATATTTAAGAGAAATATCAATGATATTAGGTTTTTTAACACTCACGTTAGTAGAAAAGATGGCTGGGCACACGGGGATGGGGGGTTGGTTCCAAGGCAGAGGGCAGATTATTGGCCCTCACCTGTATCACTTGTATCAATTGTTATCACTATCCACCACAGAGGCTTGCAGGGCCTCTTTATCAAACCTCTCAAAAGTTCATATCCTCACTATCACTGACTTGGGCCGACTGTGGATGGTGGTGGATGAAGAACTCGGTAATGTTTTGATGACTGGGCTACCTTGTGCGCACCCTGCCCGCGCCGCTTCCCGCGTAAATGATGAAATTTACCGCGTAATTAAAACATTTCATTCTGGCAAGGCACCGCGTAAATGACCAAACGCATAAACAAAAACCGCGTAAATCCAGACTATATTGTATATGTGTGTGTGTGTAGACACACACACACACACACATAAAACACATACAAATAAATAGTAATTGGAAAATCCTCTCACAAATAATCATTAACAAATTTATTAAAAATGTGAGTCTACCCTCAAGTCTGTGCTCTATTACAGTACTTCATAATAGAGCACAGACTTGTGGGTAGACTGTCACATTTTTAATAAATTTTTTAATGATTATTTGTGAGAGGATTTTCCAATTACTATTTATTTGTATGTGTTTTATGTGTGTGTGTGTGTGTCTACACACACACACTTATTTACAATACAGGAAAAGGAAATTACTGTCTCTAAAATGAATGGCTCCCTGTCCCATCTATGAAAATGTCAGCAACTTTGAAACCACCCTCAGACATTCTTGGGTACATCCAGGGTGTTATCCCGAATAACCGAGAACCGAGAAGTAAAAATCCGCGAACTTGGGGGGCCCCCTGTATTTGTACATAAAATATATTAATTGTAGCTAAGTACAGTAAAACCCTCAATACACAGTATTGTGATTTGATAGTAAGCTTTCATTTTTATGCGGCACCCTGAATTCTTCTTATTTTCATTATTGTACGGTCAAACTGCTTAATTTTGCAAGTGTAAGCTAAGAACTCAGTTATGAATCAACACAAAATCAAAGGAAAAAATATGAAAAATGCCAGAACCGATGTTAAAAAAAAAAAATCACCTTCAACAAAGTTTTCTGACATAAGAAAAAAAAAAGATAATGTCAGAAATGAGGTGAAGCATCGATGTTTACTTGGTTACTATTGTGTCCAAATTTTAACTTCCTAGTTCAAAGACTGCCAGAGATATCACCCAGAAAAGCAAACAGCCAATGTGACAAACAAATGGAGTATCCACTGAGTATCCCCCTTGAGGTTCACACTGGATCTGGAGAGAGAATGGAGGAGGGAGGTAGTGTAAAATATTTTGCCAAATTTTAATGAGGCAATTGGCCCCCAAAAAAGGGAGTTCTCAAAGGAAACAAGCTACTGGATAAGAAAGCTAAGTAAATAGCTACACATGATATATATGAAACTATAAAAACAATCTTGGAAAGTATTAGAAACTTTAAGGTTACACATACAACTTTTTATATAATATTCTGAGAAAATACAGTACTGCTACACACCTCGGGCATGTACGTTCTGGTTGGTGATGTTGGGAAGATATCTGCGTCTGCCCAACAGGGTGAGAACATAACCTTTCTTGCGGCATTTCTCTAATGTACCTTGCATGAACTGCTGCACTCCAGGAAAGCGTCTCTTGAACTTGTCCATAAAAGAGAGAGCTTCAGCCTCCTCCACATTCAGTTGCTCACTCAGTGCCTGAGCACCCATGCCATAAATCATGCCATAGCAAATCTGTGAAAAAGTAATCATTTTATTCTTTAATATAATTACTGTACAGGTATGATAATAATTGTTAAAGATTTAAATAGTAAAATATTTAGATTGTCCTCATTTACAATATGCCAGCTTTGCAAGACCGGGATTGGCCTCTATATAGTTTACTTTTTATTGCCCAATTATCATTTATACCAGGCAAAGGTTCACATGTATAGGAGTGCACATTGCACTTTTCATCTTTTCAGTGCATAATGCAACATGTGAAAATATTTTGTATGTCAGAACACACCTGGAGTTCTTGTATATAAACATTTACTCTAATTGCTGACTTAAATGATCTTTTGCCCACTGATAATGTCAGGTTCTTCTTCTAAAAAAGGTATAAGGATTATTAACATGAAGATTTTAACAGAAGATATTGAGGGCTTGAAAATGGTGAAACAACTGCAGGGCTCAGCAAGTGGACAAGTCAAAAATTTCTACCAAGAGGAATACAGACAAAATTAGGTTCGCAGTTAAAGTTTATTATATTTTCAGACAAAATGACAAGAGTTGTGCAGATGGAACACCAAATTCAGAGGATCAGTAACAATAAGTTCTGCCATCACTTGAGTTAAAGCACTAACTGTATTAATGCACATGCTCATTAATAATGTCAATTGGTTAAGTTTGGGTTTTGGTAAGATGACATAACTCACCTCAGGTCACTAACTACACCACTAATCTACTACTATATCAATAATAAATTACCCCTCACACCTGAGTGGGACACATCTGAAATATGACCTGGGTTACTTGAATAACTTAAGTCTAGTTAATTAGTAACACTGTAATTAAGCTTAACTGATGTCATTTGAGCGTCTATTTTAAGTGTTTGTATTGCTTCATATTAATAAAAAACAAAAGAAGTCACATTAGTTTATCATATAACACTGGTCCTCCACCCCTGTTTTAGGCATGATGGAGAGAAGAACGGGGATACTATCTTATGGTAAAAAAAACAAAATAAATAAATAAATTTTTTGCTCAGTAATCTACCACTGAAACAACATTCCCTGTGCAGGAGAAGGTACAAAACTTAAGATTCAGACCTGCTTAGCTTGTTGACGCTGGTCCACAGTCACGTCCTCTGAGTTTGTCGTGTTAATCTGTGCCGCAATGGTGGTGAACACATCCTCACCACTGTTGAGCAAGTGCAGGAGTTTGTTATCAGATGCCAAGTGAGCAAGTAACCTCAGCTCTACCTGGGAGTAGTCTGCAGCTAGAAGGACACTACCTGATTGAGCTACCAATGCATGGCGGAGACTCACTGTGTGTTCTTCTTCTCCTGTCTGTTCATAATATCAAAGTTTTGGTGATATTTATTTCACTTCATACAGGAATTTATATATTTTATAATGACATGATGATCATTTATTTTTCAGGAGAAAATTATATAAGTTAATAACTATCAGGTATAAAATTTTTCCAATGAAAATATTGTTCATTCAAGAATGTAAATTTATGTACAGTACAATACTGTACTATAATAAAAAAATTAAAAGAGAATTCTTCACCCACCAAGAGTGGAGCCAACTGACACATGATGCCAGAGTTTACTTGAGCATGCTGCTGCTGTTTTGATGCCCCTATTCTCTCTCTAGTGTGATCTGCAGCAACCTGTTAAGTTTTCCTTGTTATTTCAGTTACCAAAAAGAGGAAAAGCACAGAAGATGGGGAGTTTGAATGTGGAGTAAGAGTGATGAGATGGATGACTTTATTTATGGTAAACAAAAGGACATGGATAACTTGTTATGTGTAAAATTATGTTGAGAGTTAAATGTAGGGACTACTAGGGAGAAGCAAGGGGTGGGACATAAACTCAGGAATGACCAAATGGGTAAGAATAAAAGAGAATGTGGCAGTGTTGTTAAGTAATAACACTTGCTATTATAAAATGGAATGTACTGGAGTCAATATCAGAATATTATAGATGGCTTTTAATGTGTGGTGTGAGAAATGGGTTACTGTGTGTTCTTATATGAGAGGGAGCAAAAAGAAGAGAAAAAGTAGGAGAGAGATTTTTGGAAGACCTGAGTAACGACTGAAAATATCAAAGTAAAGAATTATAGTTAAGAGAGGTTAACATGCTAGAATGGGTGGTGTCATGTTTATGATTGGATGATGCTGTTAGCTGTGTACAAACCTCAGAGCCATCCAACAGGATACAGTACAAAGTTCTACAAAAGACTTTGCACCAACATGACACATCCCAGTTTATATTAACCATCCACTTTAACCCAAAGCAAAATATCACAGAAGAAGGGACTATACGAGGCTATGAAGTGCTGGTAACAAACAGAAATGGAGAGAGAGTGATGGAAGTGTGTGTGTGTTGGAAGATGCTCAATAGTAAGGAATATGTGGTTCAGAAAGAAATTTATAAATATACCATACATGGAGAAGAGGTAATGGAAAAGACACATGTTTGGACTGTGTTGAAAGACAGAAGTCTGAATGGTTCCAGTCAACAAAACACATTTCCTTTCACCACATTCCAATCCACCTTTCTTCTCTTTATCGTCATCCCAATTAATGTACTGTACATAATCCTCATTCAGAGTAGATACAATAAAATGGAGAAAAGGAGACTTGTCTGAGGCTTTATTGGTTTAAGAAAAGTTTGCATGATCTTTAGTCAAAACTGTTATGATAATACTATAACAATCTTACTTTGTTTAGTTTCTTCGTTTTATTATCCCTGGCGATCTTGGTAAGTTGAAGTTACGTAAATCCTGAGGAGTGCGTATAACTTTAATGGCCTCGTCATAATCAATCACGTACTGATCAAAGTCTTTCTCTGCCCTCTCTAAAATTTGCCACACAGATTCTTCATCAACTAAATCATTGATTACTGATGCCGGCAACAGTTCGGTTCATTATAAGACTGAGTTATGGGCTCACTTTCACTATCATTCGTTGGGTCAGGCTCACTTTCACTATCATTCGTTGAGTCAGGCTCGCTTTCACTATCATTCGTTGAGTCAGGCTCACTTTCACTATCATTCGTTGAATCAGGCTCGCTTTCATCACTCTCAAGGTCAAAGCATGTCTCGTCACTGTCCACTTCTACCGACTCACAGTCTGTATGTTCTTGTGATACATTCGTGTCACTTTGTGTTACCAGTAGACTCACTTTCATCATTTTCATCTTCACTTTCACTGCCATTATTGCCGTCAGTGCATGTCACGTAACTCTGTACCGGAACACAGTCTGCAAAAAGGTCTTGTGATGCATAGCAGTCACTTTTTGTATTATGAGTACTGTATACCAAAATCACTATCACTATCACCTGGGGTGTCCATGTGAGTACTGTCGCCACTAAACACACACTCAGGAATAATAGGCTCCTGAACCCACACCAGAAGGCCTGGCCTCACTCGAGCCTTGCTCTAATATCGGGCAGATATTGTTCAGCACTTCTCTCACCCGTGGAACACAAATAATGTCAATGTTATGCCAAAAAGTTATCAAAAATAGCAGTAGAACGTACACTGAACCTCTTGATGCTAAAATACATGCCAAAACTAAGGAGGAGGCAACATATGTGCCCCTCAGAAAATCGTTCCCAAAGCCTGAATTTTCCGGAAAGTTCAGGCTTTGGGAACGATTTTCCGAGAAAATTTCAATTCCGGCTATCGGAGAGTTCTGGGTCTGAGGGATTCTGGCTAACGGAGATATTACTGTATACAATACAGGTAAAGGAAATGACTGTACTGTCTCTAGAATGAATGGCTCCCTGTCCCGGCCACGAAAATGCCAGCAACTTTAAAACTCCCTTTAGACATTCTTGGGTACATCCAGGGTGTCATCCGCGAATAATAGAGGACCGTGAATTATCCGGGTATACTATACATATCAGTGGTTCGTAACAGCAATAAATTCTAACCTGAATACTGAAATCTCTTGGAATATTTTGAAGGTTAGGCTCATGCATTGTGATTCTGCCTGTAGCTGTGAAACTGTAAGTCTGTGTGTGAATGCGATCCATGGCCAGGCGGTGAGAGTAGACACATGCTTGTTGAAGAGGGAACACAACCTGTTGGTAAGAAAGTAACAACCACATGTTAATAAACTAAAAAAGATGTGATTTTATACAAAACAAAAAGCAAGTGTGCCATTTACTGTACAATATTTGATGATTTATTTTTAAAACAGTCTGTTGCAAATTTTCAGCCCAAATAATCATCTTGATGTGTTACTCATAAGAAAAAGGAAGTAAACGGGTAACCCTCGATAGACGAACTTTCGATACGAAATTCACTTATATGAATTTCCTAAATTGACACCACTATTTCAGGATATGAAATCTTCCTCTGCCATTCGTTGTATGTGTTGAAGTGATCTCTTTCCCTGTGTATTTGTGACATCCTTTCAATATGGCATCCAAGCGTTCTGCTCAGCAGGAAACACAGTAAAAAAAAGTATCGCGCAGGGGGGGTTGCTGACTTCTGTAATGATCCATACATCACCTGATGTGTTCATATTCAGTTATACCATCAACTATATACTGTATACAGCAGGATATGTCATTAGCAACAGATATGTGAGGACAGCCTCAGGCAAGGACAGCAGGACTACCACCACAATACAGGACCAACACACATATTCCACTATCCCTCGTCCGTGGTGTCATATTGTTTTGCACATAATCTGTGCGGTACTTTTTTTACTGTGTGTACAAGTAGCTGCAGATTCAGCAGATGCTGAATCTGCAGCTACTTGTACTACACCCAAGAAACCACGAGAGGCTGTGACTTTTGAGACAGAGCTGGAAGTAATTAAGAGTCATGAATGTGGTTATATCCCTACCAAGATTGGGAAAGATATTAGTCTGGCTGCTTCTACTGTGGCCACAATTTACAAGCATGCTGAGGACTGTGGTGTCCTTGGCAGACAGCAGTGATGAGTAAGGCCCTTACTCAGCCCACCCCTACTCAACCTCTTGTGGTGGTGAGCCCAGACTACTCTCCCAGCCCAGACTGCCCTCCCATAAGGTAATGTACCAAAGTTAAACAATATTTCTTTTTCTTTTTTCATATCTTAGGTAGTAATTTCATGTGTTCTAATATGGTTTTACCTTAGTAAGAGATGAGTTTATTTTGCGCCACTGCAGGATGAGTGAAGGAAGTGGGTGAACTTTTGACAATTTCTCTAATGCATCTTTGTTGGTTGGTCCACTCAGTCTACTTCCTCGACCTCCTATTTTGCTGTGACCTCGCCTTCCTCTGTCACATTAAAAAGTGCCTTGGTGAAATACTGTACAGGCATCCTTCAAAATACAGAAGCTTGAGCAATGGAAATTCACACATATACTATACACTGTATATATATATATATTAATTATAAAAAAAAAAAAATGATCTTTGAGATACGGAGGAAAACTTCTCGAAGTTTTTGGGACACAAGTATTATACAAAATTGCTTAAGCTCAGTATTTAGCACTAATAAGTATTTATTTACATGAAATGTCTTATGGACAATTCAAAGAAACTTATACAAAAACATTCGTATCTTGATGTTCTTTTCCTCACTGTAAATACTGTACAGTGATCCCTCGGTTAACGAGCACCTCGGTTAACGAGATTTCGGTTAACGATTTACCTTCCATAAGATTCTTAACTTCGGTTGACGAGCAATCCCTCGATTAACGAATTTTTTACGAGCCGACCTCAACATGTTTTCACTTGCACTTGGCGGTCAACCAGCTGTAGTATTAGTCTGCCAATACAGTAATCGGTTTTAGGGCTTAAATTCCTTACTATTTTAGTAAATATCATGAAGTTTATACTATTCAATAATTTTAAAAGTTTAATATTAAATTTTTTAGTAATTTTAACACTTATTGAACATAATTGAAGGTAAGGTAACTAGTTTTATGCACGCCATCCAGCCTGGCAACACACCAAACAGGCGCCAGTCAATCTGTCTTTTCAGTGGAGGTAACATCTTGCTTGAGACTCTCTTCAACTAAACGCTTTTTTTCTGTGTTTGCAAGCAAATTATTGGTCATTTTTAAATTTATTTTACATATTGACAATATATAATGCAGTGCAGTGTTGATTTAAAGAAAATAATCTTGAATTACACCAAGAGAACTAAAATTTTATGGGTGAAATGGTGTCATGGGGTGACTTCTCTTCCACCCCAATGCCTTCTCTTCTCCCTTCTCCTCCACCCCCATTCTAATTCCCATCATCATCATCATCATCATCATCATCATCATCATCATCATCATCCAGGAGCCTTCTACATACCCACCTCAAAGTAAGTGTACTTTTCTACTTTTTTGTTGAATTTAGGCAATTTTCGGTGAGCTGGAACCAATTACCTAAAAACCCATTGAAACAATGGTTTTGGTTAACGAGTTTTTCGGTTAACGAGCAACCTGCTGGAACGGATTGTGCTCGTTAACCGAGGGACCACTGTATACACATTTTTATATACGCTACAGTTATTTGGTATTGGTTTAGGTTAGGTTAGGTTATAATTTGTGTGCTTAATCTTGAAGTGAAATAAACTGGGGTTGGGATTCATCAGGTGATCCCATTATCACAAAGTGCAGTAAACTTGGTGAAGGAAGCTCATGAAAGCCGGTAATTCTCTTGACCAAAATATAAACAAGCCACACAACTGCTCTGATCAGAGGTAGAGTTGGGTGAGTATAATGTTACTATACTATATGATTTCCTACTTGATTCCAGTATATATTGTATTTACATGCACAAAATCATATTTTTTCCCCTACAAAACCATTTTAAAATCACTTTCAATAATTATATGATGAAACATACGAAAAAAAATCCACAAAATATCCTTATAAAATTTGGGTGCGTCTTATATGCTGGCATATACGGTACATAGAACGATTTAACACGATTCAATCTTGTATGACAATTCTCAGTCCCAAACCCTAACATTAAGGTGTTGGTCTACTATAAATTCACATGGGACATGCAGTCATACAGGATAGAGCCATTACTAAGCTCCAAGAATTAAGGAAGCAAAAAAAAACAAGGATGGCCTCCTACCTGACAGCAGCAGCAGCAGGTCCAACAGGAGATGGTAGATGGAGCTCACCATACAACACTTGGCTGATCTCATCCGGGGAAGTGAGGGAGAATGGATGACCTACAGCAGAGTACGCATCTCTCTCCAGTGAGCTCATTCTTGACTTTTTTGAGAAATAAAGGCATCAAAATAAAATACCACATATTTTACATATTTTCTGTACAGCACAGTGGTCCCTCGATGAACAAACACAATTGGTTCCACAGAGTCGTTTGTTAACTGAAATATCGTTAACTGAATCTATTATTTCAATGGGATATTGGGTAATTAGTTCCAACTCACAGAAAAAGTACATACAAAGTAAGGCCAAAAATGCATAAAGTCGGAATCATGACTAAAAATCCTCTAAATCACCCTTAAATCAATATATATATATATATATATATATATATATATATATATATATATATATATATATATATATATATATATATATATATATATATATATATATATATATATATATATATATTGGGGTATGCTATAACGAATCTAATTGGTTCTAGAACCTCGTTCGTTATAGGGTAATCCGTTCTAGGCCCCCAAATACAACCACTTAACAATGAAAAATATAATATAAAATTATAAAAATTTTAATAAAGTGCATAAATTTGCATTTAAACTCCTGAAATAAAGAATATCATTAATACTTGTAATAAAAAATAATAAATTAGTACAAAAAATGATAAAAAATACTATTCGTTGTAGGAGCTTAGTTCGTAATAGCATTCTCAATTTTATAGGTAAAACCGTTCGTTATAGGAATATTCGTAGTAGAATCAGTTCGTTATAGCAAACCCCCACTTTATATGTATATATATATATATTGCTGAAATCCTTGCAAGACAGCGAATAATTTGAATATAAACGTCATATATTTTGCACACGAGATAAAATTAATCACCTGTATCACATTACAGTTGTGATTTAAGAGTTCTAGTGTGTGTGTGTGTGTGTGTGTGTGTGTGTGTGTGTGTGTGTGTGTGTGTGTGTGTATATATATAGTGATTTAAGGGACATTTAGGGGAATATTAGGAGTGTTTCTGACTTTATGCATTTTTGGCTTTACTTTGTATATACTTTTCTGTGAGCTGGAACCAATTACCCAATATCCCATTGAAACAATGGTTTCGGTTAACGAACGACATTCTGGAACGAATTGAGTTCGTTAACCGAGGGACCACTGTAAACAATGTAGCTAAATTTATATCCAGTAATTTACTTCCTATGCTGTATAAACCCAGGAAAACAAAGACTGTTTCATTGTTTTATTCATTATTGAATTTTTCTTCACGTGGTAAGACACAGGTAACAAACTGTATAATAAAAGCTAAACATTTTTTCAAGGAATATTGTACCTGCATTATTGATTTTTGAGCCTCACACTCCTGAATGTTGAAGCCCATACCATTGAGTTCCATGCATGCCAGTGTCTGCACACATGGCATCTCAACATCCTCCTGAAAATGAAGTCAAGTAGTTGTTAGGAAAGTATTTTCTTTTGTAAACCAATTTTGTGTTTTTGGGGTGTGTTTGTGATTGGGGAACTGAACCCTATTTCTCCCATGTTTTTCTATTCGATACGAAAATTCACCTTATGAATGTTTTTTTTTTTTTGGGTGTGAACCTAACCCAATTGTATCTCAAGGGACACCTGTACAGTAATTTTGATTTACTGTGTGAGGTAATTTTAATATGTTGGGTAAAATCTACTTTTTGGATTAATTCAAAAGACCAGGAACCCCGACAATACTGAATTAGTGAGGGTTCAGTTTTGCAAATCAATTGTCGAGTTTATAAAAACATGTTTATGATTATTTTCTTCAAATTAAGTTTAATGAGTGAAGAAATATTTTCTTGTCTAATTTTATGTTAGTTTATTAAAATACAGTACAGTGTTTCATGGATATATTATATGATCCCTAAGTTTATATTTGAATATGTAAGTTTCAAAACAATTATGCTGTATTTTGGTATGGTCCAACACAACACAGGCACATATTATTCATATTCATGAAATAAAATTGTTGTGACAAACTATAGAAATCAGTTTACTTTTATATTTCTGTTACACCAGCATAAATGGCCGAGTTCTTAAAAGCTTATTTTACTCTCAGTGATGTAACAGTCCCATGCCATGATAACGCTATTTACAGTGCAGTCTCCATACTGTAATTTTCAGGTTATGTAACAGCAGACACGGAGAATTGTAGTTTAGTTGATTTAAATGGAAATTATAATTTTGGTTCCAGAGGCTAAGAAATATCCATAAACTGTTACAAAACTAAACAATGTACATAATTCATAAAAAAAAAAATCTAATGCATAAATATTGTGCAAAAAGTAGTTCTATATTACATTAAGAGCTCCTTCTCTTCTCATGATTTCACGTGGGACACTATGTCAGCAAAGAACCAGGAATTTTATACAACGCAATAACTAACTTATCTGGGGTTGAATGGGATTTTTTTTTTGCATGTGTGAAAATTTATTAGCTACTTTGCGATAATGTTTTATCAGCTCGGTACCAAATGAACCTAAATAATATGGAAATTATGGTGAAATTGTATAATGTTGTATTAATGAGGTTGAAGGTGTACCCAATGCTTGGGAATGGGGGGAAGGGGGACCTTAGTGCACCACCCATCTGCCCTGCCTTCTACACACAATTCACTTCCCACTTTTAATTGTTCTTATTTTATAGTTTTATGTAATACAGTATTTTCCTTATTTCTAAGTCACATTAGAGCATTGAAGTGATATTTCCACAAATTTTATGATTTTTATGTGAGCAAACACTGCAGCAGTCTGCATTCAGTCGGGAATTATGAATGCTTGACGGCAAAAAAAAAGAGGTGGTAATAGAGGTACTGTACCTGTGAATTGAAGAATGTGAATTTGTACTTTACACATTATCACAACTCCACTGTACAGAATTTAAAAATTCAAAAGCTGTCAATTCTAAGTAATTAGTAGAGAGATAACTTTTTAGCATGGACAGATGGGTAGTGTTTTCCACAGGCACATATTGTTTGCCCCAAAAACAGGTGTTACTCCCCTGGTTTACTTCTACAGTACTAGTTGCCATATCCAACATCCTGGAATACCGTATATCTCGGCCTATAAGACGGAATTTGAACCATAAAAAAATCAGCCCAAGGTTAGGAGGTCGTCTTAAGCACCAGATATAAAATTCTTACCTCTTAAATATTGTGGTTTAGCGTGTCAAGAGTGGTGCGTAAATCACTCACAAGGTCCTACCACTAATTATTTTATACTGAAACTTACGTTTGGGAAGCTGGATTAAAATTAAGATTACCGGTTTATTAAAATATTAAAAATGTATTATAAACCAGTCTAACATACCGTAAAAGAACAATATACCCCGGTAATAAACACAGCTGCTATCATCACCCACCCCCCCATTTGCCAGTGACAAGAAAGGGAAAATGACCTTGACTGTGGTAGCCTCCCTTTTTCGCGAAACAAGTATATAAATTAAAGAAAATACTTGCAGTGTGTTTAATATATTACAGTATGTTATAAATAAATAAATAAACAAATAAATCGGAAAATCCATTTCAAGTAAATGGAAAAATTTTACTCGACAGACACTTAAGTGAGTCACTGGTGTTTACACTACACCAACCAGTAACATTTGATGCCATTACTTGAAGTGATTATTTTAAAAAACCAAGGATGTGTAAACACCACTGGTCAATGGCATGGTTGGTAAAGGACTCCTGGGTCAGTAAGCTCCCAATGGTAAGTGTCACATTTGGGGTACCAGTCTTATACAGCGAATAGGGCTCAAAGGCTACTTTTTAAATGGACATTTTTGGGGTCGTCTTATACACCCCGTCGCCTTGTAGGCCGAGATATAGGGGTAGCAAAATTTCTTTCTAGGATATTACTATAACACTTGCAATAAAAGTTTAGATACTATACTCAGAATATCAAGTTCTACTTTGACTTACAAATGACTGTAGCATCCCAAGCTCTTGTAACTGTACTCTAAGAGCTGCCATAAGGTGATACACCACAACACTTTCTGTAGCTGCTCGAACACGGCATGACCCAGGATTATTTGTGTTTACCCCAAGACTGGCCAAGCCCCACGAACTACCAACTCCCTCCAGAAGTGGAAGACTCTCTGCACTGTAGTTCATTACCTGTGAATTATGTTAAAGTATTTATAATATTAAGCATACCTGTAATAATAAGAATAATGATCACAATAATAATAATACCATGTAAAGTGAAATGCAAGATTTCCCACCAATACCACAACATGATGCTTCAGTGCCACGAGCATCCCCACACCATGTCATAGGCCATGCCTGTGTGGAGCAGCCTGCCATTGGCCGAGGTCGGTGCTGGAGGCAGTGCTGAAACTAAAGTAGTCCAGTTGCAAGAGTCAGAAGTGGCAGGAATCATTCAGGAGACAAAAATAGCATGTGTCGTTCATAAAAAATTTGAAAACATTTGGGTGAGAATGTTCTGAAACATTATGCTGCTACTGCACTAAAATTACCATAAGTTTAACTTTACAGTAGTCCCTCGATATAACGCAAGAGTGGAACCAAGAATTATCTTGCAACATCAAGTCACATTGCATCATTCTATGAATTTCATTAGGAAATAGAGTAAACCCTTGCCATTCGCGGGTTGGATATTCGCTGTAAGCAGATGGTGGCTAGCTTGTGAGCCTCTCCAGCAGTGCAAAGAATTACCCCAATCACCCGCAGCACCTCCTCTCCCTCTATTTGTGCTCATCCATTGCCTGTGATGCAGCATCTCGTATTGTACTCTCAAAACTTTAGTGTTTCTGTGTGAAAATTGTCCCTAAAAGACTGCCTAGTCTTTTAGTGATGCTAGTTGATATATTCGACAAGTTAAAGGAGGGGATGAGTGCTGCCGCAGCTGGTCGGTTGTTTGGTGTGAACGAATCCACAGCGCGGTACATAAGAAAGAATGAACAAGCAATTCATGATTTTGTTCAAGTGAGTGCTCCTACAAGTGCTAAAGTGGTACAGGTTGTTCGTGACAAGAAATTAGTAAAAACAGAAAAAGCACTGAACATTTAGATTGAGGACCAGCACCGCAAAAATGTTCCGATCAACAGCAACGTGATTCGTGAGAAAGCTAAAGTCTTCATGCCCATCTTTATGAGTCAACAGGTGGTGAAGGGGCTACTGTGGCTACTGAACCAACTTTTATTGCCAGTAAAGGGTGGTCTGAGAATTTTATGAAAAGATTCTCTCTCCATAATGTGAAGCTGACTGGGGAGGCAGCATCAGCTGACTACACAGCCACAGATACATTTCCTGCAAAGTTAAAGAAAATAATAGAAGAGAAAGGCTATAGACAAAGAGCAAGTGTTTAACACTGATGAATCCAGTGTATATTGGAAAAAGATGCCTGGTAGAACGTACATAAACAAGCAGGAGAGGCGTGCCTCTGGGTTTAAGGCAGCCAAGAACAGTGACGCTCATCTTCTGTGGCAGTGCAGCTGGCCACATGATCAAACCTGGCTTGTTTTACTGCTCAGCAAACCCAAGGACTTTAAAGGGTAAAAACAAGAACCTTTTGCCAGTTTTTTGGCAGTCCAACAAAAAGGCATGGGTAACTGTGCAAGCAATCCTGGATTGGTTCCATAAAAGCTTCGTCTCGGAAGTGGAAAAGTAACTTGCTTCCAAGAAGATGGAATTCAAGGTGTTATTATTGATAGACAATGCACCAGGCCAACCAGAAGGCTTACAGTTTACCCATCCAGGTGGAGAGGTGGTGTTCCTACCCCCTAACACCACTGCTCGTATTGAGCCTGTCGATCAGGGTGTAATACTCAATTTCAAGGCATATTACACCAGACACTCTTCTGGTCATATCTGTAGTGCCATGGAAACAGACCCTGACCTTGGTGTTAGCAAGTGTTGGAAGGAGTACAGCAGTGCAGACTGCATTACCAACATCAGTGATGCATTCAATGAACCAAAGACAGTGAATGCTTGTTGGTGAACCGTATGGCCTGAGTGTGTGAATAACGTCCAGGGATTTCCGTCCATAGCAAAGGATGTGAATGACATTGTCAGTGTTGCACGTCAGCTGGGTGGTGAGGGGTTTGTGGACGTGGCCGCTGAAGACGTGGAAGAGCTGATTGATGGGCTTGGAGATCAACTGACAGAAGAGGATTTGGATGAGTTAGTAAAAAGTGCCGAGGAAAATGAAGCAGAAATTATGGAATTGCAACAGGGCTGGGGCTTGAACAAATTTGAACGATTTTGACATGTGAAAGTGGTAACTGATTTCATTGTTGACCATGACCCTTCCATGGAACGGAGCCTTAAGATGGTCCGAGAAATCAACCAGGTATTGGATCCCTACCAGGAAATGTTTAAAGACCTTAAAGCCAAGAGGAAACAACTACCAATCACTATGTTTTTCAAGAAAGAGCCAGCTGCTCACCCAACTGATTCGTCTCCCTCTTTCACTTAGTCAGCTGCTACCGCCACCCGCCACCACCTCCCCGCCATGCACCTCTCCACCACCCGCCTTGCCACCAACCACCACTGCATCACCCTCTTCCAACAGTGATCCTGATGATCTCTTTATGCTTCAGTAACAAGGTTTCTCCTTATGTACAGTACATCACCCCATCAAGCTCCCAACTTCCATATACGAATGTAAGTAGTACTGCATTGGTGACTTAAGTTTCTCATACACAGTGAAAGCATACAGCAGGGCACTAAGATAGCATAAGTTGCTATTCGCAGTTTTGCCAATTCGCGCCATTCTTTGGAACCTAACCCTTGTGAATAACGAGGGTTTACTGTATATGGTATAGGATTAGGACCACAGCACAAATAAATACACCAGGTGAACTAGATACAATCAGCCACACAAAAATACTTTTATCAATTTTCTGTTTCTGATGCTGCTTTTGGTTAAATTGAATGTTTCCTGCATAAATTTGTTTGTATATGATTGTACTATAATAAAGGATTTACAGACACTTCTGAACTTCTGACCATGAAGAATAAACATACTAAAGTAGAAATGAATTATACACAAGTTACTTATGATAACAGAGTCAACTTACCAAGTTATAAATATTAAGTTCTTTTTCTCCAGGATCCAACATCCAAGAAGCAACTCTTGGATCCTCAGTTGGATTCAGTATAAACCCTAGACCAGCAGCTGCCAGCAGCTTCATACAATTCTTGGCGTCCCAGACACGGAGTATTGGGGTCTTCTCTCTTTCTGTTGGCATTCCAAGAACAAGGGAATATAATTTAAAACTGTCATCAATCTAAATCAAATATCTTAAACACTTAAATTTCTATTAATCTTTCTAACCCATATCTTTAATTCCACCCACTTTACTTAATAATAATAATAATAATAATAATAATAATAATAATAATAATAATAATAATAATAATAATAATAATAATAATAATAATGATGCTGTAATAATAGCTGGTCTTTTGTTTCTCAAAAGCGCCAGTTCTTTCAAAGAATTCACTACAATAGGACTCGAAATACTTTAAAATCAAGGACCTGAGAATAAAAAAGAAAATTACTAGAAAAAATTCGCAGAAAGTGACAGTTCATATAATATTAAGTTGTAACACTTCCTAAACCCTGCAATTCCCCATCAGGATCATAAGTTAAAGAAAAAAAATATCTTAAGTTGTTTCTTAAAGGCCTCCTAAGAAGTCAACTGCTTCATGAATGCAGGCAACTGATTGTACAATCTGAGTGCTGTATAGGAAAAGGATATTAACATACATTAAGAATAGCTCTATCAGTTATGGCTAACTGGTTTCCCTGGAGGTCTAATGAGAGCCATCCTTTATGGGTGAAGTGTTAGAAGAGGGGGAAACCAGAGTAGTCAAAGAAAAGATACAATGTTCAATTGTCACTCTGGAGAACATCCTTTTTATATTTGTCCCAAGCTGAAAATGAACCCAGATCTGAGAGGTGAGAGACAAGCTACTCCAGTCCTCTCCTTCAACTATATCATATCTCACTAGGTCCATGTTGTATGTTCCATCCAATTTGTTGGAATATTCTTAACTTATATTTTAAGTTACATAAAGTAGCATGAGGGATGAAGATGATGATGATGATAAATGAAGATGATAATAATGAAGACTAAAAAATACAAATTAAATAATACTATCTCTACATTTTAAAAACATGAACATTCCAAACTTGTCTTAAAAACAGAATACTGTACTGTACTTGTTCTTGACTGATAGATCCAACAAAACCCTGATGACATTTTAACCCTTTGAATATGACGACTTAAACCCTTGAGTAAGATGACTAAACCTCTTGAGTACAATATCTTAAACCTTTCAATGATAATATCAAATATGATGATCTATAATTTGAATAGGATTGATAATGCACTCAAGGGGTTATGTCAATGTACTCAAGAGGTTAAATTTATAATGACAACTCCCTGATTTATCTACATCATAAATGACAGATGATCTCACCTCTTAGTAATGAATTCTTTATACTATCTACCCGGTTCTCAAATGAAACAGCTCCTTGTAGGGGAGGTGTTGAGAGACTGCTACTGAATGCATCTGTGATAAGAAGTATTATGTATTATCATTCTAGTGCTATTATAGTATTCTTTTTATGAACAAGAGAATAAAACATTAACTTGGTGTGGGACTTTAATACTGACTATATTCATCTGGTGATCCTGATAATGAATGGGTTTCCCGAGTGGGATACATTTGGATAATTGATTATACGGTAGCAAAGGAAACACTCAGTCAGACACAACATTACTCCAGATGTTTCATCACAAAGGACTTCACATGTGCTAAGACACTTCACAGTGATCAAGCCAGTCAAACAGAAGAACTAAAACTATGAAATTAAACTTCAATTTTATGAAAGAGAAAATTTATAGAATGTAAAATATTTTCCTCTAGAAACAAGAGTATTGTTAATAACAAAACTAACCTTCTTGAGTGGTGCGTAAATTAATATAATAAGCATCACGTCCTCCCCAGCAGACTGCCATACCTACTATCAGTAAGTCAGAATTTTCTACCACCAGTCCTGCTATTTCTTGAGATCGTTGGCTCTGCCTTCGAGTGCGACCCTGACCAGTTATTCGCCATCCTGTAGACCCAAGACAACTATCATGTTCATATATACTGTATATAGTTAGTTACAAATTAAAAGATAATTTAAATGTTCACATATTCTCACAGATGGATAAAACTGCAAAAAAATTCTTACCTATGCCACCTTTACTTCCTTGGGCTGCAATTTTTTCACATGCTAAACCTACTGCATATATCTCTTGTTCTTCCCACTCTTTCATAAAACTTTTGAATAACCTTGTGTCATTTACAACATCAATAATACAAAATGAATTTGTCATTGATGGGAGATCATTTGATACATCTGTGTCCATACCAACAGGCTTGCTCCTCTCTGAATAATTGTCTTTAGTAGAATGAAATACTTTATGTGTCGTTACACCCACACCCTGGTTACTTGATGACAATGCTTTATTTTTTTTAGTATTCTCAGTTATGTTACTTTTTACATCGCTTGCCTTCCTTTGAGAACATATTGAGATTGGTGATACGGGTGTTCCAAAGATATCATCAGACAATCTGCCTTTATTTTTCTGAGAAGGATTCACTTTGTTAAGTTCAAGTTGTAATTCATTTTCCATCAGCACACCATGATCATCTTTCATCCCTCCTTCTAATAAGGCTTCTGTGCCAGGTGTAATGTCCAACTGAGTGAAACTATGACTGAAACTATTTGTTCTCAAGACATGAACACTTTTAACATCTGTATCATTGTTACCTGTTTCCTCTTGTTGTTTGTGAAAATTTTTGTCCTTGTTTGGCTCTCGAGACCTACCATTAATATTCACATTTCCCTCAGGTTGATCATTAATATTTTCTTCTATTACTTGTTGGACAGGTTGAGGCTGGTTATGATGAAGTAATTCTTCACCTGGAGATGACAGGTATAGGTAACTCTCAAAAGCTCGGTCAAGAAATGAATCAGATAATGTTTCATCCTCTTTGGTGTCTCCCTTATCATCCAACTCTAATTCCTTAACTTCACAAAAGTTTTGATTTAAAACTTCAGCTGTTTGATTTTTACTGTAGGAATCTTCATTTTTTGAGCATGATGGACAAATACTGCTGTTCAATTCTGCTCTATCTCTTGAAATATCTGGTTGAACATTTACTAATAAGCATTTTTGTTTAGAAACTGTCTGTAGATATGAACCATCTACAGCGTTAATCTCTTTTTCTTTATCACTTTCAATGTCTTGAATTAAACTAAAGTCAAAGTCTTTTGGACAAACTTGATGGATGATAGATTTCTCATCCTGTCTGTTATTCAAAACTTCAGTTGACATATTTAGAATGTCCTTGTTGACAATTTCATCTAATCTGGACTTCTTCTGAGGGGAAAAACTGTCAACTGGAGACCTCCTCTTATACTGTATTAATGATTCAGATTTATTAGCTCTGCAATTCTGGTTGCTGGTACACTTCCCTGCTGGTACACCAGGATTACTTTTAATGGGGCCAGTCTTATGAGCTTCAAACTTAGTTTTCAGCATTACTGTACCCTGCTCTCTCCTGTCACCTTTGGTGTTTGGCTCTACATTGTGTGTGGGTCTATTCTTTATTTCAGTTGGTCGTATTGATTCTTTATGGATAACACCCTCTTGTAAAACACATACATTCTCAGACCCAAAATAAAAATCCTGTGAATCCAACATCCTTAAAAGATTATCTTTTTGTGAATCAGAAAGAAGGTCAATACTCACATTACTGTAGTTTTTCTGTGTCACACTACAGAGATATTTTGTTTCAATGTCACTTGACTCTGTTTTACTCCCTTTTGTGACAGCCTTTTTACTTATACAGGATAATGAGGTATTTACAAAGTCTTTGGAGCTATCTCTGCCATTTTTCTCATTAAACACATTTCTCTCTTTATCCTTAATCATCTCTTCAACTTTCTGAACATGTTCGTCAAAACAGGATATGTCAAAAGTTGGAAAGTCTTCTGAAGCTGAAATGGCAACAGCATCATTTATAATACCTGCAGGTGTCTGTGTTGGTGAAGTGATAAGTTTTGCAGCTGTGTTAGTAATAGGTGTGGTGGCACTCACCTTTAACATTTTCTTGGGTTTATCATCAATTGGTGTGTTTGTGTCCATTCCATTGCTATGATCTCCATCTAATTGACTACCATTATCCTGCACCGGTGTTATTTTGATCTCTGGTACAACACTTTGCTCACACGGCCTCAAACAGTGTTTCTGTTGTTCTGTCTTAGTGGTCTCCTTTAATGAACTATTAGTTTTATTTGTAAATTCTTGTACTGCCTTCAGATTATTGTATTTCAATCCAAAAATTTTAGGTCGTTTGGGGGTAAACACATTATCAGATTTATCTTCCTGTGATTCAGGAATCCAAAAAGATGTGTTCTCCTTGTCCATTCTCACTGCCTCCTCCCTGACTTTAGGTTTCCCAAATAACAGACCAACAATGGTTGACTTCTCTTTGAAAATATTCTTGGCATAATTCCCAGAACTTTGGTTGGTTGGCCCATTACTATCAAAATTTTCTTTATCTTCAGCTATATCAGCATTCCTTGACACTTTCAATTTATATTCATCATTGCTCTTTCTGGTATCCTTAACTTCTCTCTTTCTATTTTTGGCCTTCCCTTTGGTGTCTTTTCTCTCCCTTTTTTCTGACTTATTCTCTTTCTCTTTGTTCTTGTCATTACTAGGTTTATTTCCTGTTTGGTCTGCAGGAACTACATTATTACTTTTACCAGTCTCAGAAACTGTCTTCCCATTTTCAAAAACTGTATTAATACCCTCATCAGTTCCTACATTCCCATTTACTGATGTAAATACAGTTCCATTTTCCTTGACACTTTTTGCAGCACCAGTAGTACGGTGTAGAGGTTCAGCAGTGGTTCCTGCACCATCATGATCCCTAAGATTATCTTCTAGCTTATCAGGTTCTCCTCTTGTACTGCAACTTTTTAAATTTATCTCATCTTGCATACATTGTTCAGATGATGCATTTATTGTCATCTTTTTTGTGTCAATAATAATTTTTGGCGACTTTGATTTTCTCCTCAGAGCCAATATGAGTGGAGATATCCTCTTTCTTGCCTTAGTCTCAATGACTGGAGTCACAGCTCCATTAATGCTATCTTTCCTTCTGGCTGCCTCAGGTTGCAGTATGGGATTTGGCGAGATTGAACTCCTTCGTCTTGTAATACAACTTGTACGGTTAGCTGAAGTAGAGCCATGTGTTCCAGTGGACGGCTTTCTTCCTGGGGTAATAATTCCTTTAGTCTCTCGTGTCCAATCTATTGAAGCTATGCCAAGATCTTTCTGAAACACAAAATACAAAAATTTATATTTAAAATGTTTAATTTTCCTATACCCTGTACTGTATGATGTGACTCAGCTGCTTATAGGCATTATGATAAGTTATAAAAACACGAAAGAAAAAAATTATGGTGTGTACAAGTACTGTACAGTACAGTACAGTAAACCCTCCAGTTTGGCAACTTTCTGTTTGGCGAATTCGAAGTTGGCAGTCAAAGTTCAAAATACCCTGCCCTCCATTTTGGCTACCAAACCCTCACCTTTGGAAAGAGTTTAAATTTAAATGCAATCACAACTAATAATTGTAGAATAATAAGTGAAAGATAAATCTCGCTTAATACTACTGGTGAGTATTTACCGAGCACAAAGCACCAGTCAGCTGTTCAGGCAGCCATTTTGACTGAGTCAATCCACATTCCCGCTGTTTGTTTGTGACTTTGGCCTGTGTGTACATTTTTTTTTTTTTTATTCACTCGCTTGGCGTGGTGTTCTCGTGTAGATTAATGGCCTCAAAAGTACCTGGGGGTATTGGAGGGGATGATAGTGTTGGTGAGAGACCATCAAAGTGCCCAGACAGTTCAAATGATGGGGTAAAAACAAAGACGAAAAATTATCGTGAGTATCGAGTTGGGAAGAAAGTGAAAAAGTACTCATTTGAGGATAAAAGAAAGACTGTGGATATGATTGAGCTTACCAAAGGACTTTTATTTTGAAGGCTTTGATCTAGTGGTGGCAGTGGTGGAGGAGGGGGGAGGGCAGAGACTGGAGGTTTGGGTGGGGGGCGACAGATGTTAGCCTTCCTTCCCCAGCCTCAGATGCCAGCTTAGTGTACACCCCAATAAAAAATTATTCGGCACCCTTACGACGTGATACAACATGACAAGGGGGCGGTGTACATTAAACACCTCAACCTATAATTTTATGGTTGGTTTTCTATGTTTATGTTGATTAACTAATTAATCATTCTCTTTCAGCAATAAAATATAGGTTATATATGGGTAAAATAGGAAAAAATTGAGGCTTTGGCTGGTCCCTCGGTACCAATTAGGCTTTTTCCCATTGGATTGAGCCCTCTGGTTTGGCGAGGGTTTTTCGGCACCAATTTGTCGCCAAACTGTAGGGTTTACTGTATGATTAATGAGGGCAATCAATAAGATGAGGAGAAGATTGGAGCAGATCTAGGTTGTGTGTGGGTGGGAGGGAGATTTCCATGGCACCTCCCTCTAATTAATTCTTAAATATTAACAGCCAGTTGATTGTCTAGCTAAGTTAAGCAGCACCGAAAATGGAAAGGAATTAATTTTTTTTTTAAATATTTATTACATTTTTTTCCATCCTGAACATATGAATGGCTATTCTGATGCAACATCTCCAACGTTTACATGAGGGAAATATTTTCTCGAATACAAAGAAAAAAATGAAAAATAATTTTACAAAAAACTTGTTGCTTCCCATTTCAAGGACAAATTCTGCAAATTAATGTACAGCTGGTCCTCCCATTTCTTACTTTATTACTATCCTTCAAAAGTGGTCAATCTCTTAAGAAAACAGAATCTCACCTGCACTAACTGCCGAGCTTCATCAACAATGAGGTCAGCAGCCTGACCCTCGGTAAGGGGGCGACCAGATGATAACCAGATGGTGCCTTCCTGTTGAGTCTCCATCTTATTGCTGCAAGGATACCCAATATTAGAGTAAACGAAGGTCAAACTAATACTCTACCCGGAACTGGACCTAAAATTACATACTAAATCAGTAAGTTAAGTTGGATTATGTGAGGGGTAGGTTGCTTAGGTTGGGTTAGGTTCCATGTTCAGATCCAAGGAGTGCTCAATCCCAACCGAGTACAGGCAGTCCCTGGATTATGAACTTACAAACATCCGCCAATATCAATGGGGTTAAACTTGAAATTTATATTTACCTGATGACTTACCGGGTATGTTTTGCTTTCATTTACAGGGGGTCCCCGGGTTATGAACAGGTTCCATTTCTGAGGACATTCTTAAGTTGGATTTGTATGTAAGTCGGAACACATGCTATGTGCATACTGTACCTACAGAACAATGTTTAAAATCCCACTTAACTTAACACAAAAGAAGAACAGAATGACAAAACACAGTAAATGAAAGTAGAAAATAAGTCATCAGGTAAATAAAATACTGTACTATAAATTTCAAGTTTAACCCCGTTCGTATCGGTGTGCATTTGTAAGTTGGGGACCCCTGTACTGTACTGTATTTTGTCATTCATTTCTTTCTTTTTTCTCTTAAATTAAGTGATTTTAGATGTATATAAGGACTTGGGTTATGATATATGTGGTGGGATTTTAAACATTGTTTTGTAAGTATGGTAAGCACATAGCATAGGCATGCTCCAACTTATATACATTTTCGACTTCAGAATGTCCCCAGGAATGGAACTCGTTTGTAACCCGGGGACTGCCTGTAGAGTGCAGTACTTAACACATACCTAATTTGCAGCCACGAAAGAGTAACTATTTTCTACATGGTCACTACTAATATTAGTTAAGACTACAGTATTGTGTGAACTATCCATATTAAATTAAAAAATAAATCAATTAATAGTACTGTAGTAGGTTATTCTATCGTCTTTATTTTTCCAAATATTATATTCTCAACATCCTAAGATTCAGTACTACCAAAGACTATCTCTGAAATACAGTAGAACGTCGATTTAAAGCGATTCAATTTAAGATTATTGATTTAAAGCGACACCCACAATTAAGGACAATGTTTTAATTTAAAGCGAATCTTTCCTATTTTGCACGAGTCAATTTGGTGCATCATATTTTAAAATTCGAGCCTAATGTTTCTCTGGGCAGGCTACACTGTCCTAAGGGCAAACCTGTACCGTACATGTACTCAAAATAATATGCTAAATGATTACTAAAATTCTTGTCTAGCGCAAATTTCTATAGCATGTTTATATTCAAATTAATCACTATCTTATAAGAATTCCAGCAATGTAAATTATATTCTCTCCGGTCACTTCTGTGACATTTTATAAACAAAAAAGAAAAACTAAATCTAAAGGACATAAATAAACAAATAAATACTTCACTAGACCTTCGACGCCAACTGTCAAACGTGTCACTGTCACCTCCCCCCCCCCCCATCAGCTGATCGCAAGTACTGCAAACAGTGAAGCTTTCCTTGTGCGTATTTACAGCTGATTCGCCAGGCAAGAAGATGATGGTAGCAGTGCGTGTGATGGAGGGTGGGGTTGGGGGTTTTGAGAATTGCAATTAAATGCCAGGTAGCGACGTGTCCTCCTAATATTACGTATTAACTAGTTATTAGATGTTTTAATTGCCTGTATGTTGGCCTGGCGAGTTAATGCCTGGCATTTACATTCATAAGTACAAAGCTAGACGTAGCATTCTGAACTATATCACAAAAACTGTTTTTTAGAAAAAACCCAGCTTTTATTTATTCTAGGAGATGGGCTGAGGTGCATCTGGGTAGACTCTCAGTCTTTTTAGTATTTTGTGTTTCTCTCAAGTACCAAACTAAATTAATCCATTGAAACAACACTTCAATTTAGTGCGAATTCGGTTTAAATCGACCTCTCTTGGAACCTATCTCGTGTATATCAACGTTCTACTGTATCTATTCTCTCATCAACAAACGCCATAATTATCTGCAAAAATTGGCTCAAATGAGAGAGAGATAAATTTTCATAACAAAATCCAGTATAACTAACAGAAATAGTCTCATTTTCAACTGTTATTAATTCAGCTGTCGCCTGGAAGATGTACAACACCAATACAGTATATTAAGCTATTAGTTATACTGTATCTCAACATTCTAGTGAAGCCAATATACTGTATTGTACTTGATTCCTGTTACTGAAAATCAATGTCATTATTCTGTGGAATATATAAACATGGATGGTGGTGAAAAAACAGGAGTGAGTGAGTGTGTAGGTGAGTGTGTAGGTGAGTGTGTAGGTGAGTGTGTGTGTGTGTGTGTGTGTGTGTGTGTGTGTGTGTGTGTGTGTGTGTGTGTGTGTGTGTGTGTGCGCGCACTTGAGTTACATTGTGTCTACTCGTGAACAGTGTTTATGTACTGTATGTGGAAGAACATTTTAGTTGAGGGCATAAAAGTGACCTTATTCTTTTTTAACATATCTAAATAGAATTACTTATTATTAGGGCCCGGATAGTTATGCATTTGCATATTTCATATGCAAATGCATATTTTGCGTGATTTCTATGATAAGTGCATATTACCTAGATAACTGCATATAAATGCATATTTTGGTAAAATATTCATCTGGCAGTATCTCTTTGTTGCCACTGAATGAGCACACGTGGTACTGGGAGGTGAGGTGAGGTGTGGTTAGGTGAAGTGAGGTGAGGTCACGTCGCTTTAATCTGTCGTTTTCACACCTGGTCATGACTCGGCAATTTCGTTGGTTAATGGTGTTCTTGATGAACTGAAAAGTTTGCAGTCTGATGCTTACTATGGTAAACTGAGTAACGTGTTGTACAAAAACAAGGGATTTGAAAAGCTGAAAAAAGTCAGTCAGATAATGTCTGGTGATGCTATTATTGACGAGACGGTACAGCCACTCACTAGGTCAGACCTCCTATGTATGAAACATGCACCAATCGTCTCGTGTGATGTAGAAAGGGTGTTCTCAGAATATAAAGCTATGCTGACAGACAACAGGCGGGGTTTTAACTTTGAGAACTTACGCCACCATGTCATCATCAAATGCAACCACAATCTGTAATGTCTGAAAATATGTCGGTCTATAATGTAAATACATGTTCATATATATTTTTTGAAGCACTTTCACATATATATGTTAAATACATTACGTATATTGCTTAATAAACATTAACATTAGTTTATATTAACTATTTTGTTTCCGTATAACCTGCATTCTTGGCTTTATAAGTGACATTTTTAGTGCATATAAATGCATATTTCCCCTGTTTTAGTGCATATTTGCATGCATATTTCATGGTTTTTTAGTGCATAACTATCCGGGCCCTACTTATTATATATTAGTTAAATATGTATGGTGGATTGATATGAAACATTTAAAATTTAATGTAGAGGCTAAGCATTCATATCTTTACTGTGTATGTACGTTGAGAATAAGGAAAAGTAGGAGAGGAAATTTCTACTTTTCTTATCTCAGCCATATTGCTTAAATAAATACAATACCTGTTTTGAAATACTTTTCCCTATTCCTCCTTTCTCTGAGACAGCTTTATCCTTTAATCCACCCCATACAACGGTGGGTGGAAGAGCAAAATAAACTGACAGACAGAGAATTAAGTAGAACTGTACTACCTTTGGAATGGGGCAGTAGAAAGCAGTATGTTCTCTATATCTTGAGGACTGGCATGAGCCAACATTTTGACTGTCTCTAGCCCTGCATTATACAAGACTCGGGCACGCTGGCCATTAAGATAAGATAACCTGACCAAGTCACACAATTCTCGCTGAATTCCAAAGTGGAGACGATCATGAAACTGGGCCAGCAGTAACTCCATGTTGTGCCAGCCAAGGCGATTACAAAACACCGTCACCATACCTGGAAAAAACGACCATCAGCATAAACTTGCCATAAATTAGTTAACAGAATTAAGTTAAACTCTGATGTCAGTCAAAGGAGTATTTTAATAAAAGAATAATTTTCAAACTTAAAATTTAAATTGCATTTAACCAGCAGTCAAAACGAGTCACTATTAATCCACTGTGACAGTTTTAGATCAGACAATTTACTAACCATTACTCATTTACTATTGTGATACAAATATATATATACAGTGATATCTCCGTTAGCCGGAACAATTGGTGCAGAGCACTTCCGGGAACGAGACAACTCTCTCGAACCTGGGAAAAAATCCCTCATCCCTGTAATTTTCCTAGTACCGGAAAAAAATTTCAGAATTTTCCGGAAAATGTGCCCCTCAAAAAATCGTCCCCAAAGCCGGGAATTTTCCGGACAATTACAGATTTCGAACGATTGTCCGAGAAAATTTAAATTCCGGTTATCGGAGAGTTCCGGGTTTGAGGGATTCCGTGTAACGGAGATATTACTGTACAGGACATGTACTGTTGGTATCTCTAAACAGACCGTTTATTTTTTGTCATATGTATAGATAACACAGTATCAGAAAACATAGCTACTAATTAAAGGTTTTTATAATCTAAATTTGTACACATAATCATATATTTATAAGTAGAAGTATATGTGCATAACCTTCTTCAAAATTCACTGCGAACTCCAGTTAAAAAAGTAGAAAAGTCAAATTCAGGTGATGTCATCAGACAGCTGACAGTTCTCCTTTAATTCAGGAAAATGTTATGAGGAGATCAAGAGTATGAGTTTTATTGATCAAGTCCTGGCACTCATGACACAAGTGGCCAATGGTCCTCTTCATGGGTTCATCACACACCATCAACATGATAAACAATTACCCATCTTAACAGCATGACTTACAATATCCATTTTCATCATACTGTGACTAAAAATTATATGAGCCTGAAAGATAATTCCTTATGACTTGACTACTTCACAGTTTGTTAATTAGCCTCTCTCTATGTACAGTAACTTGTTTTATGTGTTCAGAGTTTTATCCCTCCATGAGAACTCTCTACCACTGTACTGGAAGGTTTCAATATCTAAGAACAAACACACACACTCTCACACTCTCTCCTCTCACTCATTCTTACTGCAGTGTTAGATGTATTCTGCTACAGTATGCCATATCAAATCTTTCTTACACATCTTGGTTACTATTATTATACATTTTGTTGTTTGTAAACACTACTGGATACATACACAGAGTTAACTATGCAATCAATGATGTATAACTGCACCCAAATTTACAAGTACAGGCACTGTATCAATAATTCTGGTAAATAAAGTTGGAAAATGCTTTATCATCAAACTCAGCCAAAATAGTCATGAAAGGAATATGCACAAGGAATTTCATTTCAATTCATACAACCTTTCTAAAGTTACAACAAAAAATTATTTAATTCAGATGGCACCTCTACAATGTATATGCCTCGTGATGAAGGGCAGTGTTGGGCACTAGTCTACATTTATATGAGTAAGAGAGTGACCTTCCACGTACGAAAAAAAGTATCCCAACTTTTCAACAATGTTTGTCAGGTATGTGATGTCCTCTTTAAGTAATTATAGAAAATATCAAAGTACATTCTGTGACGAAATGAAGCCACTCATAGGAGATCTTCAGAGAAATAAGTGTACCTGAGAAACAAGTTTGTATGTGGGAGCTTTAGAAGAAATTTTTCCAGAGAAATATTTATCACATTTAGGTTTATTACATATCAAAGTCCAATACTCTTTATAGACATAAAAAGTATGTAGTTACATACATACATACATACATAAATAACATAAATAAATAAATAAAAACATGCACAGATAAAAAAGCCATTACATCACCAGAATATATAAGTTTTATTTCACCTACCAGCAAATGAAGCAGCTGACTGTTGAAGAGACTGAAGCATCCCTCTGCAAGCACCATATTTCTCGGCCACAGTGTTCAATGGCACTTCCTGGACAAGCTCGTGAAGTGCCAGAGCAGTATAAAATCTCTGATGTATTGCCAGTTGTTTCGCATTACTTTTCAACTGTTTGGGAGATACAGAAGCAGGTGTTACAGTACAATGGAAAAGGCTTTGGCACTGCAGGACCACAAGGGAGGAGAACAAGTACTGTGCTGTACAGTATACTTTACTCACTTTATGCTGTTTCTTTCATTGAGATGAGGAAGATCAAAGCAGAAGACAGAAGTTAGGGAGGAAGGATGTAGCTAGGGGGGAGGGATGTGGAACAGACATACAAGATATTGGCATGAGAGTGGAGGACAATGAACACAGGAGCTGAGCCCCAACCTTTAGAAATTGTAAAAAGGGAAGAAGAATCCAAGACAAGAAGCATCAGGCCAACACAGGCACTGACGTGACCGGTGATCCGCTCAGCACATACTACAGTTAACTTCCTGAAGCACTAATAACATGAAGTAATTGATGCAAACTATTGTATTAGCTTTTTAAACAGCTAATTCATCTTCTAGTCTTGATTAAAAATGTAAAGTTCTGTAAAACTGCATATCTATGAAAAACTATATCATTGCTCTTTTGTGCTTCTTCACTTATTGACTTTTTCTCCTTATTCCCATAAGAAAACATATTTTTGGCCATAATCAATTATCCATACACTGTACAGAATATACATACATATACTGCATTTTGACAAAGATAAGCCACTCTAGTACCATCTGTAATTAGTCCCCACCACCATTACTACCTCACCCTAAGCTAAAATTACCATCAGTATCGTAAATACTTTCTACAGAAGTGAAATATTAGTTCTATGTGTAATCAGTGGAGTAAAAATTGAAATTAATCATTGTTGCATTGCAGAAATAATATAATATACTGTACTGTACTGCAAATGTTTGTTTACTTTATGTTCCAGCAAATAAGTACAGGATGTCTTTTGAATTGTATCACAATTAGACAAATTGAATCTCTACCACCTGTTTCAGGCAATGTCTATATCATTAGTTCATTCTTTTTGCACTTTTTGTAGAAGAATAGTGACATAGCATACAGCTAATGTGATTGCTCTTTTAGCTTGATGCCAATCAGAAAAATAATACAGGTCCACCACTGATTTTCTGGCACCCTTGGTTCCAAAGCCTTGCTGGATTATCCGTTTTCCTGGACCAACCGAGGTCAGGTAATAATAATTCAACAATACACCTCTGACCCACTAATGTGGAACTGCTAGAAACTTAAATTAAACAAATATTAAATTTAAATTAAATGTGAAAAAGCCATAATTTTGAGCAACATCACTGTACACACTTTGTGCTCAAATGTACTACAGTAGAAGTCCAAAAATCCGGACTGCTTGGGGATTGGATCGGTCTGGATTTTCGGATTTTCCGGATTCTCAGGCAGTACTTTTAAAATTCAAATTTAAGGAAGAATAAAGAAGAGATGAACAGGTACATTTTGATAGTTTATTCATTAGCAAATATAGCATGCTTCATTTATCAAAACGAGCAGTTTTAATGAAAAAGCTGTGAATTCTAAATTTTATTCTTTGCCTTTTATATATCATAAATTGTAGACTTTCGAATGTCGTATGTTTCCATTAGAACAGTATTGCTCACACCACGTTCTAGTTTCTTAATTATTTCAAGTTTGTCACTCAATTTCAACGTGTTCTTCTTTCTCTTCACACAACGAAGTTTATCTACTTTAGGAGCCATTATTATGGGCTTGTACAGTACTCTGTAAATGGAAAGAGTAGGACTCAAAATATTGTTATATTACAATGGTATTCTATTCATACTGTGCTTGATATAATGCATTCACGGAAATGTAATATTTTTGCTGAACGTACGTATTACAGTGGAAAGTGGGATAAAATCGTAACGAAAACAATGACTTTCGCTTTCTTTCGTTCAAAACATGTTACCGTAATAGCTTTTCGAATGGTTTTCAGTTCAAAAACTGTTGTATTACAATAATATTCTATCCTAATTGACTTGAATAAATACTACGATACTATATTTCTGAATATTTTCATTAAAATCCATCAAAATCATTTTCCTTGTCATCGTCTGCAGCACCAAACAGCTTCTCCCAGTCCTCTCTTTGAACAGGGCTAGAGGGTAAGTGTTTTTCGAATCGTTTTCAGTTAAAAAACTATTACATCACACGTATATTTTACCTAAACTGTGCCTGAATGAATATATTCTCGGAAATAAATAGTAGTTTTGCGGAAACGTGACGTATTTCAATGTAAAATAGGATAAAATACATGACGTAAACAAAGGACTTTACCTAAGCTTCCGATGTTCTTGAGATGTTACTCGTTTTTTTAATAGTTTTCGGTTAAAATTCTGTTATATTACAATGATATTCTATTCATACTGTGTTTGATATAATACATTCACGGAAATGTAATATTTTTCCTGAAATTACATACGTATTACAGTGGAAAGTGGGATAAAATCGTGACGAAAACAATGACTTTCGCTATCTTTCGTTCAAAAGATGTTACCGTAATCGCATTTCGAATGGTTTAATTAAAAACCTGTTGTAGTTCAATAATATTCCCTCTTAATTGACTTGAATAAATACTTGAATGGAAATATACAATATTTTTGTTGAAACTACCCGCGTTTCAGTGTAAAGTGTCGTAATAATAAATGGTAAACAATTTGCCTTCAGCACTTGTGTTTCATGCACGGCTAGCCTCAGTTTATAGGACGTAGAGCCTTTTTACTGAAGGTTTTGGTGTTCCATTATCTTCAAAAACGTGGGTCAAACTATAAACGAGGAATATCATAAATTAACGATTTCTTGGTCAAAAAATCAGGGTCGACTGATAAACGAGGGGGATTATAGACGAGTATATACAGTATGTTGTCACAGTTTGATTGCTCGTTTTAAAGTGGTGACCACGTGGTCGCTTGTTGTCGCTGTGCAGCTGTGGTATCATGCATGTGCACATACACACAAAAGCTCACTAAAAAAAAAAAAAAAATTCTGAAAAGTCCGGATTTCTGGCATCCGGATTTTTTTGGACTTTTACTGTATACTACATTCAAATTAATCACTATCTTACAAGGATTCCAGCAATGCAATTTATATTCTGCTATGTCTAGTCTGTGACATTTTATAAGATAAAAACTTCAAGCCTAAACTGCCTTCACCCTGGCTGTGAGGAAGGGGGTTGACGTGTTGACAGCTGTCAGGGAGGGGAGATAACAAAGTACGTAGTTATCAAAACAGAAGGATTTATAGTTTTTCCCTTATAAAATGTCACTGAATTGACTTGGCAGTATATAATTTGGATTGCTGTAATTCTTGTAAGATAATGATTAATTTGAGTACAAAATCACATACCTGTAGTTTGCATTGGACATAATTCTTTTAGTAATTAAATTATTACAGGTTTACCTTTAGGACAATTATTTCTTTTACTTTCTTCACAATATATATTTAGGATGATGTGTGCATGTAAATGAGTAAAAATAAATGAAGAAAGTTACATACATCTTCCCAAAAATATAAGTTAAAAAACTTGTACACAAATGTACTACACTAGACCAAAATTTCTATCTCTTGTGCAAACTATGTGATGTTTATACTCAAATTAATCACTATCTTACAAGAATTAAAGAAATGTAAATTATATACTGTACTGACAAGTCAATTCAGTGACATTTTATAAGGGAAAACTTTAAGCCAAAAGCTACCTTCACCCCGGCTGGGAGGGAAGGAGGGAAGTTTAGTGTCCCCTCATAATTTTGTCCAGACTAAAGGAGGGTGCTGGACCATCAGTGGCGTACCTGTACTTCAAAGGTTCCAATAAAGAAGCTTATGTGGTGCACTTATCCAATATCTAATCAACAGTCAAAAGTAAATTCTGTAAACTTACTTTATGAAAAATTAACAGCAAAGTTTATAATCATTCTTTAAGTGTTACGTATATTATGCTGTACTGATTAATTAGAAGTATTAAAGTTTTCAAAAATTGTCTTCATACTGTACACTGATCTTAAACAACCAACCCTGTGCTCAACATAATAATGAACCTGTATCACATGAACAGTGAAGATCATTACCCACAGAGCTCTTAAAGTAAAACACTGAGGATGAACAAAACTTAAAGGAAATAAAATACTACAATGAAATAACAAACAGATAAGAATAACCAGTGCAACATACAAGTAAAGAGAGAATAAAACTATAGTTACAGACTCATCACTGTACCCAATAAACAGTGAGAGCTGTACCATCTGTGCACAATAGTCAGTAAGAGCTGTACCATCTGCACAACAGTCAATAAGAGCTGTACCATCTGTGCACAATAGTCAGTAAGAGCTGTACCATCTGCACAACAGTCAATAAGAGCTGTACCATCTGCACAACAGTCAGTAAGAGCTGTACCATCTGCACAATAATCATTGGTGTATATTCTGGGACTGTGGTCCCCAGCCCGACATTGCCAATTGAAATACAGTACATTCACAAATTTAACAACATTTAATTTTACACTACAATTCTTGGTTTTGCTCGTGCATTGAATTAGGGGTCTACTGTAATAAGTAATATCTCCATTAGTCGGAACTCTCCGATAGCCAGAATTGAAATTTTCTCGGAAAATCGTTCCCAAAGCCAAAATTTCGGGGTACCGGAAAACTTTTCTCGGAATTTCCGGAAAATGCACCTGATTTTTATCTCTCAAACTCGGAAAAAAAACCCAGAATTTTCGGTACTAGGAAATTTTTCTCAGAATTTTCTAGAAAGTATACCCCGAAGAAAATTGTTCCCAAAGCCAGAATTTTCCGGAAAATTCTGGCTTTGGGAACGATTTTCCCCAAAAATTTCAGATCTGGCTATCAGAGAGCTCCGGGTTTGAGGGATTGCGGCCAACGGAGATATTACTGTATATAGAGTCTACTGCACCAAACATGCCAGACCACAGGGTGCTGCTGGTATAGAGGGGTTCAACCTGTAGTTCTCAACTCAAGATGAGTAAAACAAATTGATTCAAGGCTTCCTCTTAAACTACTAATCAACACTTCCTCTTAGACTACTAGTTAAGGCTTCCTATTAAAGTCAAGAATTTAAGTCAGCCTCAGACACAATACTGTACTCACCCTTTTATTAATCAGGCCCTTCATAGCCCTCACAATGAAGACTTCCTCAATGCCCACCAGCTCACCCACACGCTTCATATTGTCACCAAGTCTCTCCCAAATGTCCAGAAATGTTAACCAGTCCAGGCTGAGCCAAGCTGAACTTACATATATTGGTGTTACCTGTGGAATTAATAATTTCAATTTAATAATAAAGCCGTTTTTTTCTAAAATAACAGTTTTTGTGATATACAGTATAGTCTTTCAGTGAAGACGAGCCCGGAAAGGCGCAACGACATTCACCGAGTGACTTGAAAGCAGGGGATATAGTCACAAACACTCTAGCGCCTTCATAAAGAAGATGCACTGTGGTCGCCATGATGCTGACCAGAGATCGTATAACAAATTGTCCCAAACACAATAATTGAGAGACATAAACAAAATAAAGGTCACTCTATTTCCTCACCGTGCTAAGATGTATAAATACCGTACATAAAATCCTTGTGGCACTTAGTATTTCAGCTAATACAACACAAATTCGCGGAGCTTCTTTGTGTGTATTTGCAGCTGATTCGCCAGGCAAGAAGATGACGGTGGCAGTGAGTGTGATGGAGGGTGGGGAATGGGATTTGAGAATTGCAATTAAATGCCAGGTAGCGACGTGTCCTCCTAATATTACTTATTAAGTAATTATTAGATATTTTAATTGCCTGTATGATGGCCTGGCGAGTTATTGCTAGGCATAACATACCTAGGTATAAGCTAGGCATCACATTCTTGATTGAACAAAAATAAATAAAGCAAAAATTGCAAAACAAAAATCAATTTGCTGATTCAGCATGGATGAAAACACTGAACTGGCAGTCCTCCCTAGACAAAAAAGTTGCTTTCTGCATTTGTTGTACATAAACCAAATATGGGTGATGGGGGAGGGATTTTGATTCTTCATCTCACTCCACTCATGAAAACCAAATATTTGTTCCCTGTTTTAATTTATATACAAATTATATATAGCTACAATTTTGTTTGACTTTCATTTATGGGGACAGCATTGGAAGATACTGAAGTGCTAACATAAGCACCTCAGGTCCTCACATACCAGACCTGGTCAGTTTATAAAGACAAATAACTAAAAACAACATACTGTACAGCACTGTATTGTATTAACAGTGGTTAACTAATCTAAGGTAGTAGGCAGCTACCAAACAGGGAGGTACTACCGCCTGGGAAGATATTGGAAGCATAATGTGTTGTCTAATGGTAGACCCTGCTGCCATATGGCATCACAAAAATTTTGACCAATATATTGTTTCTCACTGTTGATCTTTTTTTCATTTTTGTATTTCTTAATGGTTCTGTATTATTATTATTATTATTATTATTATTATTATTATTATTATTATTATTATTATTATTATTATTATTATTATTATTATTATTATTATCAGAGTTGTTATTATTATTTAATTTTTAATTTTTTATTATTAATTTTATTAACTATGAACTAATTATTATTGTTATTGTTATTATTATTACATTTACCCCCCCCCCCCAGGCCCCGATGTGGGTCAGTGGCCTGTGCCCGGGTGGGTTAATCCCCGAGGGGGAAAAAAACAAAGTACTATGTGAAGCAGTGGCAAAATGTTGGCTCAAGATATTTTCATTGTGGTTATGTTGATGTGTTTATTATCCCAAAGTTAAATCTGATATCTGTGGAAAGACTAAAAAGTTATACAGTACTGTAAGTTTAGCATTTTTCTTCTGAGAAAATCACATTAAAATGAAAATCCTATGAAAGCAAAACATCTCAAAATGTATACAGTATACTGTTAGTACAGTACAGTAGGCTCTCATATTTGGACACCTATTAAGACTGTAAAAACCCTCACGAAATTCAAATCGTCCAAATTTAAATACAACTTCCTATGGAGAAAATTATTTTGAGTCTGGTACTTTCGATGTTTGGCTAAATTTTGCCTTATTTACCCTACTTTTTTGGCAAATTACTACCTGTAATAAAGCAAAATCCTAATAAACCAACAAAAATAACACAGATTAAGTTCAATAAAAACTAAAAAAACACAGAAAAAGTTTATTAAAAAAAAAAACACACACAAACCGAAGACACAGCAATGATGGGCTTGGGTGGATGGTGGGTTGATTCCAAGGCTAGAGGTATATCAACAATTTTGTATACTATGTATTAAAAAAAATATATATATATATATATACTGTATATCAAATTAGCCCAAACTATCTGACAGTGAACATAAAATTAGTATGAGTCCAGTGTGTAACCATCCTCCACCATCAGTCAATCATGTTGCTGACCAGGATGAAGGTGTGAAATATAATACAGTACAAGGTATCTATGTACCAGTTACATCGTCAGTAATTTTGTTTTCTCTGTGAACTTTTTTGTAAAACCTAGTCAAATATTATTATCACATGATAAATAATGTAAAAATGTACTGTACTACTATGAAAAATCTACTTGAACATTTTAGGTTTAAATTTGACCAGTTGTACACTTGCTCCAAAAAGTATCTTTCCTATTTTGTGTGAGACAATATGACTTAATGGACCAAAGATTTTGACAACCTTACCGAGACAACAGGAGTTGTGGTGTTCATTTTGAAATTCATTGGACCCCCCATAAAAATATCTTTTGGAGTGAGTGTACATACACCATTGTAATTGACGTGACTTAAAGTGCAATAATGGGCCAACGTACAGTAGATATAGTGTCTACCTCGGGTACCTTCCCACCATATCCTGTCATCCACAGCTTACTCCTACTGACCTGGTATATAATATGGAGATCATTCTCCAACACAAAACACTGCCTGGCACGGTGCAGTTCAGTGAACACATGTAGCCCTTCATCAGGGGAGAGGCCAGAGGCAAGGACTGCAAGCCCTAGCTGTGTTCCAATATATTTCACAGCACCATCAGTGTCTTGCAACCTGGAAAATGTATTTATTGTTTGTAATGCATGCATCCCCTCAAGTAGGTGGGTAATTTATGAATGTTTCAGGGAGTAGTGACCCAGCTAAGAGGGAGTCTGGAAGCCCTACATACAGTATAATGTTGTTTCCATTGCAAAAGTGGGTTAACAATAGGAAGGGGACCTAGTTGTACAATTTACTTCAAATTCACTTGATGGCAACTGGGATACTATGCCATCAAGTATTCACAGCTAACTTTTGAAAGTGTGGAAAATGTCCATAAACTGGTGACGATGGTGACGATGATGATGATGATGATGATGATGTGTTACATAAAGCCTGACTTCATATAAAAGACTAACAGCTATCTACAGTCGTTTGGAGAGGAGGGCCAAGGTTACCAACCCTGAGATATAAGGATGGCACCTTGAATGACAGATTGACTAGAATGTGTGTGTGTGTAGGATACCCTCTTCCTTCTGTAGGACATCTGACCTGTACCCTCTATTCATGACCCTGATATCTGATGCACAGTCCTTGCTTGTCTACAAATCAAATACATATGTACTGTAATTAAATTTCACCAAATTATCTTAACACAGTTCAATATTCAAGAGAGCAAAAACAAATGTGTGAGCATATTGGCAGACAAGTGCAGTTCAATTTAATTCAATAATTTTATGAGGTTCTAAATGAAAAAATAATAGAAAAATAAACATTAATAAGAGTCCCCAGGTAGCCTCACCAGTACAGTACATCTTGTAATATGTACTATATAGATGTGGTAATTCAAGTCACCGTCTCAGATAATTTATGCCAATTGTGTTATTGTTCAGACCATTTACTCATTTATGAAAAAAAGCTCTCGATAAATTTATATTTTAACTGGAACATGACTGACACTTCTTACCATATCTGCAATACATTACCCCCCCCCCCCACCTGGAACAAATGTACTGTGCACTACTTCAAGAGAATAAAAATTATAATTCCACAATATACTCTTGTCAGTGAATCAAGAATTAGAAACACATCTCACAGTGAAAGTTGTACCAAAGTGAGGATCAGTATTAAAGAATAATGAATAAGTTAATCAAAGTAAGGGAGGAAGAGGATGTGGACGTGAAGAGGAAGAAAGTACATTACTATAGTGACTCCTGGTGTAGAGGTTACTGTAAGCTTTAGAGGGTGACACAGGATAAATTTGAAGGGAACATACAGAAAGGCAAGTTAGATGTACTGTGGCCATAAAAGTCCAGGAACAATCTATTGAAATTCTCCAGCTATGTTAGACTCAGACGCAAAACATCAGATTAAGCAAAAATGTAACTGACAATTGTAATATACCCATATATAAAGAGGGAGAGAGTTTGCAAACTGACTCACCTTATAAACTCATTCTCTTCCAGAAAGGCAATACAAGTACTGATAGAACTGGGTGTATCTGGTTGTGAATGACTAGCATCTGTGTTGAGAGAAGTAGCCAGGAGTGTGCACCTGCAGTAGCCATCGACCTTGTCTGGGGTGGTCGCAACACCACTCACTATCACCTGTCATTTGAAAGAAGATATGAGACAAAAAATTCACAAAGCTTTCCAAAACTTCTTCCTAACCACATGTACCAATGTCTTCTTTTAATATGACATTTTATTAACATATATACACTTATCCATCCATATACTGGACTGTACAAAAGTTTAGATTTTAAAAATTCAGTTACTAAAACAATTTTTTTTATCCCATGTTTTGAATTATGTAAAAAAAAAAATAAATAAAAAAATAAAAAAAAATAAAAAAAATAAAAAAACATTTACCTGATGGCAGTTCTCAATGCTGCAGTTTCTCTTATCAGGTTCCTAACTCTAATGTCATTTCTTAGAACCTCTCCCAATGTAATTCTTGGTCTACCCCTGACTCTCCTCCCCTCCACATTTAGGCTCATGCACCTCTTGGTTTCATCAGTTCTCTCCACATGACCAAACCATCTCAGCCTGCCTCTATGCTCCACTCGGTCACCAAACCCTACCTCCGTATCTTTATAACCAAAACTATTCAGACGTTGCTACACACCTCTAAGATGGCTCTCTTCATGCTGGATGTTAGAGAAGCATCATGCTGGAGACAAGAGGTGATGGGTGGAAGAGTAGAGCTCATCAGTGTCCGGGCCTTTTGTTTTTCTTCCTCTCGACAAATCAAGATGCTTTCACCTGCATTAATGCCCTTCTTTTATTAATCATAGCCATATTATCAATGAATCAAATTACTAAAAGAAAAACTTTCTTTCATTACTATTATATTTTGAAATTTCATAAACTATATACTGTACTGTACTGTACTGCACTGTATTGTACTGTACCAAACTGAACTGTACTGTACTGTACTGTACAGGTATGTATCAAAATATCACAAAAATCATCATTCTATCTTAATTCCCATATGAAAATGGGTCCCATAGATCTGACATTTTGTTAAGAGACAGTGTGGTTACAGCACAAAGTATACTGAAGGCAACAATGTGGCTGGCACTGTACTCAACCAACTTCACTTCCTAATTAAAAAGTTAGATACTGTATCCCCCATTTACAGTTGGATAGAATGGGGGTAACTCTTATGACAGGAGACAAGACTTGTCAAAAGCACTTAGTGCTTCACCCAGTAAACCCGCACCCCCGTTAATCTATATTCTCCAAACAAAATTTCATTTCTAATCAATATATAAACCAGTCACCACCAACTCACCCTCTGTGTCAACTCCTTTTCGACCGGCTCGACCAATCATTTGTTTGTAGGTCAGTGTGTCAAGAATGGACCTCCCAAAGACAGGAGATCTAATAATAACTCGCCGTGCTGGCAAGTTCACACCAGACGACAGAGTTGAAGTAGCAATAAGAACACGTATTGATCCAGTGCGAAAACCTCCCTCAATAATATCACGCTCATCAAAGGTTAGACCTGAAAGTGGCCAAATTTAACACCATTAATTGCATTCACCTCTAACTTTATTAGACACAAATAAAACTTAGTTACTGGAACATCCATATACAGTAAAAATATTATTATATAAGTGATGGAAGATACCGTAATAAAATATGAAATGGTAAAGAAATCTGGCTATTGATAGCATGATGGCTAGACTTCTCCAAGGGACTGAGGATCCCTGCCTAATGCCAGCCTCTAGTTCCTATACTTTACATTAACTCTGTGTGATATTAAGCAGAGAGACAGTTGTGTACCAGGCAGTGACCATCAACTAGGCACAATAAAGGAATCTCAAATTGTAAAGGATAGTTGAGGGTTGTCACAACACACAGGAGGGTGAAGGAGAGAGCCTCATGGGGTTACTACAACACACTTGGGAGATATTAGACAATGTTTCCAGAGGATACCATTGCCATAACCAGTGTATTATCCAGGATACATTTTTTTTTTACTACCAAGCTCAACAAAGTGTACAAAAACAAGGCAAAGATTCAGGGGCTGCCTTTAAAACCTACTCATAAAACACTGTTAAAGGTTTTAATCATCCATACAAGTTCATAACTTTTTTAATTGTATGTAAAACCACTTTGATTTTAAAGAAATGGAAATTTGATGAAATTCAATTTTTCTGAAATATGGGCATTTCATATTGAAGAAAATGTTTAAGGCACATTGTGAGATCTAGCAAATGATAATGATAACATACTGTACATGATGGATGAGAGTTTAAAGTCTCCAGGTCCCTCTCAAGCTAATTCAAGGAAAACTCAAAAACTTATATAGATCAGGTCTTGGTAGGTAGAGTGGGAAAGGTACAGATGGACAGCCCACTGAAAGGCACCGACTTAGGATAAATTTCTTGCAGGTTATTGACACCTGGAAAATTTTAATTTCTCAGATCACAAACAAATGCTCTTAATGACAATACTTGTAGAGTTTACATGTTGGAGTGGCATCTATACAAGATTGTCAGTGTAAGTGTGAATGAAAGGAAGAATGTGCTGTTGGTGGATGATGTTACTTTGTGTGACTCAACAGGTAAACCAGGTTCGGGGCATTGTTGAGAAAGAGGAGTACCATAACAGTACAAACCTTTTATAGAAATAAGATTAAGTGAATGAATGACAATAATTTAAATATAATGTGTGTACACATCTGCTCTCGTCACTGATAATGCAATTAAATTTTCAGCACAATATTAGGCCTTACCTGCATGATGGAAAGCTGCTCCAAAAGATATTGATCGAGCTAAGACAGCATCCAGACTAACAGGGCATTTACGTAGAGCTTCCATCACCCTTCCAATACCCACAGAGTCCAATGAATCTCTTAATTTTCTGCTGAGCTTCATCGGATACTGGCTGTCTGTCTTTCCTGGTGATTAATAAAGATCTGTATTTTATGAACATTATTGAGAAGAGTTACTGCAGTGTAAACTTCTCAGCTGGATATGTTACAGGGCCAATGACTGAACTACTTGTTACCAACACAGTATTGCCATGTGTTACAGACCCTCCAACCTGAAACACTTGTTGTCAGTTGAGTTGGGGTGGTGCCAGTTGCCGGCCAGTCAGGACAGTTGTACCCTGAGTGGCATCGTGAGAGGGTCACTTGTAACCTTGACAATAAAGCCATCGAGAATTCCCTGTTTGCTTGACCTGGACTTATATAAAATTAACAAAATAACTATTGTGCATGTGTGAGTTGCCACTACTCAGGAAAGAGGAAAGTGGAGGAGCTTAGTCATAGGCTCAACAAATTACAGTACTGAATTTATACACTAAGAAATAATAGAATAATTAATAAGAGCTGAGCAAGTGTCCATAAAAAGGAGACTACACAATAAGAACACAAGAAAAATAATAAAGACAGGTAGTAATGGATAATAAAAGACATAATAAAGGTTCATAATAATTGTTTTTTTAATATTCTGGGAAAAGGTTCATGAAATGACATTTTATAGTGAAGCAATATGATGCAAGAGTTTCATGACTTTACTTACCAATTCTGAAGAATGCCTTTGCGACAGATTCTGCCAACTTCTCACACCAGGCTTTAGTAGGACAGAAGACTAAAACAGAGTAACCCTCCAAGACTGTCTCAAGACACAGTTGAATCAGGTGGTCACTGTCACCCTGAGACCAATTATCAGAGATACATGGAGTATTAGAGGAGGATATGATTAGAGACACATTAAGTACAAATACATTGAGGAGCACCATTGTTTCTGTGTTGGTCTGTTGATTAATGTATATGTCAGTATTTTTTTGTCTTGGGGTTTTCCTCGGGCATTTCTTTTGTTTTCACAGTAAAGATAATTGTGATAATGATATTTGCAGAATTTCATAATCATATTTAATTTTGAGAATGTATCCCCTATGAATACTAGATATTGTACTGTACTGTCTTTAATGGGGATACTGTACAGTGGTCTAATCAGATTTGATATAAATGTTTGCTGGCATATGTTAAGTGACAGACACAATACATGATTAATAAGAAAGCCGTTTTTTTTCTAAAAATCAGTTTTTGTGAAATACCTAGTCTGTTACCAATGTATTTGATGACTGGTAACAAGGGAGCAGCAAGGCATTTGCTGTTAGAGACAGTGTAGAAACATTAGACTGAAGACTAAACATTTAATTATATAAGGATACACTAGCCTGCTCACCACTCTACTGCATTTAAGTTCCCCAGATATAATGCTAGGTTCCCACTCTGCAGTTGGGCAGACTGGGGGCACTTCACTCAGTGGTCAGTCATTGGACTTAAACTAATGTAGTGGCCAGTAGGTCAGGGTGTAAGTGCTATGGCCACTCAGCCGCTATTACATGCATTAATCTTTGGCAAAACATAAAACTTTCATGCTCACCTTAACAGTCAGAAGAGGGTCTAATTCTCTCACTGTACTCATGGTAGAATCACACACAGCTCTGCCAATCTTGACTCTCTCAGTAAGTGGTACAGGCCTGAAGTCTGTCTTGTACAGTCTGGAGTCTAACCAGCATGCCAATAATTCCAAGTTTGGTAATGTGGCAGACATGCCTATAATTTGTATACTGTTTTCATCCTGGAAATATAATATGTTTATATTATTAGAGTTCTGATGGCCATCTTGAGTACTTGTAACAGAAGGGGAATACCATGGAAAACTACACCTGTTCCATCACAGAAAGAGATAATGAATTAAAATAAATGAGGTCTGTGTTTGTTCTTTAATTGGCTATTGTGCATCACAATAAGAAAGGGTTTGCAAGAGTTAATATTATATTTTTCATTATTTACAACTTTTCTATATCTTACATTTTCAAACAGTGGCCAACACAACTGAGAGGAAGTGAACTAACACCTCTGTTACTAATATACACATGCTTCAATATTTTTAATTTAAATATGCATTTATATTTTGTTCTAAAGTAATGCCTTTTGTCTACATTTTTTTTACTAGTGCACTTTAACAAACCCAATTTCCAAAATTCACAAACACCTGAGTACTTTTCCCTTTCTTTTCTAGGCTTCACAACAATAAAGACCACTAGAAAACAACAAACTCTTGTACTTTCACAAGGCCACATTCTTACCAACCACAAATGGAGAAAAAAGTGTTACATTTCACATCAACCATATAATGGCAAATTTCACTCCTTTAGCCTCTTGTATCTTTAACAGCAAGTTACCCTGTTATAAGTTTTCATAATATGTGTTCTTATATGTGTTGCATGTGACGTGCCTAATAATAAAAAACTTATTAGTCACTGATTACAGTACTCCAACATGTGGTATTTTATCAGAGTTTTTGCAAGGATTTTAAAACCATTGGTTAACTTAGTATAATTAAATATGTCATGTAAATGAAAAAGGACAGGGGAGCACATTACCTGCATCTCCAAGAGGATTGTAAGTAAAGTGAACCTCACAGTTGTGTTTTGAACTATGCTATATAAAGGAATGGTGATTCAATATGCAAATATTCAAATTAAAGGAGTAAAATTTACATGTATCTCCAGTGCATCTGTCCATTATTGGTGCTAACACTGTGTCCAATCATGAAAATTTGTATAAGTACAGCGAGGAAGGCAAACAGCAAGTCAGCCAAGACAGCAATAATGTGGGGGAGTGGATATGCATGTACAGTACAGTACAGTACAGTACTGTACTGTACACCATACAGTACTCTATGACTTCCACCAAGTTCAGCACATGTAAACCCACATTTCTCACAATTCCAAGATACCAAAAATAACAAATCTAGAGGTATTTCAGCACAGATAGATACGGCAAAGTTCACAATGAGGATAAGAGTTCACATTCACTATTGCTCTACACACAGATTGGGTTGAAATTGGGCACTGACACTTAGTATACACAGGTGGAGGTGGTACACACCTGTCATACCATGCACATAACTTCATATTGATCGGCCTAATCTGACCTTTATATAAGGAAGCTGCTTAGAATTTTGAACTTAAATTTCTCTGAAATACAGTATAAAAAATTCAAGTTGGTGAGGTTTCACTGCAAAAACAAATAAATCATTATAAATGGAGATCAGGATGTCTTGGGAAGATCCTACAAAGGAACACGCCGGGTCTGTCACCTTTTTACCGCTGCAGGAGTGACGAGACACAAACATGACTTTGGTGAGGAGCAACTCCAGGAGATACCCTCGATGAGAGTCACCCAGCATGTGAAGTTCATCCACCACGATTATGCCAAGTTCATTTAAGCGTTTGTCCTCCAATAACCTGCAAGAGTATCAAATTTCCTATTATCCAACGCTCTGAAAGCCTAAAAAATATTTTGCCATCATTTAACTCTTTATATATAATAATATATTTCCATTTCAACAGTATATAAACACACTAGGAGAAATATAAGAATGAATGTGAACAAGCAGTACAGTACTGTATTGTATAGCCTTTATTTATCATTTCAGTGGAATGCCTTTAAATGTTACAAGATAAGAGAGTTTCAGGAGCGAGTGGATCTCAACTATCAACATAGGACCAGGAATGGATATGTAAGAATAATAAAGGTTATACTGTGATGTAAAAGACATTTCATTAACATAAGCAGATTTGCATATGTTAATATAAAACTTATTCATTCATACCTGTTAACAAGATTATTAGCCTTTTCTATTGTACACACAGCAATATCAGTAGCCTTCAGACCTCCTGGTGGCCCTTGGGAGCCCATGAAGCCCTCAACACGTACACCAGCAACACTAAACATCTTCTGTAGTAAAAATATAGCAAGTGATGATTCAGTAACTCACTAAAGAAAACTGAATGTAATATTTGCATGTTGCTCAATGGTAAATACAGTATAGCAGTTCAGAAACACCTTTTACTTGTGTACAAAGAAATGTATACGCTGTATTTCCTTTATGTATTTGACCTTAGGACAATTATTTTTTTCACCTGTATTGTATGTGTGTGTGTGTGTGTGTGTAGACACACACACACAAAACACATACAAATAAATAATATTGGGAAAATCCTCTCACAAATAATCAGAAAAAAGTTATTAAAAATATTGAGTCTACCCTCAAGTCCACTCCATGCTTTATTAATAACAAAGCACAGAGTGGACTTGTGGGTTTGACTCAAAATTTTTAAAAAAAATTTTCTGATTATTTCTGAGAAGATTTTCCCAATATTATTTGTTTGTATGTGTTTTGTGTGTGTCTACATAATAAACTTTCTGACAATGAGATGAGGTCATGGAACACATCCACTTCATTAACAAAGATATTACTGTATTTCTAATAATATCTAGTAACTGGGTAAAGGATATTGTACCTGGGCCCCATTTGTATAAGTGAGTGTTGGTAAGTGGGACATTGGTAACTCAGGGACTCCCAGTGAGTGATGTAGGTGCCTACTCCCTGTACCTGTAATCTAGTTAGCTGAACCTAACCTTCTGTCTCTTACTCTCCAGCAGATCAACAGGTGTTATCTTTGTCATGCTCCTCTATCATTATTTAACTCCATAATCAACATTAACAAATAACATGGATACAGTACTGACCTGGAGGTAGTACATCTTCTCCCGAGCTACTGATACAAAAGGTAGGACGAACATTCCCTTACGACCATTCTCCACCACTCTTTTTAACAACAGTAGTTCAGCCACAAGAGTCTTGCCTGGAAAAAATAAAGAAATGTAAAAAAGGCCAAGAGATACCCCCAATCAGTAACAGCCATAAGCCATATTTAAACATTTACTCTATTAAAAAAAAAATCTTTATTTCAAAATTCTTTACAGAGTATTTATGGAAGACAAAAAAGAGAAAACATTCAGTAAATGAGAATAATGGTAACACCTGATCCTGTACTTGTCTTCCATGAGTGGCAGTGACCAATTATTTCCAAAGAATAAAGGAATTGTGATACATCAGTTGATCACCAACGCCTGGCAGTACAGCAACCAGTTACCAAACACATCACCTCTCCCAACCTTATTACCAACTAACTCACCACCACCACTTCCATCATCATTGAAGTCTGCCTTTTCTACTCCTGTCAGTGATGCAGAAATGGAATTACCTAACCCAGAGTTGATGCCATTATTACAAGATATGAAATGTGTTCAATTAGTTTAATAAATATGTAAATATACATATAACAATGTGTTTACCAGTGCCCAGATGAAGCATTCATGTACAGTGGTCCCTCGATTAATGAACGGTTAAATTAACAAAATTTTGGTTGACGAATTAGCTCCCATAAGAATTTTCGGTTCCATTAACGAACAAAACTTTGATTAATGAAAGCCTTACGATTTGTCATCAGCTGATCGGCAAGTCCACCAATACCCTCCCAGTCCCCTCCCTCCCTCCTACGCCAGGGTTTGGTGGTTATACAGTAGGTTTAGTTTTTATCTTATATAATATCACAGACTAAAGTTAGGAGAATATAATTTGCATTGCTGGAATCCTTGCAAGACAGTGACTAATTTGAATATAAATGTCGTATATTTTGCACAAGATAAAAATTTGAGTACATTAGTTTAGTACATTTTAGTAATGGAACATTTTTTACTGTATTTTGGGTAGATTTACATAAATTTCTTCATTTATTTTTATTCATTTACATGCACACACCATACTAAAAGAAACGTAAAAGAAATAAATGACCTAAGTGCAAACCTGTACTGTACATGTACTAAATGATTACAGTACTAAAATTTTTATGTCTAGTGCAGATTATAGGATGTTTATATTCAAATTGATCACTATCTTACAAGAATCCCAGCAATGTAAATTATATTCTCCCAGTTCGTTTCAGTGGCATTTTATAAGAGAAAAACTTAGTCACTCTTAAGGGCTGATAAATAAACATGCATTAGACCTTCAGCGCCAACTGTCAAACATATCACCTCACCTCTCCCTCCCTCCCTCCCTCTCCCCCATCTGCCCAGCCAGGGTTTTAGGCTTAAAGTTTTGATCTTATATAATATCTCACACTAAATTTAGGAGAATATAATTTGCATTGCTGGAATCCTTGCAAGACAGCGAATAATTTGAATATAAACTGATCTGCTGATGCTCACAACAAAATGTGTTTGTTGTAAGGATTTCGTTAATCAAAGTTTTGTTCGTTAACCGAATTAAAGATCCTTATGGGAGCTATTTCGTTAATCGAACCGTTCGTTAACTGAGGGACCACTGTACGTATAGTGATTTAAGGGCGATTTAGGGGATTTTTAGGGAGTTTCTGACTTTATGCGTTTTTTTGGCTTTACTTTGTATGTACGTATACTATTTCTGTGAGTTGGAACCAATTACCCAATATCCCACTGAAATAATAGATTCAGTTAACAAAATTTTCGGTTAACAAACGACTCTGTGGAACCAATTGTGTTTGTTAATCGAGGGACCACTGTACAGTATAATGGTATAACGGCCCCTTTTAGCACATGCTATCTGTGAGTGCACAGTATACACAGTAAATCCATAAAATCTACAGCAATCTCCAACACTTTATATTAATTCATTGTATATACTACAGACAGGGCAATTTTGTTTTTATTTGTGAGCCCTAAATAATTCCCATACACCAAAAACTACCACAGTTAGGAACCTAATATTTTGCATAGATGTAACCTAATGTTACAGAAAGACCTGACATGATCCTGAGAGTTATCAGGTATCACGTGACCCATCAGTGGCGTCGAACGGTTTTCACTCAGTCATGACATGGCGCTCACCACACACAAATAAAACACAAGAAACACAGTAAGCACCATGGTGTGACTGAGTGAAAACTGTTCAATGCCACTGATGGGTCACTTGATACCTGATAACTCTCAGGATCATGTCAGGTCTTTCTGTAACATTAGGTTACATTTATGCAAAATATTAGGTTCCTAACTAATATAGTTTTTAGTGTATTGGAATTATTTAAGGTTCTTGAGTAAAAAAATCACCTGTATAATACTAAACTCAGTTGACAGGAAGTTTGGGTGTAAAAATGACAAGTATAGATAATGGACAATAATTATTAAACACAACACACCAGCTGATGTGGGAGCAGAGTACACCAGATTTCTTCCATCAAGAACCTCTGGTAAGCTCAAGCACTCAGCTTGCCAAGGAAACATTGTCTTGATTCCATTCTTCAGATAACACTGTAGCAAAAAAGATAATTTTTGGTACTATACATAGTCAGAACATAAAAGTAAGTCAATAGGTCATCTATCAACTCACACAGTTCAGCAAGTTTTCAAGATTCATAATAGACCAGGTGTAAGAGTCACTACAGGGCCCAAATTCACAAACTCAAGAATGTTTTTGCCAAATTTTTCGTACCCACTAAATGTGAATATTAATAGTTCTAGTACTGTACTGTACAGGTACAGTATGCCTCAGTTTATGAAGATTTGCTTTTTCAAAGAATCTTTATTCTATTAATGCTTCTATGAAGTTTTATAACACTGAAAGTTGCCAAGAAGTTGACACAGGGATCTGAGGCATCTGATACATCTGTGAGTATCCTGTACTGAGCAGGGGGATTGTTGGGTGGCTGGGAGACAGCACAGTTCTGCTACATCTTTTAGGACAGTGTAATCAAAACTCTCCGTATTGGTAATGTAACACTATACTGTACGTACTTGAAAAATGCTACTTTTTGACCAGCTATTTCAATCTTTTTATTTTGATGAGAGAAACAAGTTATATGCTAATGTTGCTTAAGACATATATGGTGCTACAGTAGATGCAATGGTTATACAGCTAAACTTAACTGCCAATTACTACTGTACCATTTTCAGTGAGTAGAGTTCTGTACAGTTTAATCTGGAATAAATAAACTTATTACCTTGTATTGTACTATACTATTATAATTATTAGTTTTATTTAGAATTACTCTGTATTGCCCCCCGCCCCCCCCCAAAAAAAAAGCATAAAAACATGTTCTATAATTATTTTATTACATTTGGGGAAGATTTTTCTTCATAGGAATGTATCTCCCAATTTACAATGCGAGTCAATGAGAAAATCAGCTTTGGTTTACGATACCAGTATATATTTGGTGACCTGAACCCCTTCTACACCCAAGTACACCTTGGGTTTCATTACAGGACAGTACAGTTCTTTTAAATAAGATCTGGTCATGTATACAAGGAAACTTTAGTCTATTCTGTATCTGGGAAACCACTGGCATTACCTTATTCACTCTCAGCTAAATTCAATTATACCCTGTTGAGCAGTAGAGTAGAATTTCCATGAAATTAAATCCTTTCATCCTCAACTTATGTCAGGAAGAAAGTGAATCAAGACACTCAAGTTGCCTGAATGTTATAAGTCTTGATCACCTTGAGTTGTCAGTGACTTATCTATATTCACTTCTATTTTCACTGCTCTACTAAAGGTCTCTTCCACCAAGGTATTTATACCCACACTACTACTACTACCTAATGAAGTCTTTCTTTAATGATCCCTTTTAAATCTTAAATCTTTACCTGGTGATTTTAGTTTTATAATATTACATATTCATATTTACTACCGTATATACTCGTGTATAGTTCGAGTTTTTAGGACCAAATTTTTAGGGCAAAAATTGGGGGTCGTCCTATACAAGCGTAATAGTTTTGTTAGGTTGAACCCGTGCATGATGGGAAGGGCGAGGAGCAACTTTTAGCTTCAGACATGAAAAATATTTACCATTTACTGCCAGTAAACAATGGTAACGTAAAATATGTACCAATTAGTAATGAAAAGTTGTGCGGTTCCTTCAGCAAATGAAGCTCACCAACTTACAATAGGCTAAATTACCTTACAACGGGCTTTCAGTAGTCTATGTTGAAGTTCTTAGCACAGGCTAACTTATCTTATCATATACGGTATCACAGTTCTCATTGATCTACAAAAAATACCGGTAATAAAAACCTTTTCTATTTTTCACACTTAATATAATACCCGGTAATCTACTTCAACCTCCTATTGTTTACAACGACGCATCACGCATCACGCACCACCAGCTGTTGAGTGTATCAGCTAGACGGTACACGTGTTTTTCGAATCGTTTTCAGTTAAAAAACTGTTACATCACATGTATATTTTACCTTAACTGTGCCTGAATGAATATATACTCGAAAATAAATAGTAGTTTTGCTGAGACGTGATGTATTTTAATGTAAAATAGGATAAAATACATGAAGAAAACATAAGATTTTACCTAACCTTCCGATGTTCAAGAGAAGTTACTCGTTTTTTTATAGTTTTTGGTTAAAATATTGTTATATTACAATGGTATTCTATTCATACTGTGCTTGATATAATGCATTCACGGAAATGTAATATTTTTGCTGAAATGACGTACATATTACAGTGGAAAGTGGGATAAAATCGTGACGAAAACAATGACTTTTGCTTTCTTTCGTTCAAAAGATGTTACCGTAATCGCTTTTCGATTGGTTTTCAGTTAAAAAACTGTTGTATTACAATAATATTCTATCCTAATTGACTTGAATAAATACTACGATACCATATTTCGGAATATTTTCATTAAAATCCATCAAAATCATTTTCCTTGTCATCGTCTGCAGCACCAAACAGCTTCTCCCAGTCTTCTCCTTGATCAGGGCTAGAGGCTACGTGTTTTTCTAATCGTTTTCAGTTAAAAAACTATTACATCACACGTATATTTTACCTAACCTGCGCCTGAATGAATATATTCTCGGAAATAAATAGTAGTTTTGCTGAAACGTGATGTATTTCAATGTAAAATAGGATAAAATACATGACGTAAACAAAAGACATTACCTAAGCTTCCGATGTTCTTGAGATGTTACTCGTTTTTTTAATAGTTTTCGGTTAAAATTCTGTTATATTACAATGATATTCTATTCATACTGTGCTTGATATAATGCATTCACGGAAATGTAATATTTTTGCTGAAATTACGTACGTATTACAGTGGAAAGTGGGATAAAATCGTGACGAAAACAATGACTTTCGCTTTCTTTCGTTCAAAAGATGTTACCGTAATCGCTTTTTGAATGGTTTAGTTAAAAAACTGTTGTATTACAATAATATTCCCTCCTAATTGACTTGAATAAATACTTGAATGGAAATATTCAATATTTTTGTTGAAACTACCCGCGTTTCAGTGTAAAGTGGTGTAAAGTGTCGTGTCGTAATAATAAATGGTAAACAATTTGCCTTCAGCACTCGGTGTTTCGGGCACGGGAGCTTCAGTTTATAGGACGTAGAGCGTTTTTACTGAAGCTTTTGTTGTTCCATTACCCTCAAAAACGTGGGTCGACCTATAAACGAGGAATATCATAAATTAACGATTTCTTGGTAAAAAAATCAGGGTCGACCTATAAACGAGGGGGGGTTATAGACGAGTATATACGGTATTTCCAATTTATGATATTACAGTATACTGCAGCTATATTTCTGTCATTACACAATGTATCATATATTTTTTATACTGTACAGTATAAGTATGTGCAAGAAATAAAATCCTAATTATAATGAGGAACTCAATAAAAGTTTTAAAATTTTCAAGGTAAGTGGATCTACTGTACTTCAATTATCTTTCACTACTGTACTACACACTGGTACTGTAGTTCCAGTAATAAATGAAACCAAATAATATATCTATCAACTAAACCATTCACAAGTTATTTCCAATTAAGAGGAGTGAAGCAGAAATTAAAACTGACAAAAAAGTACAGTCCACTAAAGAAGGAAGTACTGTAATAACATACGTACTTTAACCATAAGGTACTGTACAACATTCAACACACCTCCAACACAGCATCAGGCAGTCCCCATGACGACAACTCCATCTTCTCTTGGGTAGTAAGGAAACTCTGAGTCTTATTATTCTCACTAAAAGGACTTCTTAAGCATACTTCACCTTTCTCACTCTTGGGAGACTTTGAGTTGTGGAACTGAACAGGAGTTTCAGGTTTAGCTTTTGCACATATAACAAGCATTTCAATGTCTTTCTTTGTACTCTTGACCTCATCAGCTGACCGAGATTTAACAGGCATTTTGGCCTCTCCACGCATAAACTCTTTTCTATATAGTGCATCATTTTCCTTGGACGGAGGATTAACAAGTGCTGGAATCTCCACAGATTCACCTGAGATAACTTGTACTCGAGTTTCATTAGATTTATTAACCTTATCACATATCTGGACGGTAATGTGTGCTTCAGTATTAACATGTGTCAGTGGATTATTAGAATTATCAAACATAACAAGTGCAGAGTTGTACATTTTAGCAGGTGTAAAGGATTCAACAGTTGTGCCAGGTTTAACAAATGCGTGGAGAATTTTGGAATTTACTATTTTACCATCCTCTTGTGTCTGAAGACCAGCCCCTTGTATCTGAGGACCAGCCACTTGTGTCTGAGGATCAGCCACTTGTATCTGAGGACCAGCCACTTGTGTCTGAGGACCAGCCACTTGTATCTGAGGACCAACATGTTCACCGTTCTTGGCTTTAGGAATATCAGAGCATGACTGTCTTTTTTCAGTGGCATCAAGAGTCTGTTGTTTCTGTCTAGTTGGAAGTTCATCATTCTGCTTTACTCCTTTATCTAACTGTTTATCACTCCCTGGAGAACCATCTTCTAAATAGCTATCGAACAGTGAGTTATGTCTAGCTGCCTCTCTTATGGATTCCGATTTATTATTCTTACCACACTGAAGTTGTTTACTTTGTTCAAGTGGTAATCCAGTAGCAAATACATCAGCGAAGACCTCTATCATACTCTTCTCATCTTTTATAGTAGACATTTTTTTTACAGAATCTGATGAATTTCTAAATTCTTTCTTATGATTAATTTTTGGTCTCACCAAGTCCTTCTTATTTTCTAATGTATTATTTGACTTATGCTGAGCTGCATTGTTTAGAGATGTGGACATTCCCGATAAAGAATTTCTCTGCCTTTCCTTATATGCCTCACAATTAGACGAATCTTCTTGAAAATTTAAATTTACATTTGATGCAGAATCTGTACCAATTGTACAACCATTTCCTATATTGCTTTTACAGTTTGAATAAAAAATTCTTTGATCGTAAACTTTGACAGTTGCATTTTCATTACTATTCTTTATATCTGAGGAACCAGTAGAATCAGTTTTGCTTTTACTGTTTTTAATTCTGAGCCTTTGTGACCTTCTGACAGTTTCACTATATGAAAAGTTAACATAGTGCCCGGAATTCTCATTATGATTATGCACCTGAGACTTACGCTGGACTGCACATCCAAGACGTTCTTCTCTTTGTATTTCATCTACTGGAGAAGTAATTTCATCTGGGAAAAGACTGTCATCCAGATCCATAGCATCAATGGCTTCCAGAGTATCAGCTCCAACTGCAGTGGCCACAACATTTTCCTTCTGCTTTACATTAACATTATGTTTGGCAAACTCTTTTGATGTTGTATCATGCTTTTGTTTTTTTGCACTGTCTGAAGTTGGTTTTTTCAATCTGGGTGATCGTCTTAGATCTGAAGAGTTAGTTCTGTTTGATGAGAGCTGATTTTCATTACATGTGCGTTTGTGTGTAGCATTATTTAATAAAGACTGGGCATTGTGGAGTGGACCTTCTACTAATTCATTCCGTTTGCTTGAGTGAGTTTTAAATTGGTGAGAAGCAGACGGTACCCCCTGTGGTGATCTCTTAACCCTGATGTTGGTGTACTCAGTCTCAGCTTCACACACACCATCCAAAACATCCAGATTGCAGAAAGAATCTTCAAAAATACAATTATTCTGCAGAGAAGAAATTACAATAAAAATTATAATTACTTAAAATTTACAAACAAAATTATCATTACTTAAAATATCTTGTTACTTTATTCAACCCTTTCATTATGACTTCCACATCATCTGCAGTTTTGAAGAATACAAGTACATACAGTAGACCCTCGCCAACCACAGATTTCAAGTATCCATGGTTTTCACTCTGTATACCATTTCACCAACCGCAACATTTACTTTTATGTATCTGCAAATTAGTGTGGCGGCTTTATCTCTCATGAGTCTAATGTATTCCTCCATAAATGTGAGGAATAAAGGTTTAATCTCTTTGTTTTATACCTTCCGGGTAATGATAATCAGACGTCTAGCTTTGTACCTGCCTATGTATATGCCCTGCATTAACTCGCCAGGCCAACATACAGGCAATTAATGCATCTAATAATTACTAAAATACATAATATTAGGACACGTCGCTACCTGGCATTTAATTGCTATTCTCAAAACCCTCTCCCGCACCCACAAGCACACGCATCACTGCTATCATCTCTTGCCCCAGAGTGAGCAATAAACAAATGTCAACTCTCGAGGGTAGAGATGGGTGGGATGTCGACGTCGCATTCTGGCCTTTATCACAAAAACTGTTTTTGTTTTTTTAAAAAGGCTTTTTGTTCAATCCAGAATGCGACGTCTAGCTTTGATTACCCAAACAGAAGGTGGAGAGGGAGGTGACATTGCATATAAGGCTCCACTAGCTTAGGTCCAGATAATAATTATAAACCTGTTTGTAATATTTTCCTTAATAGGAAACATTTACCAGAAGGTAAAATTATAAGCTACATATCCTAGGTCAGGATTCTCACTTTATTCTGATGAGGAAGAAGGTCCTGATTGTGGAGATGGACGAGGTGAGGGAGGGGACCCCAGGACCACCACATGTGAAGCATCTTTCAGAGATAGATGAAGATAACTGTTTTGAAAGGTTTTTGAAGATTTCCAAAAGCCCACTTCTTTGATCTGACTGAGGCTCACATACCACAGAAAGGCCACAGACCCTACATATTTCCTGGTGTCATGTGCCAAAAATTTCTTGCCAGGGTCTGCTTAACTCACCAACTGAGATAAATATTTTGTCATTTGACTAGGAGACAATTTCTTACCATCCTGTGATGAGAATACATAGGGGCCTCGATTAGGGAATCTGGTTAACCATTGTTGAAGATTCTTAACTGGGCATTCATTAGCCATTTTATCCTGATAGGGTGTGCTTGAAAATCCTCCCTTTCATTTTTTCTTAGAATTTCCGTAGGAAAAAGGGTGACATCTTCCTCAGATAATACCAATAATGATGGATTATTGGAAATTTAAAACAGCTCATTGATTTGCATACCTGTTGCGATTGCTAGAAGGAAGGCTGCCTTCTGGAGCAATCTGTCCCGGTTCAGATTTATATTGTAATTAGGCCCCATAAGAAATGTAGTAACTTTATTTAGTGACCAAGGTGAAATTCTCTTGGGCCGAGGGGATTTCTGAATGAAAAAGGACGATCTGAGCATTTGATAAATTCTTGGGTTCAAAGAAATATTAAAACCCCACGCCAGAGGGTCAACCAGTGCTGATTTATAAGATGCACTTGTAGATCCTTGAAGGCCTTTAACCCTGAACAGAAATTCTTAAAATTCCAACACCACTGTCTCCAACAATGTGTCTTGAACAGTTAACTTAATAAATTGTTGAAAAGGGCTCCAAGCTTTCTCATATTGCATATAAGTTTGGGGCCTATGACCTGCTATCACTTGGTTAACTGTAATGGAATTACCCAACAATCTATTTAAACATCTTTTGAGAAACTCCAAGCGTGAAGTGCCAAGGATATCTTGAACTGAGGGTGCAGTACCTGGTCTTAACATTCTTGGTGCAATCGTAATGGATCACCATTCCAACAGATCCAGACACCACGGTTGTAGGATCCAATGTGGTGAAATTAAGAGGACCTTTCCCTGGAAGGGTCTGCATTTAATTTAAGCATTTTGAATTAAGCGGTGTTTTTCAAGAATGTAACCCTTGCATAAAACGAGAGGTGGGTGTACAAAGTGTGTACGAACAGTAATTTTGCTCAAAATTATGGCTTTTTTCACATTGAATTTACATTTAATATTTGTTTAATTTACGTTTCTAGCAGTCCATGGTGCTTTAGAGACACAGAGGTGCATAATTAGTGGGTCATAGGTGTATTGTTGATTTATTACTTCCTGACCTCGGTTGGTTCGGCAAAACGGATAAGGCGGCAAGGCTTTGAAACCAAGGGCGCTGGAAAATCGGTGGTAGACCTGTACCTGTAATACAGATCACAACCATGGAACTTAGCCCCCTATTTCCCATAAGTCTTTAGGCTTGCCAACTGCACTTTTGCCAACCACAGGACTACTGTACTGTATTATGATTTCTACACAATGTATAGTAAAGTTGCTGGCTCCTTTGTTTTTTAATTTCCCATTCTCTTTGGCAGGTTCCCTACAACTCCTGATTAGCCAGTCACACATGAATATCGTGAAATGGATAAAATAATAGGGACAGGTGGGGTGATTATAGGCCAAGGAAAAAGTATTCTGCTTTTAGAAGTAAATGACAATTAATCAAAGTTCTACACAGTGCATTTTAAATGATACAGTAAGAGTTTATGTTCTAGTGAAAACTTTTCTGTGATAAACAATGATACAAAAAGCACAGAAGGCAAAATACTTACATCCAACGCTTGAGTATTAGCCAACCTCTGGTCAACACTGTTTATTTCAGACTTTGTCCGTGCCATCTCATCAGGTGCAGGTGGAACTGGGAGGATCCGCTTCGCCTTAACTCTATTACCAGACTGGAAAGGAATGGCAAATCTTCCAAGATATTTCCAGCGTGGTCTACAGCCTAGAGAAATCAAGTTTTACAGATAAAAATCTTTTAAATTGATGCCTATTTGTAACTGTTATGAACTTGATAGACAGACAGTATTATGTAACCATGAATTCTTGCACCAGGTGATATGAGAAAATGTATAAAAGGCAGTGATGAGAAGCAAGGAATATCCAAACACTGTGGCTAAACCTTAACTACAGTGGGGTATGCTATAACGAACGGATCCTACTACGAATATTCCTATAACGAACGGTTTTACCTATAAAATTGAGAATGCTATAACGAACGAAACTCCTACAACGAACATTATTTAATTTTTTTTTTTCTAATTTATTGTTTTTTTATTACAAATATTAATGATATTCTTTATTTCAGGGGTTTAGATGCATATTTATGCACTTTTTTACAATTTTTACAATTTTATATTATATTTTTCAGTGTTAAGTGGTTGTATTTGGGGGCCTGGAACGGATTAATCCTATAACGAACGAATGCTATAACGAACAAGGTTCTAGAACCAATTAGATTCGTTATAGCATACCCCACTGTAGTTTATTGAGATGAAAATGAAGGATGATGGGGAACTCCTCGTAGGGAAGCAATATCTGTGTGTCTATACTCCAAATTTCTCCTTTCTATACTGTCAGCTTTACTGTATTAGTTGGAAATAATCATTAAACTACAAATTGTTATACAGCATAGGACAGGCAGCCTTCTGGAGGCATTCAATAACCAAAGCAAAAACCCGAGAAAAAAGTGTAAAGACACACAACCCAACAATCTTCGGGTGTCTAATGCAGCAAAGTTCAGCCCAAGACAATGTTGCAGTACAGTGATTGGTTGAACATGGCCATGCAGTCACAATCCCACCGAGTGATTGACACAGCTTGGGAGGCATAAGTCATGTCAGGTTAACAACTAAATGGTGAGTTACTAGATGAATAGAAATGTTACATGATCTTGTTTCCTGAAGGATATGAAGGTTTTCCAGTTCCTTTATGATCTTACCAGAATTAGCCTAATTTTATTCTCAGAAGTCATCATGGGCCCCAAGAACATGTCTGATGAGGAAAGGATCAAATCCATGTTCTAATGGGTGAAAAAGTTCCTCAGAGGGAAAGGTAGGGACAAGGCATAGCAACAGTTTAGATTGAAGTGTGCGGCACGCACACTGCCTCACAAGACATGTACAGTACCTCTGACCCTGAAGGTAGTGGTTATACTGCCTCACAAGACATGTACAGTACCTCTGACCCTGAAGGTAGTGGTTATACTGCCTCACAAGACATGTACAGTACCTCTGACCTTGAAGGTAGTGGTTATACTGCCTCATAAGACATGTACCTCTGAGATTGGAGGTATTGTAGTAGTCCTACTGCCTCACATGTACCTCTGAGACTGGAGGTAATGTAGTGGTTATACTGTACCTCTGAGACTGGAGGTAATGTAGTGGTTATACTGTACCTCTGAGACTGGAGGTAATGTAGTGGTCCTACTGTACCTCTGAGACTAGAGGTAATGTAGTGGTCATACTGTACCTCTGAGACTGGAGATAATGTAATGGTCATACTGTACCTCTGAGACTAGAGGTAATGTAGTTGTCATACTGTACCTCTGAGACTGGAGGTACTGCCTCACAAGACATGTACAGTTAGCCAAAGTTCCATCGACCTCACCATGTATTCAGTACTGGCAATTTTACCTGGCAATACAGTACTTGGTGAAGTAAGACTGTGTAATGGGATTGTAATTGGTGGAACTATTTTCAATTGTATCAGTGTCAGAAAAAATATTAAACAAACCAAAGTTAGCATTTTATCTAAAATCATGAAAAGTTTCCAAATGTTTGTATATTTGCTTAAATAATGAAGAAATTATCCTAATGAATAGGCAATGCAACTACAACCAGGGCTGTCATAAGATTCTCACATCAATTTTCAAGAATACATATTCTACATAGACTACTATAATCTTGAGTGTTTCATGAAGGAATTAATTATCTTTGCAATGTAAACATTATATGGTACTGTAATGTAATTTGACATAACTTAGAGAGCAGACACTGTGTAATAGACTCAGATGAAACAGTAATGGCATACAGTATCCCTGCACCAGTGTGTGGAGGAGAGAAAACACTAAAGTGGCCATTTTGGTGTTCTAACTGCCTTTGACAGTATTATTATTAATAACTCACTGAAAGAGAGAGACAGGAAGAGGGAGAGACAGTGAGTGAGACAGACAGACAGTCAAGGACAGAGTCATATACTGTACAGTACTTACATAATAAAGAGTTGATTAGGACATAGAAAGGGGTTGAATGCCTCTCAGTTATTGTGTGGGTTTTTATTATCATTTTTTATTTCTTTTTTAATCATATTACAACTTCATACATCATTGTCAAATATTTATTTACCTCTCAAAACCTTTGCAATAAATTATAAAATGTATTCAGTATTTCACAATTCTATGTGGCTGAACTGTTATACTGCTTCATATGTCAAACAGTTACTGTATTATATTTATCGATTTCAATATTTGGTTATTTTAGATTAATTCTTTGAAAAAATAAAACTATGAATATATTTAGTACTTTAAGCAAATGAATAATAATCGAGTTATAAGCCACTTACTACATTATTTAAAAACAAGTGAAAATCAATGATGTCACAGTTACCACGTGTTGGGCGTGAAGTTTCTTATGGTTATCCAGCATAAGGCCAGATCCTTGTTTGACGACTTAAAGGCAGAGAGGGTGAAGGATCGAAGGAAGAGACCTTTACGGCCAGCCTAGGATGGTTTCAATGATTTGAGCATCATTATAACTTCCACAACAAAAAGATGACTGGTGAAGCTGCCAGTTCAGATACTGTTGCTGCCGAGACAATCCCGCCAGAATTCAAACGGATTATCCAGCAAAGGAGGCTACTCACCGAAGCAAGTCTTCAATGTGGATGAGACTGGTCTCTTTTGGAAGAGGATGGCTGAGAGGACCTATATCTCGAAGGAGGAGAAAAGAACGCCAGGTTTTAAAGCAGCAAAAGACCGCTTGATGCTGCTGCTTGGCGCGAACGCTGCCGGTGACTTCAAGCTGAAGTCTATGCTGATTTCTCGCGCTGCCAACCCACGGGCCCTGAAAGGTTACCCTAAGGATCACCTTCCTGTCATTTACAAGGCAAACAAAAAGGCATGGATAACCGGCACCATATTTAGCCAGTGGTTAAATGTGTACGCTGTCCCTGCACTGAAGGAATACTGTGCCAAGGAGAACCTTAACTTCAAAATTCTTCCAATCCTTGACAATGCTCCAGCTCATCCTCCCAATCTCGACGACTTGCATAACAGTGTAAAAGTTGTATTCCTGCCTCCCAACACTACAGCACTGATGCTGCCTATGGACCAAGGCGTCATCGCCGCATTCAAGGCATATTATTTACTACGTACCATGGCCCAGTTGCTCAAGGCTACAGACGGAGAAAATAAACCAACGATCCTAGAATATTGGCGCGGCTTCAACATTCTTCATGCAATTCACAACATTGGCAAGGCATGGGAAGAGGTTTAGAAAGTTGCCTGAATGGTGTATGGCGTACATTGTGGCCCGAGTGCATCAACAGTTTTACGGGATTTACGGACTTAGTCCCAGCAGTGAATAGGGATATCCTCAGCTTGGCTAGACAGGCAGGCTTTGATGAGCTGGAATCAGAGGATATTGAGGACGTCCTGGCATCCCAAACAGAGGAGCTCACCAACGAAGATCTGCAACAATTAACAGAACAGTCCCATTGAAGACGATGACAACGACGACAAAGAACCTCAAAGAACGCTAACTTCAAGGAGGTTGGCAGAATCATTGAACACGTTCCAGCAAGCAATGCAAATGCTTCTAGATGACGACCCAAACAGAGAACGTAGCTCAAAGGTTCAACGCAGCATTGAGGACAGTCTTGGTTGTTACACCGAGATCTATAAGGAGAAGATGAGTAGCACCAAGCAGTCAACACTGGATTCATTTTTTCGGCGCGGGACAACAGAAGGAGCTTCCTCAAAACAGCCAGCAGCCGAGGAGGAGCAAACAACAATGGAGGAGGAGCAAGCAACAATGGAGGAGGAGCAAGCAGCGACGGAGGAACCCCAGTCACAGCAGGAGGAGGAGGAGGCAGCTGCAGAGTCTCAGTGATTCACCCTCCTCCTCAGCTCCCGCCATCCTCCTCCTTCGCTCCACTATCCACCACACACTCGCTCTACCACCTCCGCCCATCGGTGAGTACCAATACAAACTTAGTACTGTAGTTCTATATACTATTTTCTATAGAAATGGCAATAATTTTCTGGATATGTAACTTTTTTCATGGGGCAAAGGGAGGCTCAGGAACGTAACTCCCGTATTTTATCAATTTCTTATGGGGATAATTGATCAGCTTAACGTTGTTTCGTATAACATCGCATTTACAGGAACGTAACCCCGACGTTAAGCGAGGACGCCCTGTACTGTACAGCATTGGAAATACAGCTTCTTGTCCATTTAGCAAAGTTAAGCAACATTGGGTCTGGTTAGTATTGGCTCTAAGAACACCAGATGCTGCTGGCAAATGGACCTACACTGGAAACAAGCCTCTCATGGCTTTGTCAGCTGTTAGTGGTGAAATTGACTGAATATGAATTATCATAAGTCATCTGTCAACGTGGACTAGTTGGGAGGATGTGCAACTGTTCAAAATGTGGCAGAGAGCCGACAGGGAAGAAGAAATCGAAGAAATGTAAAATTACACAATGATGCTTCAAGAAAGATGTTCTCATTGGTACCAGATATCAAATAAATTTCTTTATGCTTAATATGCAGAGGGGTCCAGTTGGGAAATTAGGTACAGTTAGGTAGGTTTGGTTGGTTTGGGTAGTTGGGTCAGGTTGTTTGGTTCTGTGCATTGTCATTTCCATTTTCGTGTTCACTATCATGTAAATAGTATCTCCAGAAATTTTGGTTGAATTCCATAAGATATTTTGGTGAATTTATAGTCTTACACCGGTCTTTCTTTCTCTGTTATTAATATGTATTTCGTAATGTTTAGCAAATTCTAAGACATTTTTCTTCTATGATATTTCCACCGGAAATTAAGGATAAGCGAGATATAAATTGTCATTATTATTAGAATTCGTGAGTCACAAGTGTCACCATGATTTGTTTACATCTCGAGGAAAAGGTCTGACCCCCCTCACGCAGTGCTCCTTACCTCCGTCTTCGCTTTTTAAGCGTCCACAGCACATGTGCGGGGGTGGTGTAGGAGTTTCTTATTGGCTATAGTGATAGGAAACTTATTATTGGGCAAGAGTTTTTTGTCTTAGCCAATGAACAATGCGTGGGAGTGTCTAGGAGCGTAGATTTTCATTTTCGGAACCAGATAAGGCTGAACAGGTGTAAGAGCTGTGCAAACATTGTGATAAAGATTATTTTATGTCAATTGCCGAGTTTCATCAGAAAAATAGTGAGGCAATGTTTTTTTTTTAAACACTACGTGTTTGTCCAAAGTGTAAAAATCAGTGTACACTGCGTGAAGAACAACACATTTGGCGGTGTTGTATGATATATATGGACACAAAGTAGTACCTTCAGCTGTATATTGTTATATTACTATTATTAATTATGTATAGTAAAGTATTACAGAACATGTATTAATTCTATGTAATATTCTATTTATTGTGCACCATATTATGTATATAAATTATCACATTTATACTTTATGTATTCAGCTTGTGAATGCTGGCATCTGTATAGGCCAGCGCGTAGTAATACATAGATAGATGTAGAGGTAGTTAAGACTGAGTCCTGGTGGCGTGCCCACAGGCTTCCTACTGTATTATCTCCCGTACGAGAATAGAACCTACTTTTAAAGACAACAAGTGTTTGTATATACCCTCAGTAGTATAGAACATTCTTTGGGTATCTGGCAATACGCTAGAGGTGTCACCAGATTTCTTCAGCCGAAAAGTAAGAAACGGAAGACGTGCAACCTGGTTAGGTTTGTTGGTTGGTATTTTATTTATGTGATTTATTAAAAAAAATCCAACTTTTCCATTACGATTGTTTGGTGGGGGGGGGATAAAATAAAATAGTGATTTCCGGAGGAAATGAATATCAAATTCATTCGTAACTCATCAATACCATAGGAAAACCTATTTTCAACACCAAATAAAGACCGGTACATTACTATAAATTGACCGTTATTTCTACTGGTAACCATGTTCTCCACCTTCACCAAGAGATTTTCTAGTGTATTTAGATGCACAATCTAGAAATTAATTTTTAACAAAAATTTCCCATTTTTACAAGAAATGAAGGTCAGAATTTACATGAGGAACACACCTACAGTAAATACACTACAAAAACTATTCTCATATAAAACTGCTGCTGCAGCCATAAATCGAATATTCACCATCAGAACTTGCTTGCTCTGAACACCTAATATATGACGCTGAAAAACAACAAACAGAATCTGTTACTCACCATCTTTCCTTCTAGCCTCCATCACCCAGTCCTGGTGGCAGCTCTAATTTGTCTCACATATTCTTGTGCTGTGGTAAAACATTTCTTCATGGACACCTAAAACACATAATACATAATGTTAATTACGATTATTAGGCATTAACTTATTAAGGCCGACATTAAAAGTATCAAGTAAAGGTTTGGCGACAATAAATGTATCAAATCAACCATCAAAAGTTTTGTACATTTAGCCAAAACTTAACATGACAATACCTGTTTAAGTAGGATTAACTTAAGTATGAAATTGAGATGCTAGAGAAAGACTTACATGAGAAATCCTTAAAATTTGTAAAACGTCTTAACTGACGACTCAAACGGGGAGGGACATTGCCCGTGTGTGCCGTCGCTTATAACACACTGCTCCCGACACTTGGTTTATTGGCTCGTTTTCCCTTAAAAATAAACCCATAGTAAGTCAATCTTAGACTGCCTCTTTTGAGGGGGTTAATGGCTTTTTGAAGAAAAACTGTATATATTTTAAATATAGTTTTTCTCTTGTATTATTTCTAGTATTAAAAGTTGTTGTCCTGCCAGTGTACACAATACATGTAGAAGAGATTATTAGAGTAGTCCCACAAGGATCTATCCTTGGACCCATCCCTGTTTATGATCAACATAACAATATCAGTGAGTATACATCGAACCACATTAATAAGTTTGCGGACTATACGAAGATATATGGGAAGCTGGGAAGGCAAGTGAAAAGGACGGGAGGGAGGGTCGGGTCGTGTAACATAGGGTCCGACATTCGGGCCTCATGTAGAGCGTCAGGAATTGGACAGTGAATCGATGTAGGATTTTTAATGCTAGACGCGATTGTATTTCTTAAAACTCAATCTCCACCGAGTTAGAGATACAGCCCAGGTCAAGAAGCCTACAACCACAAAATCATTGCCATATGACAAAGCTTTTATTTTATATTTTTACGGAGTTGTGGTCACGGCTGTGATAAAGGTCAACCAGGGAGTGTAGTACTGTGCCTTTAGTTAAATCAGGTCATAGTGTCATCAGTGACCGTGGAAGAATTTGCAAATACCTTTAAGTGAATACAAATTGGTAAGCAAGCTGGAAAGGTACCACTGCCAGCTTGTGTTATAGGTGCCACAGAGACTTTAAATTTTATTTTGTTTGTGTACTTTCTCATGGACTGTAACTGTGCCTACGATACACCATTCACAGGGAGATACAGTGTACACAGTGATAGCACAGAGAGATATAGTGTGGGGGTATGAGATATTGGTTCACACTCAGGATGGGATGGAGAAAGGAAACTCACAATGTGCTCACTGTATACATACTGCATTGGATGTACAATGCAACTTGTTGCTGGGTAGGTAGCATGGTAATAAGCATTGAGTAGAGAGAGCTGGGTGGTGAGGGTGCCCAGAGTGAGGGCAAGGGCTTGAGGGACACCAAGGTCGCTGGCGGGAGCGGACACCAAGGTCGCTGGCGGGAGCGGCAGCCGCACGGCTCGCGCGGAGGAGGAGGTGTTGCTTGCTGGTGGCACTGTGTAGAAAGAGAGAGGCTGGTCACAACGGTGTCAGGCCTTATAAGGCGGGGGTAGGCGTGGGTAGACAGTTGACCCCCGCTCCGTGGGCGGCGCTGGAGGCGTAGGCTGGGAATTCGAGAAGGTTCGGTGCTTGTAGGGGAGGAATCCACTGCAATACTCCCGTTCCCTCCGGGCGCGGCGGGAGGCTGGAGGTTGGCAGAGTTGCGTGCCACATGTGAGGCAGAACGGGCGGTGCGTGCCACATGTGAGGCAGAACGGGCGGTGCGTGCCACATGTGGGACATAACGGCGAGGGAGTCCACTACAATAGTCGTCGATGAGAACAGGAAAAGAAAGTTATAAGGAAATACTACTTAAAATAAATAAATAAATAAATAAAATCAACAAGCTTGGCTATCCTATTACCGCCCCAAAGAAAGTTTGGTATTTTTGCGTTTACACACGACACATTCCTACCACTAATCTATTATCATATTCGAATAAGACGTCTAATTATAAGATAACTTTCATCTATTACACTACCGTCGGAAATGTATAATAACTGAGAAAACGTATCAAAAAAGTCTCTATTTTCTTCCATTAATCTTGCGCCATTATTGCCTACCTCACCTCCCACACTGCATGTCTCCTTTATAAATCATCACGCGCATGTGTTCCCTTACACGTCACGCGGCCAATCAACAGTTTTTTTTTTTTTGCAACCAATTAAAATGATTTTGGGTTTAATTCACGGTATTTTTGGCCCAATCAAATTCAAGTTTTATTTTGGGTCTCATATTTCGAAATTCAAATTCATTTCCGACCATAGAAGTCTGCGATTGGTGTCACTTCAATTATATGGAGCTGATTGCGAGTTTTGGGGAAAAAACGAAGAAACTCGCACTTTTTCAATCGCATGGTGTTCTTCCAACCTCAGTAAAGTGTACTAAGTGCAAGACAATGTAAATACCGCAAAGAACAACATATGTGGAATCAACGTCAGCAGCCAGGCCAATAAGGTAAGAAATAGGCGATTCCATCATATGGTGAGAGTCAGTTAGGTTAGGTTAGGTTACGTTACGTTTTTGTTTTTCTAGTGGTTTTTGGTGTATTTTTTATTCGCTTAGCCATTATTTTTTTCGGAAAACGTCCAACGAAAAAAATTTGATTAAAAAAAAAGCTGCTAATTTCCGCCAGAAATGAAGGTCATATTCTGTCTAAACACACACACATACCTGTACACTAGAAAAATATATTTTTGACTTTCTAACAGAGAGTGGTGTGCAAGTGCAAATTTACTGAAAGTTTTATTTTATTTTTCTGTGTTTCTAAAGGACTGAGTGGGTGTATAAAATCGGTTATTCATAGCAAAATGCAGTGCACATAGAGATAGCACATAAATACCGACAAATGCCGAAGTTAACTGAAAAACTTCCCCCACAACAACAACAACCATGAGTATATGTGATTACTGCAGGGGGACGTCGGATATAGAGGATACAGGCCTGACTAATGCAACGTTTAGGAAGTTACTAACTGCCGTAAAGCATGAAGGCTGTTGCTGGTATTGCCCTGACTGTGTAGTCAAGGTGAATGAGGCGATTGCAAGCCATAGGGGAACGAGTTTCCTAGGGACGAAAATAGGTGAAGCTGGAGCCTTGCTGGTTGCCAAACTAGAACAAGTTGGGAAAGAGATCCTTGCTAAGACTGAGGAAGTAGCCGTTAGAATGGAGGTGGTTGCTAAGAGGAGTTATGCTGAGGCATTAGCAAGGCCATGGGAGGGGTGGAGAGTATTGCAGGTTCAGAACAGGTTCTACAGCAGCTAGGGACTCTGAAGAAGTGAGTAGAAATTAAAATTAACGGACCTACTGTTAGGGGAGAGGAGGAACAACGAGAACGTTTCCAGCACAGGAACAATGTAATAGTTTTTGGCGTCCCCAGAGCCAGGCAGAGGGAACTGAGAGTAAGATAACACATGATAAGATGCAGTTTAAGAATATTTGTAGAGAGGTTCTGAAGATGCCATCAACCACTCAGGATGTGAGGCGGCTGGAAAAAAAAACAGGGGGACAAGCCTCGCCCCCTCAGGATCACACTAGTGAGTGAAGAGGAGAAATGGGAAGTTATTCAGCAGGCAAAAAACTTAGCAAGGAGCGAGGCATTTCGGAGTGTATTCATTCACCCAGATCACTCGGTAATGCAGAGGGAACAGCACAGGAAGCTCCTGCAGGGCTTGAAGCAGAGAAGGGAGGAGTTGAGGAAGAGCGGGGCCGGGTGTACATGGGTTGCATTCAGGGAGAGAGTCGTGGAAGCAAGTGTGACGACACAGGGACGGGGAACAGCAGCGCATCCTCCATCCGCTCTACCCCCCGCCCGGGAGGTGGCACCAGCTCCGCCTATCAGCCGGGAGGAGGCGAGCGCCTTGTAAACAATGACATTGTACTTAGCAAATGTTGCAGCTTCTGAGAATGGGAGGGGGGCGGGGGTTACTACTAAGAGCAGAGATGTTACCGAGAACAAATTCTGGCTTGAATGTCATGTACACTAATACTGACACGTTCCTTGATAGGATAGAGGAGTTTGAAACACTACTTAAGGTACACCAACCGGATATTGTGGGAGTTGTACAAGAACAGGAGAATCGACCCAGAGGAATGTGAGTTCAGTATTGCTGGATATGACTCATTTACGAACCTTTCTCAAGAAACTTGCAAGAAGGGTGTGGTTATCTAGACTAGGCAAGACCTTAGAGCCAGCCAGGCGAGGGTACAGGGAGAGGATGTTTTTGAAGAACCCAAGTGGTGTAAAATTAGACTAAAGAGAAGGGACTTACTTATTTTCGGGTGTATCTACAGATCCCCAAACTGTGGCCCACTAAATCAAAGGAACTTAAGAGCCTTAATAGACAATGCGATTATGCTCAACTCTAGCTACCTCCTTATCATGGGGGACTTTAACTATGGCGACATAGACTGGAGAAGTAGGGGCGCCGGTGGTAGAGCGGTACCGCTCTTGCCTCGCAAGGGAGATGTCACAGGTTCGATTCCCGGGCCGGTGGAAAGTTGTTTGAACATACTTCCTAGCCCCCATTGGTCCCTGTTCACCTAGCAGTAAAGTAGGTACCAGTTGTAAGTCGAAAAGTTGAGAATTCGTATTCAGGGAAAGTTGTTGGAGCTTCCAATAACTTACTGACAAAAACCTATGACTCTTCAGGCTTCTATGCCCTTGACAAAAAACCTATGACCCATCAGGCTTCTATGCCCTTAACTCATGAGTCATAAAGGCAAGCATGAACTTATCATGCTTCCCAGATGGGCGCTGTAAGCACTTCTGCGCTTCACCTTGCACAGGATGTAGGGAGGTGCCCAATAAAAAAAAAATAGACTGGAAAAATAGACTGGAGAATCGAGTTCACCCTAAATGACTTGAATAACCCTGCTACTCTTTTTTGTAGAAACTCAGAGATAATTTTCTGTTCCTACATGTTAGAGACCCGACACATTACAGAGGGGAGCAAACACCCAAGCCACTAGACCTCATCATAATAAACGAGGAGGGTATGGTGGCCAAAATGGAACACCTTGCCCCAATTGGCACCAGTCACCATATAGTGTTGTCATTCAGATTTAACTGTTACCTAGTTCAAGATAAGGCCAGGCCAAGATGCAAATATTACAAGGGAAATTACAACGGGATGTGGGAAAAGATGAGGGGTATCCACTGGCCTGACTTATTGAGGCACAAGAACGCAGACACTGCACTGAATATCATAACTAGTAAAGTGACCCATTTGATTGATAAATATATACCCAAAACCAAACCCAGTGCCTCTATGAATACAAGGGGATCCTACACATGAACCATGTGGCGGTCGACAAATTTAAGAAGAAAACCCAGAAATTCAAGACTTGGGTTGGGTCAAATGATGAGCAGGACAGGAGGATGTATGCAAGAGCCAGAAACCAAGCAAAGATAGAATGTAGAAGGGCTGAAAAGGAGTTCCAGAGGCTGGTTGCAAGCGAGGTCAAGTCAAACCCAAAGGCGTTTTATTGCAAAGTCGAAATTAAAAACGCGAGTAGGAATATCAGACCTGAGGCTTGAAGATGGTAGTTATACAGATTCTGACCAGGATAAAGCTGAGACATTGAACAGCTTCTTTTCCTCGGTGTTCACAAGAGAGGATGAGACTAACCTTCCTGCGTTCGAGGACAGACGGTTCGACACAGCACTGACCCACATTGTGTTCACAGAAGAGGGTATTAGAAATAAAATGTCAAAGCTAAAGTTCCATAAGAGTCTCAGCCCTGACATGGTGCATCCTAGAGTGCTAAGAGAGTTGTGGAACGAGCTTGCCGAGCTCCTGAAGATCCTGTTTTGTAAATGCCTGGATGAACAAAAGGTCCCCAGTGAATGGAAAGTGGCTTATGTGAGTCCTATCTTCAAGAAGGGCGATCGCCACTCCACGAACAACTATAGACCGTTGAGCCTGACCAGCATAATATATAAAGTACTTGAGAGTATTATCAGAGATGCCGCAATGGAACATCTACTACGAAACAACCTTGTAAAGGATTGCCAACACGGTTTTATGCCGGGGCGCTCCTGCTTAACACAATTGCTCAAGGTATTGGATATTTGGACCCATATTCTGGAACAGGGTGGTAATATCGACAATATTTACCTAGATTTTGCTAAGGCTTTCGACAGTGTATCCCACGAAAGGCTGAAAATCAAACTGGAAGGGTACAGAATTCGGGGAAATGTCCTAGCGTGGATAGAAGACTTTCTACATGACCGCAAGCAGTGTGTGGTGATTAATGGTATGAAATCATCATCCGTACCTGTCACAAGAGGGGTACTACAGGGCAGTGTATTGGGCCCACTGTTGTTTGTTTGTTTCATAAATGACATGCCTGACGTTGTACACTCCTCTATACAAATGTTTGCCGATGACGCCAAGTTATTTCGGAAAGTCAAGAACCTGTGTAAGTACTATGCTGAACATAGTATAATACAGTACCTTAATAATGAGGATATGAATGAAAAGGATTAACAGTAATCTTAATATTTATTGCTTACATAAGAAACACAGAAAGAGCCAGTCCAGGGGCAGCTGAACAATACTGTATATAATTTTAAACACGCTCAGTTAAACAAGAATATCAACAACCTGGGTGTTGGTGTGAGCCCTCCTCCTGGCTGGCAGGCAGGAAAGGCAGGCACATAGTGGTGGTAAGGATGACCTCAGCAACAGGGGCAGGTTCTGAAGGGGTTGCCTGGTTTGTATACATAAAATTTTATTATTTATCTCTTATGTAATGTGCCTCAGAAGGCAGAGTCCTGAATCTGTCCCTGCTTCACTTCATGCCTTTAGTGGTCAAAGGTGGTGGCTATTTGGCACTACTGTACTATCTACTGAGAAATGTCAGCTTGACTTTGTGGGCACAGCGCACACAACTGGCATTGTAGGGTGTAAAAAAAGCTGCTCAGTCTTAAAATAATTTGATCAAATGCTAGAAACTACCCTAGTATTCTGTGATACTTATAGAAAAATCTAAATACGTACAGTACATTCTAAAATCACAGTAGCATGAAAATATCCATTGATAGAAATAAAATAAATTATTATGGCCATTAAAATAATTAACAATCACTTCATCTAGGAAATACAAATAATACAAAAAACAGGTTGGTTATTTCCACAAATATATACATTAAATAAATACCATAAGGCATGGACAAAGACTCAAACTTGGTGAGAACTGTACCAGACCCTGAGGGGATATACAGCACTGCTTGCTATCCACACAAGGTCTATGGTGAAATGCTTATTACTCTGACTATAACCAAGTTTTTTAAACTCTTACAGCTGCCACATCAGCTAACAGCACCAAAATCATCACTCTGAATTATACAGCATTGGAATCTTTATATATTTACAGTTTTCATATTTATTAACAATAACAGACCTCGACCATAGTGCCCCGATAATCCTACACACAGTCAACCAGCATCATGTACATACTGTGTAATCAAGACATCATACCCAGAAGCTCATGACACATGTACTGTCTGCCTGGTTACCAAAAATAAAAAGCATATACTGTACTGTATAAATAAAACATGGTGTCTTGAGTATGTTAGTTGTCATGGTCTTGCCCAACGTATGTTTGTATTAGGGAGTTAAAGCATTATACACTGTGTACAGTATAAAATTTTTGTCTTTAACAATTTTCATTGTTCATAATGTTCATCAATTGAGAACTATTGTCTTTAATCATGAGGCTCTCTATATGACACCCTATATATATATATACTGTATATATATATATATATATATATATATATATATATATATATATATATATATATATATATATATATATATATATATATATATATATATATATATATATATATATATATATATATATATATATATATATATATATATATATATATATATATATTTTTTTTTTTTATTCCCAGTGGCAATTTGTTAATACATGTATTATAGAAAACGTGAATTAACACACCATCATTAAACAGTAAGAGATGAGTAATGATAAAGTTTCTCAGAGAGGTGAGAGGTGAAGTAGTGTTAGGTATGTATGTGTCTTGTTCTCTGAAGAATGTCACAATTATACTCTATAAGAGTTTCTGAATGTTTGGTTTGCATTGATAAAGTCTCGTAAGATTATCTCATGAATTTCTGTAGCACAGGTCAGGTTATACTGCATTAGGTTAGGCTCAATTATCAAGTAATTTTTAGGATAAGAGTCAAGCAATCACTGATTATGGTTAGACTTTTTGGTTGAAAGACTGAATTGTTACTACAGTTATTATTATTTAATATATTTTGTATCCAGAAGTGGAGACAAGTAAGGAATCAGACATAAGAAATTTATGTGTACAGTATACAAAAGATACTTAACTTATTCCTTTAATTTATTCTGTACAGGTACAGAATTTGATTTCAGTGAAGAGAAACCACATTTTTTGTTTTGAAACAGTACAGTACAGCACAGTTTATGCAACACACCAGATCTATTTTTTTATAATGTGACTTAATTATCTTTTCACTTATTCTACTGAATGAGTATGTTATTAGAGGATCTTTTGTTTGTTTTAAGCTGAACCTTCTTCCCGAACACTACTGCAAGGTATGACATTGTACCCCAGATATACCTGTACTGTATGTGCATTGTACAGTATATTTATAATTGTAGGATATTTGTATATGTTAGATTTTTCAAAAGTTAAGGACTGTACAGTACTGTAGATATATCTTAATTGTTAAATGTATGAGCCGTATTACAAGAAAAATCAATCTACACAGTCAACAACAAAATTTTTGCACCCCTGGGTCTGATGTCTTTCACAACAATCATTGACTGAGGCCATGATCATTTGGTAAGGTTGATACTTCTGATTGTGTGATGTATTGTGTAATCAATTTGATGTATTCTGTATTCCTGTATCATGAATAGTTAATAAGGAAAAATTAACAAGAATACATATAAAACCCGTGTTGTTCAGAATTCTTGTCCGGTGTGTCATGTTGTATAACACCGTAAAGGTGTAGAAATATTTGTTGTTGACTTTACATATGTATACCACTATCAAATCATATAAATGTGTCATAGAGGATTTCTATGTAAAGCATCCTGAAATATTATTGTATGTGTCCTGAGTACCTTAAGGTTATGTCTGTGTCCTAAGCAATACAAGTATGTTGTATGTGTCTTGGGCACAGGGAATTTAATGGCAGTGTTCTTCCTGCTGGCCGCTCCTGAGGAACGGCTGCAAGCAATACAGTACAGTATACAGTACTGTATGTGGGTTTGCCGTTAGGTTGACGTGAGGATGGTTTCAGATGTTGGTTCCTTGAGTTAAGAGCTGCAGCAATCAGTTACTAAATGATACTTTTAACTTATTTAAAAAAAAATTTGATAATCAACAGTGTCTGTATTGGGCAAATTTGTTACAAGACCACAAAATATCAATACTGTACATCACAAATATTATAATACACCCTGTATCAGCAATATTATATTGCTTGTATAAGTTTAATAATACTGTATAGTGATCATACTGTATTTGATATGCTTATTGAGAATGAGATTCATAATATTAATATTTATATGTCTAAAAAATAGATCCAACCTATCACAGGGAAGACTGATTACACAGCTTGTCATTATCACTGCCACCAGTGTCAGAGGTGATTGAATAAGGTAGCCTTTTCTCTTGTCAGAGAAGAGCTCTGGATAAGCCTCAGGGAAGCATCTTCTGAAGCCAAGCAGATACGTGGTGGACGGGGAACTCCTCAGATGCACTCTACTGAGTGAAGCTGAGGCTTCCTTGATTCTAGGCAAGTTATGCTAGCAGCTGTGTTGTTTATATAATGCCTGATAAAAGTTCAAATAGTTAAGAAAAGGTTTATTTATCCCAGTTCAGCCAAAGGCAGTATTATATGAATAAAGGACTTAGCAGAGGATAAACAAGGCCTGAATATTGACAGTTATGCAAAGGTGTACATGTAGTTTAAAGCTTGTTTATACATTGTAGGATCAAGTGTATTTATGTTGTACAGTATGTATGAGTTTGTTCATGTATTACAGGGTCAAGTATATCTATAACACTGTACTGTACAGTAGTTAAGAGCTTGTACACTTTAATTATGCGTCCTTAATAGAATTTCAGAGTACATATACAAAGGATCAGCCCTTGAAAAGGGGACTTTAGATAAACTTACTGTACTGTACACTTGTACTGTACTGTAGAAAATATGACAATCAGTATTTTAAGCTGCAAGTAATGAATATTATTTTGACTGAATTTACAAAATTATATGCAAAGAGAAAGGGAACATCAAAGCAAGACACATTTGTTAGAATAAATAAATTAAAAAAGAGTATCTTGGCATTTGTTTCCTGATGTCCTGCACTATACAGTACAGTACTGGGAAAAGACTTTAAAATATCATAATAATGTGCTGTATGCAGTACAAACACTAACCTTGCAGTAAAGTTGAGTAAATGTTGGTTCAGCAGCAGACAAAAGCATACTGCTAGGAATTAGCAATGACTGTATTTTATGGAAACTGATATTGTATAAGATCAGAACATTATCACAGTATTCTCCATATTTTAGTGTGGTAGTACTGTACTGTACTGTACTGTACTGTACTGTACTGTACTATGAATTTCCTGCTACCTTGAAGAATATAATTTGGGAATTTTTTTTACTACTGTATTTTAGTTATTATACACGGTAATTACAATGTATTGAAACAAAGTACAGTACTGTAGTCTAGAGTACATTATATTGTTATTGTGTATGATCACTTGTAATGAGGATAATTGATTTACAAGAAAACTTGGGTTCAGATTCTGTATCTTACCAGTACTTATTCTAGCTATATCACACACAATAATTTATTTGAGGTTTGTGTATCACTGACAGCCAATTATGTGATGTAATGTGTGTATACAATAAGCATATAGTATAATGTACAGGTAGTGCAGTACTGTACTGTACCGGTATAGGGTTTACAGTGCTCATTAAAAGGTTTTATAATGTAACTGAATTGGAATTATGAATACCTATTAATATACCAGAGTGTGTGTGACAGTGTCTGCACAGCAAAGTTTATATAAGTTACAATCTTTCACAATAAACAGCTTCAGCTTTAAATAAACATTAAGTGTTGATCTCAGTATCGGTAGAAGGATGTTCTGCGGGTGAGTGGCAAGATGTTGGAGGACAAGGAGGAGTTGTAGCGTGGAGGATCCATATTCGAGTAACTGCGATGGGATGACAACGATGAGCTGAAGGACGGAGAGACGAGACGGGAAGAAGGTGTCCGAGGTGAAGATGTGGGGAGGGCCTCTTCTTCCACTAGTGTCCTTGAGGTTAGTACAAATGAGAGATTAGAGGTACTGTATCATCATATATCTACTCTTTGGTGCAGATTTGTCATTCTAATTACTACTGTACCTATAAAGGAAACCTGATATTGTACTATAATTTTATTTTACTGTACTTTACTACCATATCTATACTGGAATAAGAAAATTCATTTACTGTAATTTGTTTTAATGTACCGTATTGTAGCACAGATATAAAGACTTAAATACTGTACAGTCAAGCTTATTAACACTGCACTGTATCTTCATTTGATGGTAAAGCTTTTGACCAAGTTACATAACATAATCCTATCATATTTTGCCATAGCATCATACACAGCTTATAGATTTAGTATCAAGCTCCATTTAGCAGTGGATACTGATAGCGAGTTAAGTCACTACAGAAACATGCATGTTTTGTTTTTTCTGAGTGGAGATGAGTTTGATTTTCATAGCCAGAAGTGAAATTAGAATTTGTAAATTTTGGCACTTGAATGCATACTAATTGTAGGTTAAACATTATTGAAATATTTAGATAAAGCCATATAATAGCAGGAGCTAGTAGTAAACATTGTAGCAGTTCATAGTAATCAAATGTGATCAGTTTTCTAAAAAGTTATCTTTTACACATATTACAGTATATAAACATTTAAAGGCCATGATAAATACTACGTATTTATTTATAATGATGCACAAGAGACAACACCAAACACATTAGTTGGGGATCTTGTTATCCCCAGAACAACAGTGCTCACCGTTTAAAATATATGTACGAACTACTGTAATACTGTATATATTTCCCTAGTGAAATATTAATGTAAAAGTTTGACTGTTGCATTTTCATTGTGCATCGGTATAATGTACACAAACTCTTTGGTGATATGTTTAAGACATTTGAAGGACCTGGCTTCAAAAATTTAATGAGTACAATACAAGATACTTGTGTATATTCAGATTTGTCATGACCCCAAAGAATAACCTGCAAGTTAATTGTTTTAGAAATAAATATATACAGCATAGATATATGGTACAGTACAGAGATTGAGGTAAAGGTGTAGAGATGGGCACCATCATATTACTGGTAAGATACGTCCTTATATTTTATAATACAGTTATATGTTTGTTTCAACACAGTGTAACTCTGTAACGTTCACACAACATGTGTGTGTGTGTGTGTGTGTGAGCTTAAGAAAATGGCATTTTTAATTACCAAAGAAACAACATTGTGATTTGTATATTATTCGATTAATATTGATATATCGCAAAATATCTATATAAAACTGTTAATGATGCCCAGTTCTGGCTCACTTTAATGGTGAATTTAATGTATGTAAAGATATAACTGCTTGAAAACATTAACTTTCAAGTTAAATTATTTTAAATAGAGAATATTTACCGTTGAAGTCACAAAAATTCACACTTTCAGAGAACACATTCATCACTACCTCTTCTCTTTTCACTAATTATTATGTACATCAAGAGTGAATTTGTTTGTGACTTCGATGGTAAATATTCTCTATTTAAAACATTTATTTAACTCATAACTTGAAAGTTAATGTTTTCAAGCAGTTATATCTTTACATACATTAAATTCACCATTAAAGTGAGCCATGATTTGGTGTCCTTAATAATTTTATATGATTTATTTATGATATATCAGTAACAAATCAAACATTATGTAGGAGCCAAAGAGCTACAATTGGGGTGGAACTTGTGTCAACTAAAAAAAAAAACCACTATAGGTCGAAGATGATGAAATGTAGGCAAAGAAAAGTAACTCAAGACAACAGCTTAGGTTTGGTCAGTTGGTCCCACCTTTTCCAACCTTCATATGAGCACTATAAAATTATTGTTGTAAGAAGTTGACACAAATTTGATCCTTTCTCAAACACTGGACTTCCATTCCGTGTATTGAAAACATATATAAACAAATTAAGAAACATTTCTTCTTAAATTTTAAGTGTTAATGTGGCTCCCTTGTCTACACCTTTACTAAGAGCAAATCTCCTGGAAGTAGAGAGATCATTTAATCATTGGTAAAAGAGGAATCCACTGACTAGGCTGTTGTCAAGCTGGGCCATAGTGTAGCCATCTATTGCTATACTTAGACCATTCATGATGACCGTAGCCAATCATAGAATAAGTTTTGTGGACTTTTCTCAACCATAAACAATTATGAGACCAATTGTAATTTTCTTTATTATTTACAGCCAATCACTGAATAAGTTTTTAGAACCTTCCTCAGTCACAACTAATCACTGAGCAAGTTTCTTTAAGTTCCACCAATGACTGAAAATCTTCACCAAGTTCAATATACGTACTGTATCAGTGAGTATCTTTTGTTACTGAAAAAGGTGGTAACTTAAAGGCATATTATATAAACACTAGTTTGATTTTTTTTTTTTGGGTGGGTACAGAAATATTGTTAGTCACATAGAAGTATTTTAGTCATAATGTAGTTTCTTTTAGTGTAACACCATGCAAAAAAAATAAAGACTCCTCACTCTTGAATATTGAATCTTGCTTTGTCTCCACCTCTGCCCAAGCTAAGAACAACGTACAGTAATTGTAAAGGTTTTGAAACATTGGGAACTGGAATAATCTTATTGGAATTTGTTTTAATCTATACAGTATATATCAAAGATGAACATTAAGAACTGGGCTTAGTATAATACAGGCAATTTAATTTACCCAGGACCAGCAACCCTTGTGTCTATTACAGGTATCCCTCGGTATACGAATGGGTTAAGTTAAGAAATCGGTAAGTAAATTTTCATATCTCAAATAACAGAACAAATGGGAAAAAGGGTTCAATTCCCCAATGACAAAAATACCCCAATATCATAGCCCAAAAACACAAAACCGGTTCACAAAAAACCCTACTTAACTAATGTTAAATAGTACTCTAAACAACTACAGTACCCTGTTATATAATTTACTACCTAACATATTAAAAATGTTAAAAAAATACTATCTAAATGAAAATATGAGCTAAAACTGTTAAGACAAATTTAAATCAAAGTATAACATCATTGCCATTTGTATAGACGCCGGTTATGTAACGTGTGGCCGCCCTCAAGCTTCGCCATAGTAACTCAGTCCAGCTGGGGATGCTACCCCTCCCGACCCTTAGCAATAGTTTCACATCCTGCTCTCTCACACAAAGAAATGTTCGTTCCCTTTATGTTTTTGACCTTATGATAGTTATTTTATTTACTTTTTTTTCACATAATGTATGTAGGATTATATGTGCATGTAACTGAGGAAAAAAGTTTAGCAAGTTAAGTTTATCTACACAAATTATGAGTTGAATAAGTAACCATAACATAACTCTCTCCCAGCTCATCCTGCGAACTTTCGCTGCCACACAAAGAAATATTTATTCCCTTTATTTTTTTTGACACAACTGTATGATAATTATTTATTTATTTAATTATTTTTGGATATTCTATATGTAGGATTGTGTGTGCATGTAAATGAATAAAAAATATGAAGAAAGTTGTTTATATGCCTGAAATTATAAGTTAAGAAATAATCATAACATAACTCCCACCTCAGCCTGGTAGGGGGATGTGGCCACCCCAGCTGACTACCCCAGGGGCACACGGTTTGAATTTTGCCAAGACCCAAATTCGTATAAGCTGGGGAAGCTTTTGTAACATGAAAAAGAGGATATAATTTTGGAAGTTCGTTTAAGCAAAATTTCTTATCTTGAACGTTCATATACCAAGGGAAACCTGCACTTATAAAATGTATATTAACCTTCTTTACTCTACTCTGTTTTAAAGATTTTTTTGGTAACTACATTATGTTTGCAGGAGGATAATTGATCTGCACCTGTCCATCAGTATAATGTACTGAATTTTAAATAACCCACCAAGGTTTATTAGTGGGGGTAAATAAAAATTATCCTGTTTAATTCAATGAAATTTTGTGACCTTCAGTATGTGCATAGATTACCAGATTAGATTTGAAAGCTGTTTTATTCATTTATTTTAATTTTATACCTGTATTGCAACATGTATTAATACAGTACAGTACTGTATTCCTAAATACATGTGGACAGTTATCACCAAGTACCTGTACAGCCTAATTATTATTTAATGTTTCAATAAATATTATATTTACTTACTTGAAGATATATAACTGACTTTCCTATGTATACACTGAGCTTATTCAAGGATGTCTTCCCTGTCACTGATAAGTCAGGAGAGACGAGCCATACTGTCAGACTTGTGTGAATATAATCATCTAATTATTACCTTCCAGAGATGTGAATAACTGTTGGTTCAGGGAACATATTTGTACATGTATCATTGTTAAGCATTTTGGCAGGAGGATTGATTGATACACATTTACTTACCAATCTTTTCATTCAGTTTTAAAGGTTTGAGATAGAAAGGAATATAGTCAGTGCCCGCTTAACTTACCTCTGGTGTTCGCCCATCTGCAGATTTTTTTTTTTTCTTTATGTAATGATGCCACATGTCCAATCATTATGTGTGTGTGTCTGCAGATACTATACATACATTTTACCTATGATGAACCTGTCTACTGCCATGTGTTTGTAAACATTCTTTGCATGCTGCACTTCATTTACTTATAACATGGGTTTTTATGGGAAATTATTGTGTGCCTAACATACATTCATTTTAACATGGGGGGTCCCCTCCCTCCCCCTACATTATGAACACTGGTTCTCAGGAACACATCATGTACATTAAGCGGGCGCTATCTGTAAGGAATTTGGAGTTCATCACCAGCAAAGGTGTTGGGAGGACCAGTGCTATGATTAAGGGGCCATACTGAGGTTTCTAAGTTGTGTATATATGTGTGTGTGTGTGTGTGTGTGTGTGTGTGTCAACTCAAACATACAAAAAAATTCTGAAGTTCAATGAAAGCATGACATTGATTTTTTAGATCCATAAACACACTACAGGTATAAGCATCTTCACACACACACACATGCATGCATGCATGCACGCACACACATACACATGTACAAACCTCTTTGAACCTTTAATATGACTTCTTAAAATTACATAAGACCAGCATATTGCCATCCCTTTATTAGATGGAATTTAATGCTGTACAGTATTGTATATACTTTTCAATAACGGACAAAAAGATAATCAAATTTATATTGATTAACCCCAGCCACTTAAAACTGTGGAAGCTGTTCTCATTCTCAAATGCTGTATGTGTACTGTATACAGTATACTGTACATTATAAAAATATGCATGCAGTTAATTATAGAAGAGATAACCTTATGGTAAGAATGTATTTATTGTACCAGTGAGGATGTACAATAAGGATAATGAATGTCTTTGAGTGAATAAGTACTGTATTAAGTACAGTACTGTAAATGTATATTCATTTTTGAATTGGAGGAAGTAGGTATAATGTGCCTTGAATGAATGTGTTAACGAATATAATATGATAGTGATGATGTAGCAGTTTTTTAAGTTTTAATGTAAAAAAAATTGTGTAATGTGTATGCTTAACCTCTTGGACTATTAAGCCTGCCACCCTCCTTAGTACAGCAACTTATCTCCTGAAGATAACTGTGACTAACCTTTTCAATATGATGACATATTCGCTGAGTATGAAAACTTTGTACTTAAGGGGTCAAGACATAGTACTCTGTAGTTTTATATATACTGTACAGTACATTATACTGTCATAAGAGTCATTATGAAGGAGGAATTTAATACAGTGCATTAATGTTTTAGAGCAGGAGTTCCCAAGCATCTTGCAGTGTGACTTCATCTAGTTCTGTCACAGTACACACACACATATACTATAAGGATTCATAGGTTAATTGCAGACATATTTTTATATGTATTTAACTGTAAAAATAAATAAGGAAAATGTATTACATAATTGAGAAATCTAAAAGTAAACACAAGCACATTTAATATGTGACATGTTTATATCATAATGTAATGTTGGTTAAACAACATAACCTGCAATTTTTCTTATTTACATCTCTGTCATAATCCATATGTGACATGTGTGTATCATCATTTAATTAACTTTCTGTTAACAGGAGTTATAATTACAGTATGTGATTAAACAACATAGCATACAATTTTCTAAGTTGTATGCTACATCTGTGTCATATTTGATATCTGACTTGTATACATCATCATTTGATTAATTTTCTATACCTGGAGGTATATGAGGTTAAGTATAAGTTGAGGTTTGATATACGTGTATGGTAATAATTTTTTATAAACACCATTGACTAGAAAGATGCCTCACAGACATAAGTGCTTCCAAATTGTACCAGAACCTTGATAGCTCGATTTTTAACTACTGTGTCATCATAGACATCAAAATTCACCCCTGCCTTGTTGTCAGCCTATAATTCTGCCATTTTTAGTGCCAAAGAGCCACAATGGCTTATGTCTGTCTTGAACAGAAACCGAACAAATTAAGAGACTCAGTAAGCAACTCAGTGAAAATATCATTGAAATTTGCTGCCATTTTATGTCCACATCTGTGGGAAGTAGGGAGTGAACTGACCTGACCTGACACAAAGAGAGTAACTGCGGTAATCCCTCAACCATAATTTATGATCACGACTTAATGAAACAGCCTCTGTCGACCACATCCTTCAGTCCTTGACTCCTGGACTAAAAAAAACAAAAATACTCACATGTGACTGCTGCAAGACCCAGGTGACTTCAGTGATCCCACGAGCTCTATGGTAGCTCATCAACCCCCTGACCTATAATGCAACCCTGTGTTTGGGAACTGCTGTCTAGAGGATAAGTACTGTATTGAGAGTGATAATTGTCAAGGGGCCAGCACATACCAAGGTCAGAAGTTATTGACATATATATGGACAAGGAGACTCATGACTGGTGTATGGGGGGAGACGCACCTATGGCATGAGGGAGGGTGCAGATGCAAGGACGATTATAGTGACAGTGGCACATTTATATAGCTGTGACATATAGGTACTGTATAATGGTGATTGTAACATATATGATGACAGTAGTGGTGAGTGTGACTGACAACACAGATGTAATGGTGAGTTGTGACATGACAACACAGTTGTAATGGTGAGTTGTGACATGACAACACAGTTGTAATGGTGAGTGTGATGTAGGTATAGCATTATACTGTAAGTAGAATTGTGGATTTGGAACTAAATTTCAGATATTAAATGTGTAAGAAAAGAATATAAAAAATTTAAATCCATGAAATAAGACATATACACAAAGTGAAACATTTGTAAGACCACACAATCAAGTTTCTGACAGCAAGAGACTTTCAATAACAACAGATGTTAGTTCCAGCAAATGTGGTACTGTACTGTCCTAAAGAATGAGTGAATGTGATGAGTGAGTACTACAAAGCTTGCAGTGCATGCAGGGGAAGGTAAGATGCACAGCATGTTTGTAGGTTAGTACTCACCACTAACGCAATGGATGGGGCCTTCTCGCAGGAAAAAAACCACCATTTACAGATCATCTGTGGGAGTATCTACTGCTGAAACGTAGACCCTAAAGGTCACTTGTAAAGCCACGCTGTTTTACTGTTATTTCTACTATTGGTATTGATGACTCAATCAACTACTGTAGATGGTAGTTGCACTACAGTACTGCTAGTATTGCTTCTACTGGTGATAAGTGTGAAGTGATGAATTGCTGCCAGGCGTGTTGAAGGTTCTGCCTTGGCAGCATGACACGTACTCCTCAAGGCACCCACCTTGCGGCTGAGAAACGGCGCGCAGGGTCTTGCAGCTGTCGCCGGTACTCACTACCTGGTCGAGCTCGAGCATCTGCTGGTGGCAGGTCCATAGTATTGGTACGTCGGTACACTGGTCTTACAGAAAGTCCTGGGTTGACACCTGATTGTGAAATTCCAGGCAGTGCTTCTCCCAGGTGACCGGTAGTATTGGTGCGCCGATAAACTCGCTTCTCACCCACGTCACCAGTCTTACCCCCTCCATTTAACCCTCCTCGGTTCCAGCCAGATTGTCCACTGGTACCCGATATACGTGTCAGGTGAGTAAGGCGTCGTGACAGTTCTTCTCGAGCAAGGTTACGTGTATCATCGTGACTTGGAGTCAAGCGATTTGGAGGATCGGGACTTCGAAGGCGGCTAACTGATGGCTCACGGGACTTGCTGCTGCCCCTCTCTGTAGAACTGTCTACTGCTGCTACAACTGCTGCTGCTTCTCCTGCAAGTGCACCCGCTGCAACTGCAGCAGCTACAGCATCTTGTACTCGTTCTCCATCTAATTCATTATCAATATTTGGACTGGACGGGTGTGCTTTGGAGTCATTGGGAAGATTTGAATTCTTACGGCTTTTAGATGAAATATTATCAGGTGGCATGGATGGTGCTCGGTAGGTGTAGGGGCGGTCTTCAGGCGGAATGGACTTTATGCGGTGATTTAAGGAATAATCCTCCAAAGGCATTGAAGGTGCTCTATGGGTATAGTGTCGGTCCTCTGGGGGCAGCGATGGTAAGCGACGTATACTTTGAATGTCATCTGGTTGGACGGAAGTAAAGCGTCGTATGCCAGGCAGATCATCTGGTTGCAGAGACATGCCTCGCCGCCCCCCCATCAAGAAGATAGTTGGATCCTCTGGAGGAAGAGATTTTCTAGAGTGTCTTCGAGGAATTTCCCAAGAAGGAGGAGAGGTGACAGAAGCTCTCGGAGAAGTAACTGGTGAAGCATACCGCAGGGGACTGAGGGATTCCCTTACTGTTTTCTCTGTTTCCTCCTTCATGAGACGAGCCTTTGCTGCTGCTAACTGTTGGTCCATGTCTTCTTTTGTATTTGCTCTACGTAATTTTGGCTTCTTTTTATCTTGAAATTTTGAATAGTAACTCTTCCTTGTGATTCTGTCCATGACACTTTCATCCTCATTTTCACTTAGTCCTCTAGGATCCTCAATCCCAATTGTAGAAGATTCTCTTAATTGTGTTTGAGAATGATTTCCATCTTGTAGTGGGTCAACATTCCCACTACCAGCCAGCTTTTTGATTTGGGCATATTTGACTCCTTCACCCTCATTGCTGGGAATGTGATTAGAACTTGTTTTTGTGTTCTTGTCTACTGTTTGCGCTGGAACCGTAGGTGGATGGTGATTATCTATATTTGCAGCAGCCAAATCAAGATTGGTAGGTCGACCATTTCTGCGGCTTGCTAAAGCCGGTGACAATCCATAGGTTGTAATTGAACCCACAGAAGAAACTGCAGGAGTTACACGAGAACCTCCGGATGTTTTCACTCCAGCCCCAGACTCCTGAACACCCATGTTGCCAATACGTGAAGTAATATCACTTTCAAGTTGAGATAGATGGTCACAGATACTCTTTGTCACTGATTCAAGAGTATAACTAGGTTGTAAGTTAGCAGGGCTGCCCTCTGGGACAACACTCTGTGCCCGTTCTGTGAGAGGGGACCCTGACCCTAATTCACCGCCCTCCTCTACACGACTTAAAAATAGATTTTCCTGACTTTTTGAAAATTTCTTGGATTTCATTCGAGGTGGTTTCTTAGGATGTTCTTCATCAGCACTTGCTGTGGGTATGGAAGGTTGAGACATTGAGTTTAGTGATGTTCGGGATTCTTCTTTTGTATCTTTACGGCCTAGAAATTTATTAAGTGCATCTGTTAGTTTCTTTGAGGGCTTCCTCTCAGGTCTCTCTGAATCATCTAGAGTCCCATCTCCTTCACACACACTGGATTTAGAAGAGCTTTTTTCTGTCTTGTGTTTCAGGAACCGCGAGGGCCTTTTTAGTCGAAATTTTTCTTCTTTTTCAGGTGCATCATCGTCTTCCGGTCGTTTGTCTGTTGCTGAACGAGTGTTGTCAGAAACACTGGAACCAGATCGATTAAATCGTGAAGCAAGTAACTTGTACATAGATTTAGGTTTCTCTGGATCACAAGAGGAAGTTTTCTTTACTTTGCCTCTGTCCTTTTCATTGTCTTTGTTCAGCTCCTTCTCTTTTTCATTTTCTTTCTTTTTTACTTGCACTTCCTCTTGGTTTAAATCCTTTTCTATGAATCTCTCTTTGTCTTTATGATTTTTGTGTTCTGTCTTCCTTTCCTTTTCTTGAACAACAGTTTCATCTTCAGATTTATTAATCTTGTTTTCTTTTGCTATACAAGTTGATAACTGGTTCAAGTTAGGTGTGGGTGGAGCACGGATAGGATTAGCAGCACCCTCATTGTTTTGGTTTGGTGCTCTTTCTGGTGATTTTGCATGATCGAATTTCTTCTCAATGGATGTTCTTGCCTTTTCAAATGGCGATTTGGAACGATCAGGAGCAGGCAGTGGTGATTTTAATCTCACAGTTGGGGGATCTTTTTTGACAGCTTCTATTGGCAGTTCACGGGATTTATTGCGTCGGTAAGCTTCAAAAGGTGAAATACGCTTTAGTGAGCCAGAGTTAAGTTGATTAAACTTTTCCCCGGCAGCTTCAATTGCCGGCGTCAATTCTCTTGATTTACTTTTCCGGTATGTCTTAAGTTGTAGAAAATCACTGGTTCCTTTAGTGCTTGTGCTGCTGCTGCTATTGCCACTGTAGCTGCTGCGAGTGCTGAGGCTGCTGCGGCTGTTACTCTTCACAGGAATGCCGCTGGTTGAGCGACTTGTTGCAATGCCACTGTTGTTATTTTGAACATTGTTTGTACTGTTGTTATTTGCTTTAGTTATACTGTTTGATGTTAAGTTACTATCATTTGATGTCAAGTTACTGTTTCTTATAACTGATTCATTAACATTACAATTCTCAATGATATTATTTTCATTTTTATTTTTGTTAATAGAACTGACTGCCATAACTTGATTGTTTATGTTGTTGTTTGCTGCTTCCTTATTAACACTTACCATATCATTGCCATAGGTCTTTGTGTCAGGTAGAGGTGCATTAGTTTTAATATCGGATGAATACTGGCGGTTAAAGAGAGAATGAATAGGGACACTTCTATTTTGTTGAGACTCCACACGACTCAGGCTGTCGGTGGTACAGCATATGTCTTCAGGTTTTCCTCCTTGGTGTTCATGTATATTAACTTTCCCACGAGATCGTCTGTAGGCATCCAGGGCAGAATTGTCAGCACTTTTAACAAATGTGTTACCAGACTTAAGCCATTCCTCTCGGGAGGATAAAGCTCGTCGAATGCCACCACTTTCAGGAACACCGTCACTATTTGAAGGACTAATTGCCCCCTCTCGACAGATGTCTAGGATGGTATTATAACCAATGTGATCACTAGGTGTTGGATGGACGGAAAGTGCACGGTTCTTGCGGTCACTCGCCCCAGCATCAGTACGGAGCATTGGAATATTACTTGTAGAGGCACTGTTGGCAGGTACAGTGTTTGTCACTCCACAAGCTGAGGTAATTACTGTTGCATCACTTGCTTCTGCCTTATTTACAAAGCCCAGGTTTTTTCTTAGTCTTGTTGCATGTTCACTGTTTGCTCTCATGTTGTTAGTCATAACTGGAGGTGTTCCATGGTATCCAGTAGTACTTTCAGAATGTGTTTGTGTGGAAGAACGTTGAATTGGTGTGCAGGAGATGTGGAGTGCTGGGTTAGAGGAGTACATTGGTTTGCCAGAACAATACATTTGTGTGTTTGGAGAAAAAGTTCGTGTTGATGAAGTGTTTGGTGTACCAGAAAACTGTGCTGGTAAACCACGAGTTGGTGAAAACATTTCAGAGTGTGTGTTGTTACCTCTCAGTTGTTGTTGGTCTGGCAGTTTGGGCACCTCAGGGGCCTCATCTTCTCCAGCTTCTAGCTCTCTCACAAGCTGTTTCAGTTGTTCTTGCACACTCTGCTTCAGAGCCTCTGTGTCTTCTGATGACTGGCCGCTGGGGGAAAGCTGTGAAGTGTGCTGGTCTTTTTGCACACAAGTGTGAGAAGCAGTGTTCAGCGGAGCTGGTCGCTGTAGCTGCTGCTCACAAAGCCCACCATCCCTCCCAATGCATTCCCCCGGCTGGCCACCCACAGTAGAGTGGGGGCGGCGATGTTGACTCCGCAGTGTTCCATACATTGCTGCTATCCGGTCTGCAGAGTCGTGCATACCTCTATTTTGAGTTAGATTTCCGCTGCTGCTAGCAGGATATGGACGAGGAAGTGACATGCCACCTCCTGGGTACCCTCTGCTGCCCATCATCCCCAGCTCTTCGTCGGGGATGTTGTGTAGCTCTCGGGAAGGAGCACGGGAAAACTGTGGCCGACGACCAAGGGAACGGGCAGAGGCTTCAGATGTGTCAGACTCTCCTCCATCATCACCGCCTGACCACCGGGATGCCCGCCACCCTGCCGGGACACATGAGTTAACAAGTAGAAAGTGTTGTCAAGCACCTTTGACTGTTATTGGTGTATGATATTGTATCACCAAAACAAAAAACTTTCCTAATATGTACCATAAATGCAAATGGTTTACCTGTAATCAATCATGTCCCCATGAATTATCCTACTTGCTTTAGAGTATCATAGCTATAGAATATTCATGCAGGTACTGATTCAATTGCATCAGTTTTATCATTATACAGTATTAACTATTCATGATGCATTCATTAAATACAAATGGCAAAGGAAGCTATTAATCTTTTATAATTGAAAATCATTAATTTATAATTGGATTGTAAATAGTATACAGTTTAAAAGTGTATTGACTCTAAGAATTTTGTTACAATTTATCTCCAAAGGTAAAACTGTAAAGTTCTTTACACTCACCATCATCCTTACCTGCACTAGTATATCCTATAGTGATATACATTGATCCTTACCTGCATTAGTATATCCTACATTGAACCTTACCTGCACTAGTATATCCTATAGTGATATACATTGATCCTTACCTGCATTAGTATATCCTACATTGATCCTTACCTGCATTAGTATATCCTACATTGAACCTTACCTGCACTAGTATATCCTACAGTGATCCTTACCTGCACTAGTATATCCTACAGTGATCCTTACCTGCACTAGTGTATCCTACAGTGGGTAACATATCCATTCTCACCTCCCTCTCAGATGCACTCACTGTGCACCTGCTGGGTTCTTTCATAAGGACTTAACCCAGCACTTTCCTACCACTACTGTATCACAAACATGGAAGATTAACTTCTTCCTTACTCAGTAGGAATTTTTTTCACACGTTTATTACTGTATATCATAAAAATACCCATTATTGAGATTGTAGACTTCACATGGTACATTTTACAACAAACAGGAGTCTTCTAATGTGGTGTTATCTACAGTAATTACCCTCAACAGACTCGGCATGTAATTTAATCTATAACATATCTCCTTATTATTGATAACTACTGTATAACCATTATTGTTAAAAGTTTCTAATTACACTACAGTATACAAATTAGAGAAGTGTTAAAATTTACAAGTTATTTAATATGCTATACAGTATATTTCCTGCCTAAAAACACCCACTAAGTATTTCCACTCCTACCAGTATATCAGAACCACTTACCTTGACTAGTCTTACCCTCACATTCACCTACATAATTAATTTTGCTTACACTAATTCTATCCTTGGAAGATCTGCTTTTTTATTAACATTCCAGTTTATTTATTACAATCCTCTGAAATTTTATACTATGTATATTTACAGTTAATATAAGAAATATTTAGATTTTTCTTGCAGATTCTTTAAAGGCTATTTTTGTCAAAATTTCAGCAGATGCATGAATACTGTACTTAGTTTATTATTTTAATTACCACCTTTCTCTGAAGTAATTACATAACTTTGTTTCACTATTAGCCAGAATTTTGTCAAAACCAATTAATATACGTATCTATCAGTAACTATGTCAACATCTTAAAAATTTACATAGATTTGACAAATACCAGTTAGGTGTCTACCAAAAATACATTTTCTTTTTATGCTTATTTTCATTTAATTTGTCTTATACTGTATGTTTCTCTTATATACAGTACAGGAGTGCTTCAATTCATGAAAGGAATACGATCCTAAAAAAAAAAAATGGAAATCAATTTTTTTGTCAATTGAAGTCATATTTCCCCTTGACTACCATTATAAAAAGGAAGATATGCTCCTACCGGGAGGGAGTGGGGGGGATCCCCCAAATGTAAAAGACAGTACTGGGAGGATGATGGTGTAGCAGCTGGAACATCTGCCTCACCACCACCTTCATATGACATATGTTGCCACACACTAGCCTGCTACAATGCACTGCTTCCTCTCCATGTTTAGCATGGGATGCTCTCAGATGCCTGTACCAGCGACTCGGCATCTTCTGATACTTCGAAAAAATACAGTAAAAAAAAAAATGTAAAAAGAGGGGTTTTTGTTCATAAACAGAAGCAGTGGAACAAAAGTTGTTTTTTGTATTATCAAATTTTTTTAAACCAAAGCACTTCTGTACATGTACCTCTTACAGTACCTTGGTGAGCTGTGGTGTAATAGTCAGTATTCTTGCCTTGCAAGCGAGTGGATCCAGGTTCAATCCCCCTGGCAGGGTGACACTTTGGGCAAGTTTCTTTATGCCTTTGTCTCTCTACTAGTAATTGGGAACCTGAATGTTAACTGATTTGCAGATTGTGTTCTGGGATAAAGGTTAGCCAGCCTTTGTCTTCTGTGATTATTTCTTGACACTTTTTTTTTTTACAAGCATTCGTTCACTAATGCAGGGTAACCAGACACGAGCAACTACAGAGTGCACATATATTTTCCCTTCATTTGTTGTCATTCTTTCTTGCTTACTGTTGTGAAAGATGCCACCAATGCAGGTTTACCCTAGTTGCTTCACACAAGCCTGGTAAAGTCCTTTGCTAAAATTCACTCAACATCATGTTCTCCGTTCATATGGTGCTTCACGTTCTTCACCCCACCCTTCTTGGTAATATCTTTTACCCCTCACTAACCAACTCTGAATCTACAATATTTTTACCAATTTTTCACTTCCTATTCTGTGAGTGCATTCACCGTATCATCAGAGCAGACCGTGATCTACACTTTGACCAACACATTTCACCTCCACATCATCTTATTACAGTGCTGTCCTCATTCTCTGCACTAGTGTGTTAGGAACAGTCCCAGATATTAGTTTAAATAATATATAATATTTTTGAGGTAGGACATTCATATTCCTTCTTCTAAATTGAGTATAATATGAAAACACTTGGAACATATCCTTAAATGTTGGAAGTATTTTGTGGTACTCAAACAACTTATGTTATAATAATTTGCATATTGTTAGTACATTGTTCATTTTAATTATGTTCAATAAGTAGGCTTGTGTTAATAAATTGGCATGGAACTTATGAATGACCAAATATTCTTCAAGACCATAAAAAATATTTCCAAGGAAGTTAAACAGTTTAACTTCCCTATTTTAAGTCAGTATTACAAACTGCCATTCTTGTTATATGGATTACTTAAAAAAAATTATCGCAAAATATTTATCAGTACGTACAGTGCAGTATTTGGTGGATATTACAGTTGTCATTATGTTATTGGCTTTATAAATCTGGTGGTAATTGTAAATTTCTAAAAGTTATTCTAATTTCATCATCATCATTTAATACCCATTTTCCACACTTGTGTGGGTTACCATAATAAAAAATAACAAAAATGGTATAGAAGTTAATATTCTCTGTGGGAAAATTACAGTGTTTATACAGGGCGTTCCATAAATACCTTTCATAAATTAGGCGGTGTATTCCCGAGACATAAATGACTAAATGACCAAACTGTCAATTCTCAATAGTTTGGGAGTTACAGCACACGACAGGTTTGGTAGTAATGTGATGAACCTATATGGGGTGTACATGAAACATCCAATACACTGTGCTTGTGATGTTTATTAACAATAATAATACAATATGATTTGTATTGGCACACCCTGAACTCCTGAATCCAGCACTGGATTACATTACCATTTATTGCTTAGAAGTAACAAAAAAAAATAAAGGCTAATTTGGAGAATTGTCTAAGGTAGCTCAGGGTTAAGAAGATTTACTAATAATTTATAATTAGAATATTAGAGTGAATACAAGGTTGGTATTTTTATATTGAGCTTTTATGAGTTATAAAACATATAATGGAATATGTGAAGTATTAACATTTAGTGGAAATGTTCAAGTTCTGCCCCTCTTGTTCAATGCAGGGCTCAGCCCGTCGCACTAGTGAATGTTGCACGCCGCATTCAAAGACCCCAGGGGTGTTGAGAATGCTTGTCACACTGTCCTGTACACAGAGCCACAATTCCTCACGGTTTGTGAACCTCTGTAACATACACCTTGCTTTCTATGTGACCCCACAGGTAGAAATCAAGGGGATTTATGTCAGGTAACTGTAGGTTTCATCACATTCCTACCAAACCTGTCATGTGCTGTAACTCCCAAACTATTGAGAAATGACAGTTTGGTTATATATATATATATATATATATATATATATATATATATATATATATATATATATATATATATATATACACACACACACACACACACACACACACACACACACATATATATCTTGTTTGTATATGGAAGTCCGCATGCTATATGGACTGATGATATATATGTAGCCTCGTGTTTCCTAGCTGGATTCGGTAAAATACTACTCCGACCACATAGTTGGCACGGGCAATCCCCAATAGAGGTTCACGGCGCTTAACAAGCATGATGAACAGGCTTTGTGTGGAATATAACAAAGCCTAGTATTGTTTTTGTTGTCCTTGTGGTGCAGTGGTAGCAATCCCTGTTCACACTCAGAGGTCCAGGGTTTGATTCTCGACTAGTGAGGTATTGTTTTTTTATTTATATACATATAGAATACTCATGCACTTTGCATAAATAACTGCTCTACTACTTGGGTCACTTCCTGTGTGAATTTCATAAATATTTTTCCAAAAAAATTACCGGGTAACTTTTAAATTTCAATAAACTTTTAAGCTTTTTGCAACTCCTTTACCTGTCACTACATGTTAGGAGACGCTCAGTGACCTTAGGTGAATACAATAAGTTTCTCTATATAATATGATCTTATCTTTGTATTTTTCTATCATTACTGTACTCTGTATTTTGCCTTTTTTCATATACACTACTGCAATCTTTTTCTGAACTGTATTTGTTCTTTCCAATTTACAATTACCAATAATTAAGTTACCTGGTCCCTGTTACTACCAGTATCAGTTGTATGACCATATACCAGTGGCTCTGGGCCACATTTATCATTGTAAATATAGTGGAAGGCGCCAAAACTTTGGATCTAGATCCAAGAAAAAATCTCATATACAGTACTGCACTGTCCAGTTATTTGGAGT